CTAATTAACTGTCTAATTGGCTAAATATTTCAATGATCCTTATACAGCAACTCGAATCAACTAATTGTCACCATGAATTTATGTTGTTAATGTTGCAAATTTTGTATATGCATAAAATCTAGTTGATTGTTGTAAATGATTTGTGATTATGAAATCAATTATTAATCAAATCAAATATAATGAGCTTTTTTAAATTGATTCCATCATCTATTGAATGTTACCTCTAACACTTTGAATATCACTTTGATAATACCTTTGGAATATTTTTCTTTCTTTTCAATTTCAATCTTCAATGATATAATGTAAAAATTATCATTCTCGTCATTTCCATCATTTATTATTCATCATTAAGGGAAAATGAAAGTGCAAGAAAAGGTGGATGAGAAGAGGGTATTCATCTAGAATTCATTTTCCCAAGTAAAATGTCACCATGAAAATGATGCATGATGTTGACTCTATGAATACCCTTTCATGTCAAAGGTTTTATATTCAAAAGTCATTATCGGTTCTTTTTTTACTCTTTTCTCAATTGAATACTAGGATTACTTTTATATTCAAGTTATTGATATTTTTTTTCCATTCTTATTCTTACAAGAAAAATACTTAAACCTTATCAAGACTTTCTGATTGACCTCTGGTCAATCATTGATATTCTTTATTCTGATTTTCAAATCAATAATCTGGTTGCAGGATAAACAGTTAATCTCACAAGCATTTTCATGCTCCAATTGTAAAGATAATTGGTTATCGTGAGGAGGAAAAACTATTCAGAAAAAAATATCTCTCATAATGATTATCTGTTAGTTAATTATGATTAACAATGGGCAAGAATAATAATACATAAATACTAGTAGTTACTATTGGTTATTGTTAATAGCATTTTCTTTGGTTGATTAAGTCGTAATCTTTTCTGGTTTGATAGATCTGATTCAATCTCATTAAATGGATAATAATTAGTAACGATAATTAAGACATTACTTGTAGATTGAGTGTTCTTTTGTTGATCAAACCAGAATCTAAAGAGAAAAAATTGAATACCCATATACCTGTAATATTGAAATTCTGGACATTTCCATCTGATTTTAAATAGAGAATAAGACTGAATGATGATCTGAATGTTGTCGTAGAATTTGAATTGTTTAGTCTATTTAATCCTTGAGTAAATTTCTATTCATTATTTATCCAATTTATTCAAATTCATTTAGATAATTGGATGAAACATTTTTTCTCTAATTGTAAACAAATAATATCACATTTTCTATAGAATTTTGTAAGCAAATTTCATATTCTATTCTTTTATTATAAAACAAAAGATTTTGCCATCTCTTTGAATTTCATGGGTTGAGTTTCATATATTCAGAACTGGACATTCTCAAGAAGTTATTAATATATCAATAGATTTATCAATTTACAATTCTGCTATTAGAAAATTAAATAATTGATAAGATAAATTGAAATTTTATTTACATCATGATGATCTTTAGCTAAAAGATGAGAAAAATGTTTATCAGGTAACATGATGAGAGTTTTTTTTTACCTTAACCTTATATGTACTCAAATTCATTGTTGATTCATGAAATATTGAATATCAAAACTCATGATACTGAATAACATATATTATTATTAGTTGGAAAATAAGGAAGATAAAAATTCTGGTTAAAAATAGACCGAAAAATCAATCCATCTTTCAGAATTATTCGGAAGATTATATTTGTCATCCTCATCGTCTTGGTGACATTTGCCATCCTCAAGGATCATAAAGTATTCTCAAGAATAAGTATCATGAATTTCCTCATGGATCCATGAGGAAAATCGTACATTGATTGAATGAATGGTAATTGATGATTATTATTATTTCTCAAATGTTTGGTCTAATGAATTTCTCCTGGGACTTTCTTTCCAAAAAATACTCAGCTAATTAGATGAGTATTTATATCTTCCAATATCATGTATCCGGAGATTAAAATTCTCACCTCTTGTCTAATGAGCTAAGTCAATGTTCAAGGTGATTATATAAACTTCTGATTGGAGAAGCTTTTTACTCAGAAAAAATTAGAAAAGTTCATAAAAGAATCATTAATATCATGGAAAAAGACAGAACTTTCAAAGAATGTGTTTGATAGAAAGTAGAAAAAAAGAGATTGTTACTTCATCTTCAATCGTGTTGTTATCATGTTTCTTTCGTGAAAAACTTGATCGAGTTTTTTACTCAAAGTGACACTTGAAACTAACAAGAAGACAGAACTTTATCTAAAACTCGAACAGAATTTGCTACTGATACAAAGAAAAAGACTTATGAAATTCTCGACAAATGTTAAACTGATTTAAGTTTATTGTTTGGTTTCCATGGTAACGCAAATTCGGTAAAACTTTTTTCTCGAAATCGAAATCGAAACAGATATTATACTCATCCGATGCTCAACAATTGAATATTTGGAAACTAATTCAATCCTGAGCAGAAAAAATTGGCCGGAAAGAGAAAAAAATCAAAATGATATATTCTGCAAATATTAATATTCGAAAAGAAAATTGAACTTTATGTTGGTCATCGAACTGAAGCATTACTTAGCTTTTAGAACTTTTTGGTTTTTTTGTATATTCTTTTTCTCTAATACAATATTTTCGTTGCTACGATTCTTGTCAATATTTACTCGATGAACATTCATTTAGAGTATTTTGACAGATTCGAAAAGTCTTAAGACAGAATCGATCAGATTGCGAAAGATATAGTAAAAAGTATTCGATATTTTTTTCTAAAATTTTCTACAACGAACTTATTTATCGATCGTTGAGATTTTTCGAGTAAAAAAAACTCGAAACCTCAAAAATATCCTTTTCGATTATTTTATTTTTCTTCCTACTCTGAATTTCATCTTGGTACAAAATTTTTATTTCTTGTTCCATCCACATAGAAAGCGAAATATTCAATATTCTGATCATGAGGTTGGTCAGTTGAATGTTTATTATCATTACAATTTTGTTATCACCAGAAGCTCAGGTTACATGAACTTTTACCTTCATTGAGAAGGAAAGAAAATTCTGGTTCTATGAATTCTGATTCAGCAATATGAGATATTTACTTTTCTATAGCTCCTGCATGTTTGCTTTCCTTGACCATTAATAATTAACATACTGGTCAGTGGATGGGAAAAACGTTTCATTTCCATAAAATATTCACCATCAAATCCAACAGTTTAATCCCATGAAACCCTTGATTATATGATGACATTGAACTGATAACAACTGAGATTTCATTCACTCTAAATATGATTACTGTAAATCCAATACAAACCAATCATTATGAGCTAAAAGTTTCATGTTAGATTTAAGATTAGATCATGAAAATGTTTCATTCTCTAGAACGCAAATTGATTAACATTTGAAAAGTTCATTCATAGTAACAAATTACATCTCTCGTGATTAAATTGATTAGAGCCTAAAAAACTGTTTCTACAATACGTATATGCATTTTCTCATTAGAGAAAAAAAGAAGAGGAAAAAAAGTTCTAATCAACGTTTTCTCACTCATTCAACATATTATATCGTTTGGTATTCATTATGTTGAGTAGTTTAATCATTTTCCAGTATCAACAGTAACCAATGATAGAATAAAGAGAAAGGGAGAGAGAGAGAGACGATGATGAAGAAAGAGAAGAAAAAACAATTCGAAACAAAAAAGAATCTCAATTCTCAGGGGAATCTATCATTCTTAAAAAAGACTAACATAATATCATGATTATGATGATAACAATAATATCTAAATTGATATAGTTTCTATTCTGTGTAACAATTTGTTCAGAATCAAAACAGAAAAGGGTGAGAGGAGGATTCAATGTTCTGATCAAGAACTTTGAGTATAACTTTTAGAAAGTAAAGGTGACAAGAAGGATGGGTAAAAAAAGAAATCAGATCTCAAGGAACAAAAAACTTTTCGATAGATTAGAACTCGAGAAATGTTATGATAACATGATGGAGAAGAGAGAGAGAGAGAGAGAGAGAGAGAGAAAATAATAACTTTGATAACCTTTCCTATCAAATTGTTCACCTATGCTCATTGTGAACGATATGAAGGGTATGATGTCCGAGTATCCATTGAGAATCTAAAAGAAGGAGATAAAAATTGCTCCCAGTTCAAAGAAAAGTGTATTATCAATGATAATGTTTATTTTCCAGTTTATTGTTTGTTTATTTATTTACTTTTTCTCTATTCCCATTGTTGTCTATGTACATATAACAACGACAACATTTTACTTAGTCAAAATGTTATATATTGACGATGATGATGATAATATTATTTTTATCCTCAGCATCTTATATCCATGAAAAAAAAGGTAACCTGGGATTGGAGATAAAGTTCATTGTTGGAAGTGTTCAGGGTTGATCTGGTTTATTTTTCATTATTATTATTTCAGAATTGAGAAGTGGTTTGGAAAATTTTCCAACTAAATTACATGAGGAGGTTAAAATATTGTCAATGAAGGTGATTGGAATTTTTTTCTTCTCCATCATATAAATTCTTGGACATTACTTTCGGTGTTCATTGTGTTCATCGTCATGTAACTTGGATGATATTGAACATTTTGTTAGCTGATCTTTTATCATGATGATAAGTGGGTATGGATGATGACGATGGTGGTGCTGGTTGTATGGTTATATTAAACTGAGACTTTGTTATAATATTTGACCGGAAATTGGGTTCTTATCATTTCTTTGACATTTAATTTGATTTCTTCTTATTATCAATGAATCTTATTTTGACAATCGAACTTGTGATTGGTGATTGATTCACTTGTCTTCATTTACAGTGAAGGAAAATAACATTTTTTAACTTGGAATTCATGTTATCCAGTGAACTTTTATGGTCCTGATTACAAGAGTTTCTGTAATTGTGTTTACCCTGATGATCATCTGATTGAGAGGGCTCATGATAACTTTGATTTTTCTGATCAATTCTACTATATTATTTCTTCTTATTTTCTTCTTCCTATTTCATATAACAGAGTATTCATGAAGAAACCGCTGGTCAAGTGAGTTTAGACCCACCGATATCCTCCTTAGCCGATGCAGCATTTGAATTACTCTGGATGCAGCATTGGTTTGATGCAATTCTTTTAATTGATGATACAGCGGCTTCCGATCTATTCAGCTACCGGTTAAATCGATTGTGCCGAAATAATCGAAGTAAAAAGTATAAATCAACCAATTCTCCTTCATCTTCATCTTCATCTTCACCTTTAAATTCACCTGAAACACTAATACCACCCTATGAACATCAACATTATCATTCTAGGTCAACAAATTCACAACAATTTGATAACAACTTTTATTTTCTCGATTCGGTTTGGAATCGATTAGAGGTTATTCAACTTTCAAAGAATTTACTTCAAAATGAGGTGAGTATTAATACACCACCGATGAGATTTACAATGATCAAGGAATATAAAACATTGTCCAAAGAGAATGTGAAATTTTACACCGAAATTATTATTTTCACGTATTAAGATTCATCTCTCAAAGGGATACTCATGACGATCAACAATAATTTCACTTTCTTCCTTATTCTTATGATAAAACTAATAATAATCATTGACAATGATGATGATGATTTAGTAATAATAATAAAAAGGTTCACAGTTTTCACAGTTTTCTCAATTTTCTTGATTAGAGTGACTCTGAATTAAAGTGAACCTTTTTTCTTGCTGGTGAGCTTTTTATACATCAATTGAATGGAAACACGATGATGAGGTTGATTTAATGACTTTATCCTTGATCAGTTGAAACTCTTTTGCTTTTTTTTTCTTGCTCCAAGACAATTGAACCATTTCATGGTGGAAGATAAAACTTGCAAGTCTATTAGTTCAGGGAAAGTTCAGAGAAGACAAAGGTGAGAGGGAGAACCATATAATATATGATTAAATTATATTATCTTAGTAAAGTGGATTGGGGGAAATGAAGAAGAAGAAGAAGAAAAGAAAAGTTCCAAGTTTCAGAATCAGAATCAGAATTTCGGTCTTCTTTTCATCATCATCTTCTTTTATCATCATCATGTTTGATTTTTTCTTCTTCTCACTGAAACGGTAAATCAGTTTATCAGTTGGATGATGAAAGTAATTGAAGCTTTTCTTGTTTACCAGATAATGTTAGAGGCTTGGAACACCTTAGACAAAAAGTTTCCCACTCTCAGCATTTACCTTTTCATTATCTCCTCTTGTCTTCATGATAAAGGTAAAACTTTACTACCTGTAAAATTGTTTTATAATAGTAAATAATACAACTATCATTATCTGGTGATGATGATCAGCATCATCATCATGGTGAGATGATAAAAGGATTTGTTTCCTTACCAATTAATTACAGTCTTTTTATATCAACTCATAAAAGCCATTCATCCAAGGTGAAGGTTAATCATGATAATTGAATGAACACTCAGAATCTAGAAAAACTTACCCAATGAACTTAGTATTTGTTTTCATCGTTTTTTTTATGAACGAAATTTTTTTCTTCTTATCCACAGTTTTATTTAAAGATGAGTGAAATTCAGACTAGCCATCGACGGATTATCTTGGTCCATTGTGATAAGGTTACAACCAAACGGATAATGGATATCGCCTCGGTTCTTGGTCTATTGAGAGGTCACAAAATTTGGGTTCTCCTGGACGGAGTAATAGGAAGTGAACTTGTCAAACCTAAATTCTGGTCTTACCTTAACCTGCCAACGGGTATTATTGCCTTACGTCAAAGGGCACCAACTCTGACCCAAAGTGATACCCTGCTCGCTATCACTAGTATCATTGGTGAGGCGGCTACTTATGCTTTAGCCGATGCTAAATCTTGGATAGGTGAGAATGACTTTCGAAATGGATCAGCACCGGAAGTAAGTTGTTGGCACAACGCTTATGGTGTACGAATTAAATACTCTCAAGTAATTTACAGGTAAAATTTAAAGTTCTCACATGAAGAAATGATTGAGCGATTTGATGGAGTAAAAAATCGATGAAAGAAAAAAACTCAAAATCAATTAGTTTGTACACTTAATTTGCATTTTCAGTTGATTAGAAAATTTTAAAAATTAAGTCTGATTAAGATGATTTTCTTTAACTTAACGTAGTAAATATTAGTAATTTAACTATTAGGTTGACATTATTATCCAAAACTTAACTTATAAATGATTAACTTGAAGTGAAATTTTCAATCATTTTAATTGCTGTTTATGTGTAAATTTTTTTATTATTATATTTTGATGGAATTGTTAATCAAATGTTTGACTATTAACTGTTGGACTATTAAATCAAGTAACACGATTAAGTGTTTGAAAAATGGTTCACTAAAAGTTCATGATAAGATTCATGAGTTTTACTTTGATATATTTATAAACATTATATTGAATTATCTTGATTGTCAAGTCTATCTGAGTGAATGACCATTGTCCATTTGATTGAATGAAAGTGTAAATGTAATATTATCAGAGTGGACAAGATATTCATCTTAGAGAGAGAGAGAGAGAGAGAGAGAGAGATATTTGTTATATTTGGATAAGAAAACATGAGAAAACTTTTTCGAAAAAAAGTTCGAACAATTTTGTCAGCATTTTTTTTTCCTTTTCATGGAGATTGAATTCGTCTGGTTTCCGTTTCCGTGGAAGAATGAAATCTTAACATAGTTACAATTTTCTTTGTTTATTCATTGATCTGCATAGAGATAAGTGATGATCGATACTTTCTGTTGATCGTAACTTTTCAATCCAAGAGTAAAATGATTACAATTTCTAATCACAATCGAGATTAAGATGAGATTATCTTTCTAACCAATGATTAGCCTTTTAATAATCTTTACAATCAATGAATTTACTCCTTGTGATTCTTGTTCATCTTTTACCACCGGTGGGAAAGAAAATCAACTAAATCCGATTAACACGAACTCACATCATCTTAACAACAATTTCTATCCATTTGAATCAATTTAATTCCAATGGACTCATTTCTCGATAAAATTTCTCCATGGAATCATTTTCATGATCATCAACTAATTTCTCTCCTTTCAAATACCCTCAGGGTATTAATAGATTCCATTCATTTCCTAATTTTTTTTTTCTCTGACAATATTTCACTTAAATTGGAAACCAATTGATCAACTTAATTGATTGATTAGTTTTCATTTCTCTTCACCCTAAGCCTCTCTTCCAATCTCCTTGATTATCAATCAAAAATTTTTCTCATTAAGACTTTCCAATTAATTCTAATTGTTTGATTAGTAATAATAATGAGATTCAATTGTTTAATTTTCTTGTAAATTGTTTCCTTTTTTTTCACTCGTTAAGGTGAACATTTTTCATCCCTAATCTCTGGTTGAATAATTATTCTCTATTAGATATTTACTTAATGATAAAGAAAAACAATTAAATTCAATTCTAATTTGTTAATTGATTTATTCATTTTCTAACCATTAATAAGTTAATTGTTCATTGATTTATATGTGATTAATCGTATTAGTATTGATTAACAAATTGTGTTCTCAATTCTATCCCTTTGGTCAATTGTTGTTTTCCAATTTTCGGTTAACTCTTTGGCTACTCAACACATGATAATTAATGTTGATTGTTAATTTAGTTAAATTATTTACTTGTTTTTCATTTTATTCGTGTGTCCAGTTAACTGTAAAGAAAACGTTGACCACTAATTTGTCTCATTTTCTTTCCATCCAATAAGAAGGTTTTAATATTCTGTTGGACCAAAACATGAGTTTCTCCATCTATAGACCAACAATACTTTTATAGTATAAAAGCCTAATTGATTTTGATTTTATTTTTTTTCTTTCCTCCTTTTCTACTAATTGTTATTCTTGTTGATTAATTGTTTCTTCTCCTTTAATACTGTTACCATAGAGAACTAAGGAAAGTCCTTAAACCTATTAATAATTTTCGCTTGGATCCATATCGTTGTAAGACCCGACGTTATGGTGAACATGGGAGTGGCTTTAGTGTTAATGAAATGGACAATTTAACAACATCTAACCAACATCATCAACAACCACATCTTCAACCTTCACATCAACAACAACATCAGCAGCAGCAGCAGCAGCAACAACCGGACAATATTAATTCAATTAATAATAATTATTATAATCAAAGATCCTCTATATGGCCTTATCCAATATTTGATATTTTAAATCTAATTGATTCTGATTCTGAGCCTGGTGAAAAGGAGTGGAAAGTTGTTGGTAATATAACAAGAGCCAATTCAACTTTAAACGCCATCAGATACATTAACGGACCTTCCAGTGACCTGACCGCTGGTCCAACTGAACCAACGAAACATAATTTTCGTATTGTTACCGGAATCGCTCCACCATTCGTCCATTTATCAACCAAACTTGACAATGGAACTTGTCTAACTGGAGTAGCCTGTTTAAGGGTAAAATCATCGATTCCCATTCTTAATCATTTCCTTTCGTAATTAATCTTCATACAAAGTTAACAATCTAATTAACATTCTGCAACACAATGACCACAACTCTCAACCTCTTTCTTTCTCTCCTTTGATTACTTGAAGCAAAAGAAACTGTAAATTATAAGTTTTGTTACTATGGTGAACAATTATCAATGTGATTACCATTCAAAATTTAAAAGGTTGAATTTAATTTAATATTGATGATTATTTAATCACCATAGTTAAAATTATGTCACCTCTTTTTCATCAAAGATTTAACTAAATTACAGTTAACCTTAGGCTTTACAAGGCAATAACTGTAATAATAATGATGATAATCATCGTCATCATTATGATGATGATAGTAAATGTTGTAGAAAGAAGGAAGAGAAAAATAATAATAGTGAAGATGAAAAATCAAACTACAATTTATGGAACAGCATGAAATTTAATTTCTTTCCTTCTAGAGTAACATTTTCCTCTTCTTTTTTTTTCCAAACATTTTGAGAAATGAAAGAAAAGATTTTTTTCTCTCATCGTTTCGAAGGCAGAATTTTTTTTCCTTCAACTTCCCTGGGGGAGATTCCATGGAAGAAGAAAAGAAAGTAAAAGCCAAAACTTGGAAAATATACAAAGAACGATGAAGATAAAACCAGTATGATGAATAAGGTGTAAGAGAGAAGATGAAGATGATGTGGCTACTAAAGAGCAATTAGATTTCTCTTACGTTCACAATGTCTACTTAGTGAATATCACAAACACTTATGAGAATTGGAAACCCTGAAGCATCGGTTATTTATCCAGCATTTGTTTAGACCCACTGAGGTTTTCGATGGCCACTGATTGGTCAACCTCTACTTTTACTTTATCTCTCTCACTCTCACTTTTCTTTGTCTTTTCTTATTCTCTATCATTTTTCTTCTTCCATAGTTATTGTTGATTCCGATTGGTTCCAATGAATGATGGGAAAGATAATGATGGAGATGATAATGAGATGGAAAAGTGATGAGGAGAAAAGGAGACAAGACAAACAAGTTGAACAAAAAAAAAGTGAAATGATGAATGTAAATGAGATGATGTGTAGACTCAGAATATACGGAAGGAAGGAAAAGATAAAAAATTATCTCCAAATATTGAGCAATCTCACTCATGGGAAGATGAAGATGATGAAAATGATGATTAGGATTTTTTTTCCTTCCAAGTCTTTGGTGTTACTTTCTGTTGGTTCATGGGAATAAAATATCTGTGTGTTGGCAGGATCATTATGCTCACAGAATGAGAGAGGGAGAGAGATGAAAATGAAAATGGATAAGTGATTTAAAGATGATGATGATGATAAGTTGATGTTCCTCTGCTATTGATCGTTATTTCAGCATTTTGGTTATATATTATTCTGCTTCTTGTTTTAACTCCATGATGTTGATGATTATAATGATGATGGACTTTTCTTCTTTCAAATAACTAATAACCATCATTATTATTATCATCATCGTCTATTGCATCTCTTTGTTTCTTTTTATTCTTTTCCTTTTATTGTAATAATTGAAAACAATCAAATGACGATTTTTATTGTAATCAAATCAATGTTGTTCCCATTATATTGTTATCCTTGTTTTTTTTGCTTCGTTTCAACATTCGTCCTCATGGTTATCTATTGCTGTTGATATTTTATCATGAATCAGCTGAGATACAAATGGTTTACACATGTAATATGATTGCCAGTAGATTTTAGTAAAACAATTTTCATGTTTGATTGTGAACATTCAATTGTTTTCCATGTTATATTAATAGTTGAATACAAGTCTAAATCATAACAAACAAACAAAAAAAATAAGAGAGAAAGAATTAAATAACAATCAGATTTAAGGAGTTGATGGGGAAAAGATGAAGTGATGATGAAAAATGTGATTTAACCATCAACACATTGAGAAGATGAAAGATGAGGATGATGAAAAACAACAAATCTATCTCCTTGTAAACGTAAAAGTCACTTTTTTGATGACCTAATTAAGTATGTCAAGAAATGATTTGGCCTTTTACCTCCCACTAAATCCAGAATAAACCTCAGTCTTTTTTCATCTTCATCTTTGATTTTTTCTCTCTCTCTCTTTGTTTACTGATAATTCATCAGTATTGTGTATATTTCCTTTGTCTTGTTCCACAGACTGTACTTGATAACACCATAGATGATGATTATCATCATTGTTGTCGATGTCTTTTCCATCCCTTTGTAATATTATTTACTTTTTGACCAAGACAAAAGTCCAACTCCTGAAACTGAGTGATAATGTTCACAATTATGTTCTTATTATTTTTCAGCTTCTTCTATTAACATCTAAGTGGTCATTTGTGTCCAGTTCAGATTAAATCAAATGAGTTTCATCTTATTTTCCATCAGTCGAAAAAAAAAACAATACTCAATGATTGTGTTTTCTGTTGAATAGAATTTGTTTTTTCTTCTCTTTTCATTTATATTTGAATCTTTTTTTCCCGCTATTTGTCTGATTGTTTATCGTTTTCTTGGTTGATTTTGTTTATCCAGGTTAATACCAGTCGACCCGATGAATTGGTTTACATATTTACCGATTTTAATTCTGATGTGCGTTTTTTGGAAGGTAAAAGTTACACTGTCGTTTGCTGTTCCGGAATCGCCATCGATTTGCTCAACACCGTTGCTCGTGACCTTAATTTTGATTATAATTTATACCTTGTGGCCGATGGTCTGTTTGGTATACCACGTAACGGAGGCCAATGGGATGGTATAACTGCCGATCTGGTTTCCGGTGCTGCACACATAACTTTTTCCGCTTTCAGTGTCACCAGTGCCCGTGTCAATGTAAGAATTGTAATGTCTCCATCATAATTGTTAATTAATTTTCTTTTTTTCTCTATTTCCCTAAGGTTATTGATTATTCCGTCCCATTCTTTTACTCTGGTGTCTCATGCCTTGCTCGAAGTCAATTCTCGGATGTTCCGCTGTCAGCATTCTTGATACCCTTTAGTTACCAATTATGGTTCGCCATCTTTGCCAGTCTCCATGCAACCGCCATTGCTGCTGCTATCTACGAATGGTTAAGTCCATTTGGTTTAAATCCTTGGGGTCGACAGAGAACCAAAAATTTCAGCCTTGCCTCAGCCTTATGGGTTATGTATTCACTCCTGTTCAGTCACTTGGTCGCATTCAAGGCACCCAAAAGTTGGCCTAATAAGGTAAATCAATTTAACTAATTGATGGTTGATATTTTCTTGATTTAGAGGGCAATTATTAGTTATTCAAATGTTTCAAGGTTCCAACACTTGACCCAAATCAAAGTTTTCTTTGTTGTGTACATATTATTATTCAGAGACAGGGTGAAATGAAACTACTTAACCAGGGAAGATTATGATTGTAATTATGATGATGATGATAATAAATGATGAGGACATAATTTCTTGTCATTCAGCCTGAAAAAACAATGATTCATTTTACAAGAAATGACTTTGTAAGTCACGAAAATGTTTCAATTGTTTGTTTGTTTTCATCAACATTTGTCTGAATCATGATACCAGAAACATGTATTCATCATTAATCATTTAAATTTGCTTTCATCAAACCATTTGTTTCACAGTTAATACATTGTTAACTGTTGAAAATAATTAAGGTCAACAACATATCGTTAAAAACATGATACATTAATTAGATTGGTACAAAAAGAAAAATAAAGAAACAAGATTCTGATGACAATTTAAATGAATCATCATCATCACAATTTACATTTAACCTCAATATTTACACCCATTGACATTAGTTAAATGTAAACAAGACAAAAACTAAGTTCAATTGCCTAATTGATTGATTTTCTCAGTACTTATAATTATTTCTTACTCACATCCCTGTTGATTGTTTGGTATTTTTAATCTAATTGTTGTGTTTTACTCTTTATATATGTTTTCATTTGACTTGATCAGGTATTGATCAATCTATGGGGTTGTTTCAGCGTCATCTTTTTAGCCACTTATACAGCCAATATTGCAGCTCATTTCGCTGGCCTTTTCTCCAACGAAGAGATCAATGATTTTCATGATGGAACGGTGAGTCAATCATGGTTTATTCATTACACTTTCAACCCTGTCAATCAATCACCTCGAAAATGCTTGTCTTCATCCTTTTGTTCATTATTCCTCAATCTCATCATCATCCGGTTGTTTGTTTTTGCCTCCTTTGTACACACTTTGTATACTTAATTCTTGAATATTGGCTCTTGGTATTTATCACATGGAAATCACTGGTTCCTTAATAAGATAATTATTATTGTTGTTCTGTTTGTTTCGTGTCATTGTAAGTCGAGAAAATCTCCTTATTCATAGCAACCATTTTCTTTTGGTATTCGTTTACCAGTTATTGGAATTCAGGAGAAGAAGAATAGAAATTTTTCCCTCTCTCTCTCTCTCTCCATCCTATTCTATGAATTTTCTGTTTCCATTGGAATCAGTTGATGTTTTCTAGAACAAAATAAAAGAAGATGGAGTGTTAATGATGGTGATAAACAAAAGTGAGAGAGAACTTTTTTCCCTGTATACTAACCTGTCAACTATTTAATAAAATATGTAATTAGTATTATGTATTTCTAAAGCTTTTCCATCCAAAAGCTCAGTAACATTGACAGGTAACTGTCTAGTCAAAGCTCATCAGCCTAAGGGAGAATCCATGATGATGATTTTTGATTATTGGTTGATAATCATGATGAAAGAATCTGTATGTTATTAATCCATTTGGAAGGAGAAAGGGAAAAATTATTGAAACAAAGGATAAACATAAAATCATTTTTCATCCTCCAATCTCTGGAAATTATTATTATCATGATGATGTTAATCATAAAGTATCACTAATGTGTGATAAGTTATAGTTGAAAATGACTTTTCCAAGTCAATGAATTAATCACCATGCAATGAAATAGATGAACAGATGACTTCACTATTGTGTTTTCTCAGTATCAGGATAAATTATCAGGTAATTTTTCTTGCTTCATCAAAGAATTGAATCTATTCTGAAGAGAGAAGGAAAAAAAATATATTTCACTTTAGTTTTTTTCTCCTTCCTTTCCATGGATCCTTTGTAACACAAACTCTGTCTTTCCAATTAAATCTTGATATTGATATTGTAATTGTTTTCCATTTATGATGATGATGGTGATTAAGGTGTATTATCAACGTAATCGTGGATAGCATTTCTTTTTTCATTTCTCTCTTTCAAGGAAACTCAATTCAATCTGATATCAGTTTGAACCGTTATCATCGTTGCCTCTGTTATTATCTGATTACCATTTATTCATTCAATTACTTTATCGTCATTCATTGATTCACTTGAATTGTGACAATTATTAATATATTATAACGAAAATTTCTTCTCAGTTATATAAATTTTTATCATTCTTTTTCCTGGTCTCATGCGTTAACGGCTTCTTTTGGACAGGTCATTTCGTATTTTAAACGAAAATATTTTTCCATGTGACGAAATGACAAGAGTTTATTTTCCATTGACTATTAATAGTAATTGCATCCTAGTGAATAATAATAATTCATATTGGTAGAATTATTTTATCCTTTTCTTTTCGTATTTCATTTTCCACGCTATCACCTCATCTTTTCAATCGATGACGTTGAAATTGTATCCATCCTTTTAGGTTAAATTGTTATATTTTTGATTATGATGATCAAGATGAATATTATCTTTTCTTTTGATTTGCTTTCCTATTCCATCTCCATTTTTCTTGTTCTCTATTTTGTTCATATTTATTTCTTGAGAACTTGTTTATCTGGATTGTTTATTTTTCCACCTCTTTTGATATAAGTTTTGCTCGATCCAAAGATTTTATCACTGTTGCCATCATTATCCTTTCTTTTATCGTCTTAATCATCTCTCTCTCTCTCTCTCTCAAATATAATCTTCACTTTCTTTTCCTAGTCTCTTTTATCGTAACCAAGTCTTGGAGGCAAAATAGCATCATGATAATGATACTGAGAAAGAGAAAGAGAAAGAAAAGAAAGTAAGAGAAGGAGAGAGAGACTGGAAAATGAATGAGAATTACCAGGAAACTGAAAATTTCTAAACCAGGGCTTACATCATTATTGATTTTGAGTTGAGATCTTTTTCCCGAGCAGCATAAAGATGAAGAGTATGCTGATGAAAATGAAGGTAACGAAATCTAGAAATAAGATAAAATAGTTATCATAAAATGGTGAAGAAAAAACAAGAGAATCAAACAAGGGAATCAAATGGATGTCAAACTGAGGGAGAATGAAGAAAATAATACTAAAGAGAGTGAAGAAGATGAAGAGAAGAAGAAAAAATTTTATCCTTTAGACAAAAAGGTTTTGTAGCTTAATCTATTTGTGAGAGAAAATTTTACCTTAACGAACATGAATCCTTCCTCTTTACATGTGAATCCATTTTCTCCTCATCAATGGTCCTTAAAGTTTTGTTCTTTTCTCAATTTTTACTTCCTAATCATCGTCATGATGAAGAGATGATGAACATCACTTTTGCCTCCTTTTTTTTCATCAATTTACTTGAATCGTGTTGACGAGTTGAACGAAGAATATAATTCTATGATTGCCATCGTATGTTATCAAAACTGCGATCCACATCAACGATTATTCATTGAACCATTATTTTCTCTATGTTATTATAACCCAAGACTTTTCATAGAAATTTTTTTCGTCATCTTTTTGATTCTTTCACTTGATTCCTCATCTTTCTTGTTTCATCTCTTTAGCATCATTTCCATTTCGCTATCATCTCCTTTTTTTTTGTTGCTCCAGTTTTATATTCGCTCAATTCTCGTTCTATCTTCTTCGTCTTCGTTTTCGTCTTCATTTTCATTCTCCCTTTCTTGATGCTTGGTAACTTTGTCATTTCCTTTTCCTTTTCTTTATCCTCTTTTTTGATCTTTTTTAGAATATCTTTATTCTTGTTATTCGTCTTTATCTTGTTCATGGAGAGAAGGAAAAAAATGAAGAAAAAATTCTGTATTTTTCATTATCATCATCTTTCTCTCTCTCTCTTTTATCTTGTACTTTGAGTTCTTTTCTTCAACCGATTTTATCTCTCAAGAAGCGATTACTTTCTTTTCTTTCCTTCTGCATCAATTGAACTGCTTATTCTCTTTATCTTCCATAGCTCCATAGTTATCATCATCATCACTTCCATCCATCTTTCGTCTTCCTCTTCTTTTCCTTCTCCTTCATTTTCGTTTGCATATTTGTACATAATGATCTCTGTTTATAAAAGAAAAAGAAAATGAAATTGTATCAATTTGAATAACACAGAATGGAATAGAAAAAAAAGAGAATGAAAAAAAAATTCAGTAACCACGATGAAAATTTCAGTTATTCAACAAAATGAATCGAATGGAGGTGGTTACGGAATTTTTCTCTTCACAAAATCTATCTCATCATTTCTTAAATCTTTTTAAACAGATTTACCTTTTTTTCCTCGAGTCCACCAACAATTCAACTTTAAGTTTGTTTTAATCCATTCCAATGAGTATAACAAACTACTTCATCTTCACTAGTTGAAATAACTTTTTTTGTAACTGTTTTGTCCTTAAATGGTTTTTCCAAAAAGTCCCAACGATTTATTTAATCATATTGAAGAGTCCATTTGATTTTGATCACATTAACCAACAGTAGTTTAGTTTAAATCAATCAATCCAATACCAAAGTCTGAGAATCTTGGGTTTTTTTTTCAATCCTTAGCTTGGAAATCACCATGAGTATTAAACAGCAGAATCGATGCTGGTATAAGAATAGCATCAGATTGGCTTTAATGCTCATCCATGAAGAAAGAAGGGAAAATTATCTCTCCTTTTCTCTTATGAGAGATAAATCTTGAACATTTTCTCCTTCTCTCTCACTTTAACTTGTTTCGCAACTCTCTTGATGAGAGAGATTCATATTGAATTGTTGTTCTGAGACCTTTTCCAAATAGAAACTCTTGTGTGTGTGTACATCTAGCAATGGTGAGAGAGCTAAAAGAATCTCATTTGCAAAAATGGAAAAACGATCATAGTGAATGGGCAGATTAAAAGGCCAATTTTGATGGTTATTTAGTTCTTGACAATATCCGGACGTTTTAATCTCGTCTTCTTTGCTTGAATCAATCTAAACAAAAAAAACGAAAGTCACTTCTTCTTGTCATATTCCTATGGAGATATCATTATATTTATATAATGATAATAACTGTATCTTCAATTCTTCCATTTATCATAATTATCCTTCATAAGGTCTCTTCTTTTCTTTGTCTTTAAGATTCATCTAGCATCTTGACCGCCATTTTATCTTTATTTCCACTTGATCCTCTTGTTTTGCTTTTCTTGATATTTCTTTGTACACTAGATACACCATACAGCAAGTAAATGATGGATTAACTATAAAAACTTTTGCATGTTTTACGCTGGTCCTTCATCGTCTAGTGGTTATCCAACAAAAGGATTAATTCACTTCAACTTGTATTGAGCTTAGATTCCTGGTTCAGATTAATATTTAGTCTTATACATCAAGCGAAAGCAATAGAATTGCCATTAACCAGTAATAGAGGATACATAAGAAATCCTGAAAATTAGCAAGAAAAGTGTTGAGTTATTAATAAAGATGATGATGACGATGACCAGAGTGAGAGAGAAGAAAAAAGTAAATGGAAAATAAACATAGATAATGGATTAGAGTTGCCACACACATCATAATGATTCTTGTATAGCTACGATATAATATAATGGATTATTTTAATTAGTTATTTGGTTACTAACCTAATCAATTTGGCAGAAATCCAATAGAAATGATGTGATAATAACAGAAAGAGAGAAAAAAACGATGATCCAATAGTATCAAGGTTTCCATACGGATAATATTTCCTTTAACCTTAATTTTCATGTGAAAATGTCACCAAACTGTTTTTCCTCCTTTTATCCTGCTCAATATACATTGAATCCAAATAGACTTAATGTTTATCTGGAATTAATTGCCACTAAAATGGTAACCATCTTGTTGATCATCTTCTTGTCCATTCTCTGTCTCTCTCTCTCTCTCTTTGTCCAGTTAATGTCCATGAGAACAGGAGTAGCCCGATCCAGTGCATCAGAAGGATACATAAAGAAAGAGAATATGATTCTGTATGAACACGTACAGAAATTCATGTTCAAAGATTTCGATGAAGGATTGGACAGATTAAGGTAAGAACAAAAATTCAAACACCTAATGGAAAACATTACTTACCTTTTATCAAATTTTTCTTTCACTTATCGACGAAAATCACCATCATGATTCCATAAATATTTCTCATCTTAAAAGAGAGAGAGAGAATACAATTTTATATTTAAGTTGCCAAGAGAAGAGAGAAAAAAGAACTAAATTAAAACAAAAACGAAAAAAGAATAGAAAAAAATTGTAACATTTGAAAAAGAAAAAAAGAAAACGATTTTGATTGGTTGATTCTCTCTCATTTTCTATTCTCTTTTACATTTTTTTCTCTTATACTCTTTTTCTTCATTAAATTGTTTTCTCTTTTCATCCATCTTGTCACTAGTTAAGAAAAAGTGATTAGATGTTTTTTTTTGTCATAAGAATAGAAGAAAACAAAAGACTATCAATTTCATCTTCTGTCTTCATTTGGACTTTTGGGCTCATCATCATCTCTTTTTTTTCATCATTTTTGCTTTTTTTACTCATTGGATACTTACCTTTATTTGGATGTTTTTTTTTGTTTTTTTCCTTTTTACCCTGGACTCTGAATGCTTCCTGATAAATGTGTATACTCATGAGTCTAGTTTCATGAGAGATGAACTATTTTTTTATGTGAATGTTGTTTCTCTTTGTTCCTCTTTCGGTGAAAAAAAGAGAGAGAAAATCACATTATAAAAGGTCATGATTTCTCATATTATGGCAACTATAATGTCCCATTAAGTTTTCCCAGTTTGGATTTTTTATTTCATTTTCGTCACATCATTTCAATACAAACATTCAATTGTTCTTTGTGCCTGTCTTCCAATTCTGGTAAAAATCATCATGGTAACAAATGAAATGACTATTATTAATACTACCATGGGTGTTGTATTAATAGAAAAGTGAAAAACTAAATAGAGAAAAAAAAACGTCCAAGGAAATGATTGAACTCTATCGCCATTTTGGTTTGCATCTTTTTTTTGTAAATTATCTTTCATCTCAGTGATTATTAAGGTGTCGGTGTTTCCTAGTTAATTAACATACTTTAAATTCACAAGGATAATGATGAGCCTAATCTTATGAAGTCTTTTGTTTTCCATGTTGAAAGAAAAGCAATTTACAAATTGTTTATCCTTCCATCGTGACAATTTTAAAAGACAATATGACAACCGGTGAAAATGGAGAAAGATTAATGAGAGATTATCCGATGAGATAAGATTTCTTAAATTTTTGCTACTATTTTTTTTCTCTCCCCTGATCTTCCATTGATAATGGTTGACAATATTCATTAGATGAAACAATTAATAATTTCTGAGTTAATTACCTTTCCAACAAAATTCTTTCCCTCATTTACCTTAAACAACACCTTTTCCAATGTGATCGTTTTTCTCAACGATTCCTGTGAACTCTTTGTTTACATGCATAGAAAACCTTTTTTGTTTGTTCGATTCTCTTCAATATAATATATTTCTCATCGTATTATATTTTTTACCCTCTTAATTTGTTCATGTGTTTCTCCCTGATGACTGTGAAAAACTACAATGAAAGTGAATCCAACATGTTCCACAGTTGAATAATCATATTGTTCAATAGTAATTTACCAGGAAAAGTGAAAATTTCGTCTACCCTGTTTATCTTTGTTAATCTCTATTCTTTTGTTTTTCTATTGTGTGTGTGTTATAATATTCAAATGACCAATGGAGATTATAACATTGTCTCTCTTTTTCTCTTTCATTATTCCTTCGCCTCTGTTTCCATGTTGATTAACAATCAACTCAATCTAATTTTACCAACTAAACCTGATTCCATACACAACAACATATTGATGATTATCAATTGACCTTTGTGTTTTATATTACATGGTTTATGGTGATGATAGAAATGAGTCATTACAAGTATTAATTGGTGATACTGCTATTCTTGATTATTTCCGAGCAAATGAACCCGGATGTAACCTGAAGCTTCTTGGTGATTCCATTTTTGATGATGCTTATGCTGTTGGAATGCAAAAAGGTTTCCCGTTAAAAGTAAGTCAATTGATAGACAATCAATATTTCTCATATTCACCGCAATTAACTTGTTGTTCTTATTTTTCTTTTTCTTTTTTCTCAATTTTCCCCTGATTCCTGTTTCGATTATCCCACCTTTACTGGATTATCATCATTCTCTCATCAAATTTCTTCATCAATATTTGTGATTTCATCAGAATGCAATATCAGATTTAATTTTGAGATATAATACTTATGGATACTTGGATCAACTTCAACGTAAATGGTATGGTCGAGTTCCGTGTCTGGAAAATTCATTGAACAATTTAAATATTCCCAAACCATTGAGCGTACGTGCAGTTGCTGGAGTATTTATCATGCTTCTATGTGGTCTTGGTGTTGGAATATTCATCCTAATGGTGGAACATGTTGTCTTTAAATATGCTCTTCCAAAATTGCGAAAGATGCCTAAAGATACTTACTGGAAGAGTCCGAATCTCATGTTTTTCAGTCAAGTAAGTCATTGAAATGATAATAATAATAATAATAATAATAATAATCTTCATGAATGATAAACTTTCTCTTTCTTTGTTTCATCATTAAACCATAAGCAGAGAGAATACTGAATCAACTTTCTTATTATTAGTAGTATATTTTTTTTACTCTCATCAATATCATCATAAAGAAATAGAAAAGTGTTCATGATGCTCATTTACTTTTTATTGATGATGACAGCTTTTTTCTTCCATCATCATCAATATGGTTTTATCATCTTTATATTCATCGATATAAACCGTTATCATAATTTCATGAAACTGATACAAAAAGTAACCAAGTCAATTGGTTTTAACTTAATGATTTTACTTTGATGAAAATCGTCTCTACTATTCAGTATTGACAAGAACTTTTGAAAACCTTTAATTCAACGTTATTTTATCGGATTATACATGTATCATTATATTTCACTTTCTTTAGTTAAACTTGCGATTTTCTTGCAAACAAATAGTCTATCTCATAGTGAATAAAATTAATCTTCAAATGCCCTGAAGGTAAATGACAGAGTAGATTTTTTCGCTCTCTCTCTCTCTCTCTCTATAGTTAAATTGTTTCTCATTTAACTGATTCTCTATATGTTTAGAGATGACACCATTATAACCATGATAATATATTTTCTTAATTTTTTCTCCATAATTTCTCATTAAACGAATCAACAATTTAGTCAATCGAGTTAATCTTCTCCATTGTGAACCATCAAATTGTTGAACATTGTAAATCACCTCAACCATGAAAATCTAAAGTTCAACAATTAAGTCAATATGTTAATCATTTTTTAGCTTATTTTCTTATTTTCCTATCCTCTATTACTTATATTAAATTGTGTTCATCTTAACGATTTATTAAATCATTTCCATCATAATCAGTTTGACGTATTCATCAAAATCAGATTAAAAATTATTTATTCCTCTAATACCATTTAATAGATAATTAATTGTTTCCTAAATTGTAAAACTTTGATTGAACCTTTTTCCTGATTCCTGATCAATAAGATTTTAAATTGTTGCTTTTTGGTGTTTTTTTTGCTCGTTGTTATTAAATTATAATGATTTAATAGAATCCATCCTAATTGATTAGCTTGACATTTACTCAGAAAAGTAAACTGATTATGACAATCAATCGCAATTGGAATCGTTGTTGATGATGATCTCGTTTCCTCAAATTTCATCTTATAATTAAATCATTAGCTATAAATATTTGATTTGTCTCATTCAATTGCTTGGAAAATGTTTGACCATCGAAAACAATTTACTATTTCATTAAATTGTCGTTAAAAGTTTTTTGATTCTTTTTTTTTGTTCTCATCTCACCAATGAAATTATCTTTCAATCAAATAATCAAACAATAATTTATCTGATCATTTCTTTTTTCTCTCTCTCTCTCTAACCAGAAATTATATCGATTCATCAATACCGTTGAACTTGTATCACCACATCATTCAGCCAAGGAAATAATGTCAAGCCTAAGGACTGGACAGATCACAAGTCTTTTCCAAAAGAGTTTAAAAAGGGTATGAATATCATGATCGAAAACCACTTTTCCTTTTTTTTATCTTCATCTTTTTTTCACCACCACCGCATCACTTATATTCATCCCTCTTTTTGTGTATCTCATCATGTACAGTATAGACACTTCCTTTTCCTCCTCATCCTTTTCAATCTCTCCACTTAATGTAATGTGAATTGCACTTTGATAGTTTTTTGGTTTTTCAAACTCTTTTGGTAGTTTTACTTGGAGAGTGAGACAGAGACTGAGAGAGAAGAATATTATTTTTCCATATCAAAGGAGACTAGGGAGATGAGTAGAATAAAGGAAGTGGGTGGTTGATAGGAAAGACCTTTTTTTGATGTACTCTAATTCTGAATTCTGATTAATACTTAATCTCGGGTGAAAAAAAAGAGATTCAGCTACAAAGATTGACAGATTTTCCATTCTGATTAAGCTGTTAGTATATTCCACATTATTATCTATCAAATTCATGGTATTTATTCATTGACTGTTCTTGGGAATAAGGATTTTTGCACGAAAGAGATTAACTGTTAATATAAAGTCTTTTACAATCCGATAGATCATCATCATCATCTTCATCATCATTTTGTTTTTATTTTCTTTGTTCTAGATAATAATATTAATCTTTCATTTTTCTTCTTCTTCTCTGGATTATAAACAATTCACTTTTCTGTATTAACTGAACATTCAATCAATTTCCTCGTCGCTTTCGATTACCACTAAATTCATTCAACAGTTAACTTATTTCCTCATCTAAAAGACAATGTTACAGTTTTCATAATCTTTTCCAATTGTACTCACAATGTTTATATGAATTTTTTGATGTGATTCCATGAAAATTTTGTTTTTCTTACCTTGGAGCTGGTTAGTTCTCATTGCAAGTCATTCATTGATTTTGATTTATATTTATTGACAGTTTAATGCTGTCGTTAACTTGAACAACAATCAACTGACAAAAGTAAAATGATTTACTCTTGATTTACCTACAAACTGTTAATACAATTCATCTATTTATTGTTGAACATAAATGTTAGACTTTTTCCAATCACTTGAGGTAATGAAGATGATGAACTTTACCATGAATCTGACGAGAATTAATGATCATCATTAATCGAGAGATAAAATTTCATCTTTAAAATTGTTACTCTCATTTTTCAATTCATTTTATATTCTCAATTAATTGTTACACTTTTTTTTCTGTCTCCATTAATATTGATCAATGAATTTTCAATTTTCTATAAAATAGTAATTTGTGTTTATCCAATTTTGTAGTGACAATTAACGTTGATTAGTTTTCCATACCCACTCCTTTGGGTAATTGTTATAATATTACTTATTTGATAACAATTATCAATCGAAGGTTAATTATTATTTTCCTTCTAATCATTAATCGTCCAATGTTGTATTAACTAATTCTTATATTTATATTGTTTTATTATTTTCTATTGGCTCCCATTCCCTGATATTTATTGATTGTTATTCACAGAAAGCAAAGGAAGAGGCTCGTCGTCGTAAAAGTAAATCACAATTTTTTGAGATGATGCAGGAAGTAAGAAAAATGTAAGTATCAATCATTGTAATGATTAAATGATGATTATGATTATTGCAATAGAAACTAAATCATCATCTAGTAAGATTTTTATGATTAAATTAACTCTTGATCTTTTCTTCATGATTACCAAACATTATTACCATGATGATTATTAACCAAACTAATGTTATTATTATTATTGTTTCTCATGTGTGTTTTTATTGTTTTTATTTATTTGTTTTCTAGGGTTCAAGATCAAAAGGATGAACAGAGAATAGGAATTGTAACAAATCAACCGATATTAATGACTTCACCTCCTCTATCATTACCTGTTGTTAATCAAGATTCATTTCTCAGTGAAAACGATTCAATTGGAGGGGCAACAACAATTAGAACTTCATCAATACGATGGAAAGAGCCATCTTTTACCACAGAAGATGAACCAGCTTATCTTCATCAGCCAGTTCTTAAAACACCTCGAACAAAACCTCCGTCAAGTTTAAAGTCCAGTGATTCACGAAACAATACATTAACTAATCGATTGGGAAAAACGAAAGGATCAACATCGTTAAGTTCAACTGAACTGTGTCCACCTCCATATGGTTTAGGTTATTATCGATCACCATCATCAGCATCTTCAATTGGTTCTGAGGGTGGTAGGCAAGCTTCTTGGTGTGCTACCCAAATAATTAACATGAGAGAAAATGTATCCATATCTCTTGAAGATATTGCACTTCCAGGTGATTCAGGATGTGGATTGGGAGGAAATAATAGACGAAAATATTTTGGATTAAATGAGATGAATTTAATTAAAACCTGGTCATTTGATGATCTCTCAATTCTTAAACAGCAATTAAGTTATCCTGCTAATTCACCAATTGAACAGGATAAAATGACTCTACTTTACTCGCAATCCCCTCGAGCCTCCATGATTATACAAAGTCCACGTCACACCTCCATGGTTGATTCAGTTAAAATTCAATCCATGAGCAAGGAAGATATAATCTCACTTTGGCGTAGCTCAGAAAGGGAGCTATTAAATAATCTTCAAGATGCTCTCCAGCAAAAGAAAGCCCTGGAAGAGAGACTAGCAGTTCTTACCAGAATTTTAATGAAACCTCCTTGATGATTATCCTGGTTAGATTTTGTTCTGGACTCTTGAAAATTTAATCAACGAATTAATTTGATCACATCAACAACAACAAAAATTCATATGTAAATATCCAACAATTAATGTTAACTTTTCTCTTCTCATAAAGGAAAAGGAAAACAAGTACATTTAACTTGGTTCATCTTTTAGCAAATTTTCCCAATCGATTCATTTTCGAACAAATTTCTTTCCAATTGGTCATGTCATCCTCTTTTTTTGCTTGACCATTTACCTGTTTAATCAAAGAAAGGATTATTTTTGGCAATCATTATATATTGATGTTTAATGGTGATGAACAGATTGACTAATTGGTTAACAATCAACTTTCTCAATGTGTTGGTTAAAAGGGTGATTAACTTTTAACTGGAACTGTAAATTAATCAATGAGACCATCTCTCTGGAATTTCATCAAATGGGTCATTTAACTATTCAAATTACATCCAGGATCTTATTCTGGTTAAAATTGTGTTCAAATCAACTGAACATATAAACAAAAATCAACGTAACAATTTATTTCTCAATCTTTTCAATTTCATCAAAATTTTAATTCAGATCTTTAAATTCTTCTAATCATCTTAATCAACGATCAACATTTCTTTTCTCGCTCCAATCATAATCATCAATATCATCATTTTCACTTTTAATCAAGTTTCATTTGAATTAAGACAATTTTTTGTTTTTTTCCCCTTGATTAGTTGAAACTTAAATACACAATTAAGATTTGAAAATCTTTTCTCCTGCCTGGAAATGATTTTGATACGAAACAATTAAGTCTGTAAATTTAGAATTCTAATCAATTGGATGGCGCAAAAAAAAGTAAAAAATTGCAACTTTAATTACACGAATGTTAATCAATTAATGATTATGCAATTTTAATTAACTATGATAATTAATTAAATGGAAAACAAAGTGACAGATTGGGAGTTAATCTTTTGTTAATCTTGATTAACAGTGATTAAGATGGACAACGAGAACCACGGATTGGAAAATCTAATCATCATCAAGGAGTTTTATGCAATTTCTTATATTTTCATCAAATCAAATCAATTATAATCTATAGTTAAATCTGATATCATTTTAATTGTTCCAATCTTCACAATCAACTTACAATCTTATTAACAATTGTAATCATATTGATTTGATTCTGTTATCACCACCTGATCAACTTTCTAATTGTTTAATCCAATTTCAACATGAAAAGCCAATTAATTTGTGTTTCCACCAATTGATAATCCTGATTATCCTGTAAATCATTTGGTTAGATTTCTCTCTGTTAACAAACACAAACAGCACAATTAACTTTATTAATCTTTGTTCATTATCAAATTGTTATCCAATAACAATTAATGTTAAATATTTTTTTTGTTTCTCTTTCTCCTTTGTTCAATTAATTTTTCTGTCCTCCATTAATTGTTAATCAATTATCAAAACAAAACAATTTTGTTCTTTTCCGTTAATTGTTAATCTCAATTGCACAAATTACTAAATTATTTCCAATCCAGATTATTATTCATTCCTGTTATCATTTTTTTCAATCTCGGTTCCTCTCTCTCTCTCTCACTATTTGATTATAATCAACCAGAAGCCTAAAACTTAATTAGCTATCTGATTGTAAACTAATCATTGAAAATCAATCAATCTTCAAGATGAGAAACCAAAGCTTAATTATAACAATCAAGACGAGTTATCAATCAGCTCGATAAGAGTACAAGGTAAATGATGATGAAGAATAAGAAGAAGAGGAAAGAAAAGTATATGAAATGTGAGGAAGAAGAAGAAGATAAAATGTTGAGTAAAAATCCTTTGAGAGTAAAAGTAAAGTCCAAAAAGCGAAGGTCAAAGGAAGAGATTAAGTTAATCTCTTGCTCGATTGGAAGAGTGAAAAAAGATGGAGCCACAATTTTGGAAAAATCGAAGGTGAAATTCAATTTACGCGCCTTTCTAATCCTATGTAACTTTAACATCGAAAGTAAATGTAAAGGTTGACCGGTAGATGGAACGACTCAACTCTCTGTCTATTTTCTTTCGGATTCTTTTCTCATCGATAGCGATAATATCGCCCATTTGAGAAACCACATTTTTCTTTGTTTCATTGGAAAGCGTGTGAAAATCTTTAAGATTTATAAATAATCTCATTCTTATTTCTATTTTTCTTTTGTTTTCTTCTAAATTCTTAAAATAAGAATAAATTAACTCTGTTCAAATTGTTATTATATAATCATGGAGGTGAGTTATGGTATTGGAGTGAAGAATAGATATGCTCTATTCATGGCTGATGAAAATGTCGACCCATTGGATTTAATATCTAAACCATTGAAAAATTTAGATTCTTCTAAAGGTTCACCCTCAGTAAATGAAACCAATAAGGTTAACTCATCTGAATCATTTTCTACCTCCAATGCTCCTGTTAAAGATAATCAGGTTTCCCTAGCAAAAGGTAAAAGTGTTAAAAAGGTTACTTCTGATTCCAATGATAACCAGGAAACCAAAGGATCATCTAATGCTGCAAAAGAAAGGTCTAGTAATACTGGTAAAGAAAGATCTAATAATGCTGGTCAAAGTAGAGATCTTGTAAATGGTGAACGTGCTTCTGGCAATCGTGATCGTGATCAAAGAAATAGAACTGATCGTGGTCGTGGAGGTCGTGGAGGTCGACCTGGTGGTCGAGGTGGTTTTCAAGATGGTGGAGGACGTGAGCATGATGATAATGGTGGACGTCGATTCAATCGTGACCAGAATCGAGACAAAGAGAATCGATCTGACTATGAAGGACGTGGTGAAAGAAGAGAAGGCCGTGGTCGATTTGATTTCAATCGTTCTGAACGAAGAAATCGAGACGATGGCGGCAATCATGCGGGTCGTGACAATAGAGAACACAGAGAACATAGAGAACCCAGGGAACCCAGAGAACCAAGAGAACCGAGAGAACCAAGACGTGATTTTGTTAAAGATTCGGCTGCTGATTCTAGTAAAGATGCATGGGAATCAAATGAATGGAGTACAGATGCTTGGGGAACTACTGAAGCATTTGGAGACTCAACTGACAAAAGACCTCGAGACCGAGAAAGTGGTGGAGAAGGCAGAGGTTCCAGAGGAAGAGGTGAAGGCCGTGGACGAGGTGGATTCAGAGGTCGAGGACGAGGACGGGGTGGCTTTGATAATCGAGGTAAACGAGAATATGATCGACACTCAGGGTCCGATAAATCAGGAATCAAACCAACGGAAAAACGTGAAGGCGCCGGATCATTCAACTGGGGACCTGCTGTTGATAATTGGGGTCAAGAACCAGAGGCACAAACTAATCCTGAAGAAACACAAGAAAACCAAGAAGACAAAAGTAAAATCGGCGATTGGAACACAGGGGGTGATGAAGCCTCTAAGGAAGAAGTTAAAACTGACGATGAAGCAACTAAAGTTGAAATAAGTTACGATGAATGGAAAAAACAGGAAGAAGAGAAAAGATTAGTCCCAAAATGGAACATTCGAAAACCAGGTGAAGGTGAGGAGAATAATCCTGAATTCAAAAAAGGTTATGTGCTCAAGAAAAAAGACGATGACAATGCCGATGACGATGAATACGAAGAAATTGAAGTGGTAAGTTGAAATTTTCTTTAAATTTTCTTTTTTCTTTATCTCCTTCAATTTAAGCCGATTTTTCTGTCTTATCTAATGGCAAGAGGAACATGCTACGTCGGAGAGATTAACAATCCAATCACGAGACCTGAGATAATCTTTATTGTCTTTGTTGTTCAAAATTGTATTAACATTTATCTCTTTCTCAAATTGATAAATTCTCTTTTCAGGAAATAAGGCATGGAAGAGAAAAGAAATTGTTAGACATTGAAATTAATTTCAAGGATGAAAATCGAGACATGAGAAGAGGCAGAGGTCGAGGTGGTCCAAGAGGTGGAAGAGGTGGACCTGGAGGACGAGGTGGAGGCGGCGGTCGTGGTGAAAGAGATGGTGATCGCTCTGACCGACGCAGGGGAAGAGAAGCTTCAAAACAATCAGCACCGAAAGTTGATGATATGGAAGCTTTCCCATCATTAAATGCTTAAGAAAATTATTCAAATTGATAATTAAGCTTTCTCCTAATTAACACACACACACCACACACAAACACACTCTCAAGTTGACACTTGATTTTCTTCTCTAATTTATCCTTAGACTTTGATTATCGCGATTGATTCGGTTGTAAGAAAAGCTTTAACATGTTTCATATCCAATCGAAAACCAGCTCAATTAAAAAAGTTAATTGTCTCAATTTTCATTCTTGATTGTGGTTCTATCCTCATTTTATCCTTTTGGCTTTGTAATACTTCTCGATCTGTTTTCTTTTCCATTGTAAACATTAATCAATTGCGTTGTTTGAATGTAAATTGGCAAAAGCAATTAATTACGTTCTTCAATGATGAATCGTCTGATAATAAAATTATATTATTACAAAAAGGATAAAACAAAAAAAAATAAGAGCATTTTGTTTACATCTTTCCTTTTTTAATCTCAACTATTGTTCATACTAAACTTTCCGGATAATTGAACTTTTTGGTGAAAATTTTCATAAACAAAACCATCCAAAGGAAAGCGAAAGCAGTTAATCCCAACATGATCCAAATCCACAGTTGACAAGATCGACGGACGAATTCACTTAAACGATCAGAACTTTTCTTTAATCCGGAAGAATTTACATCGGCAACATTAGTCGCCGATTCGATTGTCTCACAATCTTTGCGAATCACTTGACTAGATTTGATTGCAAATTCTTTCAAATTCTTGGTAAAATCAAGCATATCGGCTGCCGCTTCGGCCTGAATCAACATGGTCTCACCAAGAATCGCCGATTCATCTTGTTTACCTTCACTCGTTTTGTTGGGCTCATCTTTTTTCAACACAAATCGATTCCTTAAACCATCATTTGTCTCCTGGTCGCCATTCAGTAGTTCATTTCTCACTTCTTCAGTATATTTTGCTTTTGATTTGATTCCAATTTCCTTGTTTTACATGTTGATTCAGTTGTAGCGGTTGAAGGAACTGGTGATAATATTTGACAGGCGAGTAATTTTTGTGAAGAACTTTTCAGTTTATCCAAGTCAATTAGACCTTTTAAGAATTTAACATTACGAATATATTCAGCTAATTCGTCTTGATCAGATTTAAGAATATCCATTCGGCGAAGTTCACCCAATTTCTCTTCCAAAGCAATTAAATAAGATTCCAAACGCCAACGGTAATCTTCATTTGAGTGATTAACCATTTCCATACATTTGTTTAATAAACGTTTAAAGTCAATTAGAAGTCGCTGTCCAACCGATGAACCAGCGGCTGTTAAACATTCACCTTCCGTCATCACAACTTTCAACTATTAATGTAACAAAATATCAAAACAAATTTAAATCAATTTGAAAGAATTAAAAAAAATCAAGAGAAAAGTAAAAAAAAAAATTAACTCAGAATAAAAATTTTCTCAATTTGTAACAAATTCATTTGTTTACAAAACCGAAATTAGTTCCTAATGCCACCAAGAGATGGCGCCACTAATTCTCTAATTGAGTGTAACAATTAATTGATTTTAAATTAATTAAATGTTGAAACTGTGATTAAAAATAATATTCAATTCTCTCAGTTGATGTTGAATAGTTTTCTAATATTTACCCTGAGAAACTTAATGAGTTGGTAATTGTTGTTTTGCTTTATGATAAACACACAAATGATTAACTAATTGTTTTATGATTGAAATGATTTTAATGATGATAATTATGATTACAGGCAGTGAGTAATTTTTCAATATGATTTAAAAGCTCAAATAAATTAAAGTTTCTCTTTGATTGTTGATTAATTTTGTTAAGAAGCAAATTTTGATTAGCCTAATGATCAATACTAATATGATATAATATGATTGATTTTGATGATTTCACTTTTTCATTTAAATGATTTGACAAGAGATTTAATTAAATTGCTCTTTTCCATTGAACAAATTATCAATTAAAAAGTATTTTCATTGAAAGATGAAAACTAAAAGACGAGATTAAAGAGATTTTGGTTTTCCATCCATTGAATAGTTAAATCAATCCAAGACAATTAAATTAATCTTTAATAGTTTGTAATCTAAGAAGAAAAAAGTTTCTAGTAATTTTAATTTTGAGTAATTTTGTTAATTTTCACCGTCCAATTAAGTTAATCAATCCAATCAGTGTCTCGTAGTTGTTGTCCACTCCTGAAAAGTTCAATCCAATTGACGAAAAGCGAGAAGGAAAAAAAACACAATTCATTTAATTGTTATCTATTTAATCCAATGAACAATAATTTCTAATTGCGATTAAATTGTTAATCAAGTATCCTCGCGATCACTGAGACTGGAAGTTGACCCGAGAGCACGACATAAACATAGAGAAATAATCATTCCAAAAAGCTAAATCAAAGGGAAGAGAATAAAACAAAATTGTGATTAACCCAATTCGAAGCTTAATTGTTTCAACAATTTACCGTAATTCCTGAAAATCCGCAGCCAATTATAATGAACACCAAACACTCAGTTCTTATGAACGCTTCCAATGCCGATTCACATCCCTGTAGATATTAAATGTTATCAGAATTATTTTTTTCATCGAAAATGATTAACTAATATTTCCCTTGATTACCTTATTGTGACGATAAGTATCTGGAAAATTAGATTTACACTTTTCGTAATCAATTGGTCGAGGATTAATGTAAGAGTGTTTCTCTTTCATGTTAATCAAAGTACAACAAGTCTTGACCAGAGTGTTTCCTTGACCACCGACTGATTGATTTCGCCAAACAGATAGACGATAGTCTTCCGGTCCACCGATTCCACAGCATTCATACTACATGATAGAATTATAGAGAAAATGTAAAGTGGAAGAAAAATAAATTCCATATAAGAGTTAATCACGATTCTCTACAAAGATCAATTAATTACTTTGGTTTGAGCCAAATCGATGGCCGCAGTTAGAGCGTCATTGTAACCATATTGTTTCTGTAGTTTGTCCGTTAATTTAAGCTTCAATTCAGCGACTACTTTTTCTTGGAAAACAACGGCTAAAACTCCGACAGTTAATTCGAGAGCGAAAATAATGAAAAGAAAGGCCATGAACTAGAAAAAAAATTAGAAGAGTTGACAATTAAGTTGACAGTTGATTCGAGAATCAATAATGTGGAATCGAATCAAAAATCGTACATTTAAATTGGTCTAATTTTGCAATCTAATTGTTTCTCTTTCTCGTACAATCAAATTGATGGGAAAATTTTTACCAATTTAGATTGAATTTCAATCGTAATCAAATCAGTGAATCACATCAAGGTGAAGTTTAATTGGTTTAGTGATTAACCTCATCTTCTTTCATCATCATCATTATAATCAATTTGAAAGGTTGATTAACTTTTCTCTCGATCTCTTTTTTTCTGATTCAGTTTTATGAAATTCATTCAGTGGCACAATCAAATTAGAATTTAACTTTTTCTCTTCTTCTTCGGGATTAATAGTTGATTAATCTATTGATAGAAGGGATTAAATGATAATAAAAGAATATGGGGAAAAAGAGAAGCCCTAGGAGAGAGAGAGAATGAGAAATTAATTCTATGGAGAAAGAGTTCCAATAGAAATAGAATTTAATTTGTTGCGAAGAATAACCAAAATCATTTAATACTTCGTGGGAACAATTAGTTAAATCAAGTGAGAAGAGAAATTAAAAAACTTACAAGAATTAATAGAAAACGTAAATCTTTAAGTGCACCACAACATCCACAAAAACCGATGATGAAAATAGCCGATCCAATGGCGATCGAAGCCCAGGCCAAATATTGTGGAAGAGCGTAAGATGTTGTCTGATTAGCGAAAAGGCCAAATAAAAGTGACCTTTCATCTTCTACGAGGAAAAATATTCCAAGAGAGAAAAAAATTATTCCGCTTGACCAGAAGATTGCGTTGAATATTAATAGTAACAGTTTGGCACATTTAGCACCGCAGCTTAAAGCCATTTTATCCCGTAGAGAATCAATGGTGATTAGTTAATTAGTTAATTAGCACAATTAGAGTGAGTGAGGAACAATCAAATTTAATTAAAGGTTAAAATAATAAATATGTAAGAAACTTAAAGATTAGGGTTGGATTGATTTTAGATTAACAGGATTAATGTAATTGAATGGAAAAGTGTAGCACTTAAAAAATTGAATTAAATTTCAAGAATTGATTGTAAACAGGTAGACGATAATGTAACAATTGGTAAGATAATTAAGTTTCATGGTGAGTTGATTGTTGTTTGAATAAACAATTAAAGCTAAAGGTAAGAGATGAGAGATGAGAAAATAAAAGAGTAGATTGAATGAAAGAGTGAATTTGACAATTTATCCTGTTGGATAAACGATTGAGCGGGAATGAGAAATGAAGAGAGAGAGAGAGAGAGAGAGAGACGATGATGATGATGATGATGAGACTGATGATAGAGTGAGAAAGACAAATGAAAAAGAGAAAGGCTGAAGAGAGAGATGATGATGATAGGGAATGATGATGAAATTGATGGGGCGATATGATAACACAGGATTGAAATGTTACATGTAAGGATTAAGATGATGAAGATAAGGATGATAAGTTTGATGTCCAGGAGGAGAAAGTGGGAGTTACACTTGGATGATATTAAATTGTAATACTACATCATAGATGATGAATGATTGTGGAAAAATTAAAAATGAATGAAGTGATTTGTTGTAAAGACTTTTTCTCAGTTTTGTCTGTGATGACAAAAAGAAAGAGAAATGATAAAGATAAACATCTGCTCTTTCTTTATCATCACAATTTATCCATTACAAGTTAATTAATCTACACACAATTTACACAATTAACTCTCTCACCTTAATTGTGCAATCAATTATCACGACAATCAAATAAAACGGACACTTTTTCTTAATCTTCATCAATGAAACTTTATTTCAATAAAACTTTTCAACTCATCTAAATATACAAACACGAATGATAATTGACCTGAAAATTGTTGGTTAATTAAATCAAATCGAGAGAGAAACAAAAAAAAAGTGATTACGATTATCGTTGCATCGTAAACCAAGCGATGATTAACTGATTGTCGAATCAAAAATGTTAATACTAATCTTTTATCAAGTATAAGAGCTCAACATTGATTGTGTTTAGTTTATTAAGACAATTGATTTAATTTTCATCCGAATCACTAGTAATGTAAACATTGATTTGGTTAACTCTTTTTTCGTGTTTACATTTAGTTGAATGAGTTTGTGACTACAACGATTGTAACAGTAATAATAATAACAAGATGACCATTTGAAGATAACTGGACATAGATGATGGACAATGTGACAATAAAAAGTAACAATAATAATCAAAATAATGTAACAACATAAAATTGGAATGAAAATAAAAGATAATCATTGGAAACCATTATCATCAGAATGGAGTTGATATTATATTCAATCAAAGTAAGATGATGATGATTACTATGATTAGAACCATCATGAGAAAATGATGAACAGGAAAATTCATCATCTATTTTATGATTTAATGATAATATTGCTTTGATTCTGTTCCTTTGCCATTGATTTGATTTGTTGACTTTCGCGTGTTGATAACAAACAAAAAAATATCATTTCCAAAGGGAAGAGAGAGAGAGAGAGAGAAAGATGAAGATAATAATAATGATGTAGATTATGATTATGATGAGGGAGGATCTCTATCAGGTCAGAATTAGCTTTACATCAGGTTAACATTAATTTTAATTTCTCATCCTGAGTGAGAGAGAGAGAGAGAAGAGAAAATAAAATATCCTTTTCCATTTTGCTCTTTCCAAGCAAAATATAAAAAAAGAAACACTTGCCACACCCTTGGAATTGATGATATTTGTGGTTCAAGTTGCTCTCTCATTATATTAAGCTGAATGTTGTGTTTGGTGTGATACCTTTTGTCTTCCATCATAATAATATATTCCTATGACTTTGTTTTGATTCTAACGCACGATGACAACAATTTACAAAAGAACCGGAAATATAGGGTTAATTCCATCCGTTTTTCTTTTTGGAAGATGCTTTTCATTTCCATCGAATTGTTAACCTGGTTAACCTTTTGTATTCCACTTATCTGGTCACCATCGTCAAGTTACAGTCTCTCCACAATTCAGTTCTCTCTCTCTCTCTCTCTCTTTTTCTAGATCATGATAGTTCATTGGAATCCTAAAGGTTTTCTCATTGAAAATAAACTTTGATTCAATTCGCATGGTTGGTTAGATGGATTAAATATATAATATGAATACGAGTTTACTGGTGCATTTAAATGCTTTTGCTTTAAATGTTTGTCTCACTCTTTATGCTGATTAATCTTGACGATGACAATGTTGAAGATGAGTAGAGATGATAAAGATGAGAGGATAAAGTAAAGAGCAAATCTGATGATTCGACGTAACTTTAATTGGATTAATTTGCTTTCTGTGATCTCTCCAATACATCAATCGATCCAATGTTAATTACTGCAGACATCGCCTGAAGAATGGTAATGATAAGCTTGAGTATAGCGATCGGTCCTGAAATCCATGCAATCAATGGATACAATCCAACATTTACAAATTTAACTAATCAAACAATAGATGAAAGAAAAGAAAACAATTAAATACACAAAAGGGATAAAGAGATTTGTTGATTGTGTAGACAGAAAATTAAACTTACCATTTGGTCCTGAAGTAAAGTGACATAAGTAGAGAGACACATAGAAAACCTCATTGAAGAAACACATGAAGAAAAGAACTGCTCTTGATGTATAATAAATTCTGAGAATTTTGTTCTCACTCAGATCAATGAATTTATGGCTCGTTTTCCCTTGTAAAAGTGACCCCCAAATGTGAACCCAGTGACCGGCGATGTCAATTAAATTGATCAACTGGAAGAAGAACATGTATCGAGGATAGAAAAGACCAAGAACCATAACCAAACACATTGTTCCGCATCGATCGGTGAGTTGATCCAAAATGGCTCCAAATTTAGTCGATTGGTTAAACGCTCTCGCGGCATGGCCATCGAAAGCATCCAGAAAAGCGCTCAAGAAGTAACAAATCAACGCTTTCTTGTAATCATCTTTCATGTAGTAGAAAGAAATGAAAGCCAATATGATGCGAGCATAACCGATCAGGTTTGGAATGAAAAGGAAAATGTTCTCATTGGAAGAAGATGATTTAGTTGTTGATTTTGATTCCATTGTTGATTTTAAGTGAAAAAGAATAAATAAAAATGATTAAAAGTAAACAATTAAACACTGAAAGTGAGACAGAGGAAAATCATTGAACAAATAACAACAAAATAACCGAGACACTTTATAGATTTTTAGTTTGTTGTTACTCTTGGTTACCGATTGTTTCCCTATAGCAACGTCAATGGAAGCCAATTAAGTGTAAGAATTAACTTCTTTTTAATTAATGTAAACATAATAGTTTCTTTATGTTTATCGCAATAATACAATGATAGAGTGATTGATGATGATGATTATGGGTTTTCACTCGGTTTGTCTGGACTGTTTTGTTGTTTGTGGTGATTTTTCAATGATCAATTTGAGTCTAAATTGTGTATGTGTGATTAAGATGATTATCGGAAAAATCCATATTCATGAACGAATTCAAAAGGTTTACTATGATCACGGCCACTATGTTTTCGGGAAAAAATTCGGCCTTGAGGAAATTCCAATGGTCCTTCAGCTCCTGAATGATTCTGTTCGGCTTCCAATAAGGTATCAAATCCAATGCAAAGATAGTAAACTTGAATGGCTAGAGAACGAATTTTTTCCGATTCATTAATTAAATCTAAACATCGGACATTAATGTAATATTCCAGGTCACGTAATGCTATATCAATTGAACTTGTCTTCTCTGTTTGCCAATTTAAGATTAATTGAAAAATTGGACTATTCTCAGGGTAATTGTTGGGAACTGCAACGTAAGCTTTAAGTTGGGCTGAAAATGAAATAACAAAGATAATTGTGATTAATTGTTCATTTTATGGTTCTAATCAATTTCTTTTACCTGATCCTCTAACTATAATCAACTTAAAGAAATGTTCAGATCCGTCGATTAGATTAAAGTTAAACATCTTCACTCCTGATGGACAATTTAACCATTCATCTAGATTTGATGATTTCCAATCTTTGATTAGACAACTTATTTTGTTAAAGGAAACCGGAACAAGGCGATCGGGTAAAGATGTCGATCCACTTTCAAGTTCAAGGATAACTTTATGTAAACCAAGTCGAGATCTGAACCGATCTTTAATTGCGTCAATCACTTTGGTATAATTGTCAACGTTATTGTTTTTATCTTCATTATCAGGTAGAAAGCTTAATCCTGCCAATATTTGAGCCCATTTGTAAGCATAACCAATTTTATGATTAAGATCACTAAAACTGCCAATTCTGTGATGGGAAAAAAACATTGAACTCGTTAAATTGATACAAATTGTCCCAAAGTATATTTTAGATTGTCCTCTTACCTTAAAGCTTTAAGTTGATACTCATTTGCAGGATTAGGTGATGTCAATCCATCGTCTTTAATGAACAAATTGTCTAGTATATGAGAGTTCAACAGGTCACTGAAAACAAAGACAAATGATTAATTTAAAATAGAGAATCGAAAAGATGTCAAATAGTAAATTACCTCCGATTGACATCGTTTTCTCCAATAAGAGTCGCTTTTACTGTTATGATGCTGAGATTGATCATGTGAAAAAATTCAATCATCAATTTGGTTTCTGTTTCAGGATCAATGAAATTCAAGCTAACTGATAATGGGTGAGCTGAGATTAATTTTTTCATGATCAATTCTCTCTTGTCAGTCTTTGATTTACGATGGCGCTATAATTATAAAAGAAGGAAACAAGAGAATATGATTAAAATGAAAAATCGAATTGAAATCAATCGTAAACATTACCTTTCCTTTGCGATCTTCACCATCGGATTCGGCACTTTCTTCATCTAAAATGAAAAAAGTTCTGATTAATCTCATATTCATAAATAATTGAATAACATTCAATTGGTTCTCACCTTCAATAATATTTGAGAACTGAGTTGCTTTAGCTTCATCTACATTTCCATTGATAGAGATTATGAATTTCTCATCTGAAAGAGAACAGAAACAATTTAGATCAATTGTTAGTTCGAATTGGATTTTAATTGGAGTTAATTAGCAAATTGTATTTAGAACTTGAACTTACTATAAGCTTCTTTCATGGCACAAGCATTTACATATAATACATACATCGGACGGGATAAATATAAAGCGTTCTCATGTTGACTATCAATGGTCTGAAGGGGTAATCCTAATTGTGATTGTAAAGGTTGAGCAGCCTGAGAAAATAATTCATGATTAAAATCAATTTCAAAAGATTCGAAGAGAAATATCAATTTACCTCAACGATATTCAATAGAATTGGTTTTATGCTTTCTAATCGTCGTTTCTCCTTCTCAATATCTTCTAGAATTGTTTCTTTTAATTTCATTTTATCTTCCAAAGTTGATGACAATCTAGAGAGAAACAAAATTAAGGAACAATTAGAATTAACCGAATTAGATGGATAAATGATCATCTCACTTTTTACGTTGTTGCAATTCCCATTCTAATCGAGCGAGTGTACATCTATGTGAATCTTGTGAATCGATGATCTGAAAATATCATAGAAATTTGATTAGTTATAAGAATTAAATTATAACAAATTTAATCTCCTACCGGCTGAGTGATTTCTTCCGGTGCTTCTCGATAAAACTCTTCCAAACTGACGAGTTCAATACTTTCATCTCTGGATTTTAATTCGTGACACTTTTTTATTTCTTTTTGTAGATGAAGAACTTCATACATCAGGTTCTGTAGCTGTAAATGGAAACTGTCAACTTTAGCTTTTTCCTAATAAAGAAATTGAGAGAGAAAAAAATTAGATTCTAAAAAATTGTTCTTTTACAAGTAATCAGTATCTCACCTCAGTTACTAAATCACGAGCATTTTTACATCTAATTTTATCATATCTGTTGAGCCTTTTAAGTTCCAGAAAAGCCATAGCAACTTCGAGTTTACGACTGTTAAATTCGGGCTGAAATATTTTAAGAATAAACATAACAAATTAAATAAAATCATCGAAAGAAAATGCGACAAACAACAAGGCTTACATCATTTTCTACATTATTATCTTTCTTGCGAATTTTCAACTCAGCTAATTGATTTCTAATCAGCTCACAGGTTTGATAGAAAGTGTCAACATCTTGTTGAGGTTCATGACTAAGGGCTTCTTTTTCCTCATTCTCAATGGCGGTCAGGGTAACATTCATCTGTGTAGAGAGAAAAAAAGAACAAAAAAAATCATATGTGAGAGAAGAAAAAAAGAAAAAGTAACAAGAAGGAAAAAAAAAGCTAATCAATGAGTAATGGAAATTGATTATTTCTATTGGACTACTGACCACATTGATTGTTACTTCATTCGATTTAGCCAATGATGGGGTCAAAGAAGATGCAGATGATGATGATTTAGATGATGAAGATGATGATCGGGTCATTTCTTTCTTATTCCCGGTTGATTCCTTCTTGTTGGCGGAAGAAGATGATGATGATGAGATGTTCACATTGGAAGATGATGGTGTTGACTGTTTACGACGAACTTTCCTATCACTGGACGATTTATCTGATTGCATTTTGACAAAAAAATAATACAAAAGTAAATTAATAAGCCAAACAATTAACAAATAATTAGCAAGATGATGATTAATGTTGCTGATAGAAAATCAAAACAACATTTTCCAAAAAGAAAACATTTCATTGGTTCCTTGGAATTGGCGGTAAATTTGAAAACCGGTAAAAAGAAAAAAAAATTAACCATTAGAACAAAATTTTCTTAATCAGCAATCATTTTCTTGATTGTTGTCTTTCTTTAAAGATTAATTTTTAAATCTATTCTTAAAACAATCACCTCTAAATGAATTAAAATCTCTTTTTCTTTTTAAATTCAATACAATCCTTTGAACATTTTGCTCCAATTTTAATTTTCCAATCCTTGATTCTCATTAATTAAGTTGTTTCATTTATCCCTCGTTTTAATCCTCTCAATTTAAATGATTAACTAATTAAACATGTTAATCATCTTTAATTTATTAAGTGTATCGCTTGTGATTAAATCAAAGGTTTGTAATTGAATCTTTCCCGCAATTAGTTGAAAAATTAAGTTTCTTACCTTTTATCAAAGATCCGTTTTAATTGATAAGATCAGAGTTAATTGTTGCATTGGTAATTCATCTCCAGGTCCAACTAAACATGATTTAAATGAGCAATTTAAACTTCAACCCATTGAAAAGATAAATGAACAATTAAAATTTCCCTAATTACATTTTCAATACTAATATTCCACCAATAAGAAATTAACTCTTTTCTCACCAAAAATCACAATCAATTGATCAATAATAATAATTAACGAATATTTTTCCTCATTCCCAAACTAATTAGAACAATTAATCGATGATTAAATATTCAAGATTTAAATTCTATTGGCCAATGTTACTAAAAAGGTAAATAATAATTACGATAATCCTTTTCTCTTAAATCATGTTTATCCGTTTTAATCCTAATCCCCAAAAGCTTTTCAATTGAATTGAATTTTTCATCTCTTATTCAACATCCGTGGCCTCTTATGGTTCCAATAAACAAGTCACCAAATATTATATTTATTCAACTGAATTAACTTTAACGCCTAAGGGCAAATCCCGATGCGGGTAAGTAGCATTTTGGGTCTTCGATTCTTGATCATCATCATCATTATCATCATCATCCCTAAAAGGATCCGGCTTGGATTATCATCAATCATCATCATCATCAAATGATGACCAGTCAACAACATTGAATATATTTCTATGTGTATTCATTTAGTTATCATGAACACATTGAACTAAATTGTTGAGATTGGATTACCTTAAATTGTTACCTTAATTTACTTGGTTAACTAATTGACACCGGACACAACAATTTAACTTGAAATCTTGATGATGATCATCTTTAAACTGTTAAGGATATTTGATTAACTCTAGTTATCCTAATCATCAATCTCCTATTAATCAACATAAACAAATGAATTAATTAATCAATTGAAGCTCCCAAAAACCACACTGATTAATTAATTTTTTTTTGTCTCAATGTCTCAAACTTATTTAATATTAGTTGTTAACAATAATCAAGAACATGATTAACATGATTATGATTATGATTAAGATGAGTATTGAATGTTCAACAATCACGATTAAACATTGTATTAGTTGTAAAGTAAAGTTTGATTGATTACCTTAAGTTAAATTAACTTTAATTAGTATTATTTTTAGTGCTTGTGAAACAAATAAAAAAGTTAAACAACTTTCGCAATTTAATTAATTGTTATTAATCTAATTGAGTTATATGTATAATCATCATATTGATCATTGACCTAGACTTTCACCAGAAAACATAACAACAATTAATTAAAATTAATTTTTTTACCATTTTGGTGTTAAAGTTAATCCATTTTTTTGTTGTTGTTCGTAATCATAATCATAATTAAACAACAACAATCGTTTTAATCATGATAATAATGGTACGTGATTAGTGAATGTTAATTTAATTATCTTAATATAATAATATAAAAATGTTATCATGTATTACTATTAATATGATAACGATTATTATTGTTTCAAGATTAGCATTAGAACTAAATTTAAATGATGATTAAATTGTGTTCAGATTTGAACACAATTAACAAAATAAGATTATCAATTTGACAGATAATTAACATTTTCATTTTATTTGCTTTTTTTTTATATTAATTGTTAATTATAATAATAAGTTATATGATCATGATTTCATTTTCTGCTTTCTTTTTCTTCATATAAATAGGTACATATTACAAAGCGATTGGTGAGGCCACAAAGTAGGCCACTTTTCCCGACGACCCGTTAGACAGGGAAGAGCAGAAGCAAAGGTGGTAAAATGTGAGAGAGAGAGAGATGATGATAAAAGAAAGAGGAGAAAGTAATCGAGAAAGAGGAAGATGAAGATTTACCCCGAGATGAGAGACCAGCTCAAGATGAAGATGAAGGTGAAGACTAAGGTGAGATGGAATTTTGGTAAAGGTACCAAAATTTTGGATTCTAAATTGTTCTAAAGGTTCGACGACCAACTGACCTTACATTGCGTTTGTGAGCCTTTTTACTGGACAAAAGAGTTGACCATGAAGAGGAAGTCATTTTTTCTGCCAATTTTCGGTAAAAGGTTGCGACATTTTCTTTAACCTGGTCTGCTCTGTCTTCAGTTGATCCACTGTTTCCTGTTCCGTCTTCAGAGTCATTTTTCTTAAGAATGACTGATTTAAAGCTGGCAATCATTTTGGACCAAATAGAGCGACCTGGAGATGAAAGTCCGGGTGGAGCTTTGATTGCTTTCGTTATGGCGGAGGGCATAAAAAGTGGAGCAGCGATGTAGGCAAAGGCTTCTTTCAGCCAATTACGAAGCGAATCAGCGTCAATCTTGAGAAGTTGCTTCTTAACGATGGTACTTGCGAGCGACGATGATGAGCTCGAGGTGGATGAAGATGAAGACGACGCTGAATCTCCGGAAGAGCCTTTTTTCAATGGTGGATATGGTGCATGAGTTGCTCGTTGTATCGGTGGGTAAGGGGCATGAGTCGCTCGGGAAGAGTAAAAATCAGCATATGGATCATATGAGGTCGACCCTCGAGTGGGCCAAGGTGGGTGGGTAGCCCTGGACACTGAGCCATAGTTTGTTGGTTCCGTTGATCGTGTTGGCCAAGGTGGATGAGTTGCCAGTGAAACTGGACTGGTTGATGGTTTTGATGTTTTAGGTGTTCGTTTGGTGGAAACTGGTGTCGATGAGGATTTAGGTGTGGGTGTTGATGAAGAACTAGAATCATCATCATCAGCTGATGATAATGGTGCCAAATAAGCCAACAGAATCAAGGAAATGATGAAAAAAAACTAGAGAGAGAGAGAGATAGAGAAAAGATTAAAATCAAAAAAAGAAGATTAAAAAATCAAAATGCCACAAATCAATTGAAATCTAAATTGTAACACCTAAATTGTCACCATCGTAAATTAATCATTTACATCAATTGCAATTGAATCTAAATCACCAGGTAAGCAAAGTAATAATTTATCACCTTTCTAATTTTAACCATCTTCAATGTAACTAAATTAAGTTTCCAAAGTAAATCAGTTGTACTTGTTTTGACTTTAATTCTGTTGGTTTTTTTTCCACTTCTTCCCAATTGATTTATATTAGGAACTGAACTAATCAACTAATCCAATTGAATATCCAAAAAATGCTTCTGATAATCAAGTTACCAACAAAAGGTAAACCCTTAAATTGTGCCAATCGTTATTTTTAGACGATAATGTTTTTATGTCCAAAATCGTGATCACGATCATAACAACAAACAGTTATCAATGTTATATAACAATAATAGTAATCATAATATATTAGTTATGATGATTAACACAATTGAAACTGAACAATCAACAAAAATAAAGATCAATGGTAAGTTTGAGCTTCCGAGTGTATTAATATTTATATTTACCGTTATGTTGACTTTTCTTGTAAATAGATTGTAATTATCTTGATGATTATTCATTCAAATTAACCTTAAGGTTGATTGTCACGGTTAAAATGATCATTTAAATCGTGACCTTGACATCCTTACTTGATTGTAACAATCAAATCAAGTAATAATAACGGTATTAATTATGAATGAAACAGACAAAGTGATTGCTTATGATTTAAAGTTAATCAATTCACTTTTGTTTATCATTAAATTGTATTTTCTAATTATTATTAACAGAATCAATAGGTTGATACCTTGATTGTCATTACAATTTAACTAATTCACCTTTTAAATTGTTGACCTATCAATGAGTTTTAATTTGCACTTTTCTTTCAGGCTTTAACTAAATTAACTTATTGTGTTACTTAGTATTTAAGTTTAAATCATTTTTTTTAATCCAATCATCAGATTCAATGAATTAAATTATTGATATAAATTTAGTATTTGATACTATTGATTTGATTGAAAATCTTTCACACACCAAACAATTTATTTTACAATCAAACAAACAGCAAAAAAAAAAGGTGATAATCTATTCAATTTACTATTATAATCAATGTGATTGATTAAATTAAATTTAATTCATTCACAAACCGGAATGTTATATCATTTAAATGACCGCAATTCAGTTTCTCATCAGTTAATCATCTCGAAAATCAAGAAATGATAATCAAAAAACTACAATTACAAATACATCATTGTCAAGAATCAATTCAATATCAATCGGATTTGATAGTCAACAATTAAACTAATAATATGAAGGTTAAATTGTTAGACAGGGTTGACCTGATTTACACACATAAACAATTATGATAATCAAATAATTAAAAAGTTAAATATCAACAATTGTTTACTATCAATGTCTAGAAAATTAATCAATGAATCAATCGGTTGTTGTTGTTGATTGTTCATTGATTGTCAACGTTTACGGATAAACAATTTAAATATTATCATTATGTATTATGTATACAAGATAAACATTGAAATTAATGAACGAGAAACAATTAACTCAGTTCAACGTTTTCTTGTAGACAATTAACAACAATCTTACATAATCAATGACTAATTATAGTTAGTCGGTTTGTTGATTGTTGTATTAGTTTAATACCTTGAACTTGTAAATGATTAACAATTTAACCAAGCAAAAAACAAGATCAGAAAATAACAACAACAACAAATATAACGGGAAAAAGGTTATAATGATTAAGATAATGATTAGATGATGATTAAGATTGTTTCATTCGGAAGTTAAGATTTTCAAATGATCAACAATTTAATGTGACGATGATGATGATGATGATAATGATGATTAGGGATGTGACATGTTATTCAACGTTCAAGGAACCATGAAATTAACGGAAGGAATCATTTCTTAAGACAGGTTAGTAGATTGACCCTGAGGCTTAATTTTGTTTCTTCTAAACTCTAATCACGATATTAAAGTAAACTTAAATTTATTACCTCAATTAGCAACAATTATAATTGTTACAATTGAATATCCAACATGTAACCGGACTCTAAACATTTAATTCATTGCAATTTTTGGTAAATTATTATCATCTGATTAACTTTGAATATCCTTAGATTATGATGGTAATTCAATTGGTCAACGAAAAGTTTCAATTACAAATTGTTTACCTTTGAAGAATCAATTGAAATTGATTGTAAATCTATCAAGTTAATTACTAAGATCAAGATTATGAGGTTGATTGTCACTTACTTGTACTTTAATCATGGTTATCGTTGTTATGTTGAAAACAATTAATCACATAAAATGTTGGTTAAATTGTCCAGTTGATTGGATGTTCACAATGATTTTCGTAAGGTGATCCAATTGGTTGTGCACACAAAAAAAACAAGGATTAAGATTAAAGGCACTAAATTGATTAAAAACAAGAGATGTTGATGTTAATCACAATTGACCACAATTAAGATTTTATATGAGAATAAAAAAGTCTATTGACCAATAAATATAATCGGCGAGAATCGCTGATTATCAAAGTGTTTACTAAACGTGATTAAGATGAAATTGATCGATACGAATCGACAAACGGACTATTTCACCGCGACCTTTTCGGCGACTATTTCACCAAGACGAAAGATAAAAGTAAATTGGACAGTTACAGTTAATGAATGAAACTTATAACTGAAAAAAAGTAACTTGATGTTAGTAAAGAGAGAGAGAGAGAGAGAGAGAGAGAGAGATGCTGATGATGGAGAGAGAAAAAAGAGAGCAAAAGGGAGATTATGATGATGAGAAGATGAGGATGAAGTTTAATGATGAAGATCAAGATAGACGAGAAAAAAAAGAAAGAGAGAAAGAAAGAGAATCAACCTGATTTGATGGAAACGGAATTGACTCTAATCGAGAGGTAAAAATACACTGAATGTTAACCCGCCGCCAACAACAACAAGATGAACATGAAGTAACATGTTAACAGATAACCGAGAAGAGGCTGAAAGGGGATGATGACGATGATGATGATGAGAGAGGAAAGTCAAGGTGAGAGAACCTTTAACCTCCCCTGAATACCCACCTCCTACCTTTTGATGCTTCTCAAGGAACCTCAAGGAAGAGATTCATTTTTTTCCCCTAAGAATCATGATAACAGTTAATTTGTTGAATTCTAATTCATCGTCTAGAATGTATCATGTTATGTAACTTCTGTTGATTCAGAAGTCATTCAGTCATCATCATCATCACGTAACACAGAAAATAAAGAAAAAAAAATAAAGAGACAAGATGATGATGGGAAAGAAGATGAAAGATGAGGATAAAAAGTTTCATCTTCCGTGTCAACCAATGATTTTGGGAAACTTTGGAAATTTCAATGGATTAGAACTTTTTTCATGTTCTCTTTATTGAAATTTGTTCTAACATTTTCGATAAAGATTCGATACAAGTAAACATTTGATTTAATTGTTTAATTGTCATTATGATTAACTTAATTTTCGGTTGATTTAAATGTTCAATGAGGTTGTTTTCATTGAGTTAACATCAACTTGTCAAAGTTAATGTTAGTTTTTAATGATTCTTGATTATTATCGTATTAATTTCTTGTCAATTTAATCAAATCAATCAGATCAAAATTAATTATTATTATTTCAATTTGATGCTGCCATTAATTAGATTTGATTGTTACACCTTTCAAGATGAGAATCACTTTCATTTCTGATAGGATTTAATTTAATTAAGATCCATTGATTTTTAGTTGAAATATTGAATAAGTTTTTCTCGTTCTTTTGATTAATTTGATTACCATTACCTTTAAATTCATAACAGTGATTAACATTTTCCTTTTAATTGTTGCACTTACGATTTTTTCATCTTATTTCATCACAATAATTAACTAATCAACTGGTTTTTGGGTCAAATTGTTGTTATTAATATAATAGTTGATTGTGTTTTCCTTTTTTTCATAACTCTTTTTTTATTTTCTATTATTTTTTACAATCTCGTCTCTTCATTGTGATTACCTGATTTCTTTTTTTCTTCATCTTCTTTACCTTAATCATCGTCATCTATTTTTGTCATCAACAGGACATATTGTTGACAATTTAAGTCTCGGTCAAAGTCACTTCAAGGGCAATTGCAGTTAAATTGTCACAACAATCAATCGATTAGCTAAAACAATCAGAAACTATTGGGTTAGTGAAATTTAAACAAATAACTTTCTGATTGTTTCGTATTCATATTGAATAAGTTTTTCAAGTTAATTGTGATTAGATTTCAATGATTTTACAGTTGATTAGTAAAACATAATTACTATTAAAGTCTAATTATTATTGTCATTAGATTTGATTAACTTGCTCCAAGGCATTGAAACATTTAAAACAATCAACCCTCATCATTGGTAATTAGTTAGTTAGTTAATTGTTGTGATTGCAGTTGTTGATAGTTAAAAGTTAATTCAAACCAATTTAATATCTTAATTTTCATTAAATCATTAAGGTTGATACATTTTAAAAATTGCAATTTACTAATTGTGATCAGTATGTTTGCTTAATGCTTGTTGATCAAATAAATTGGGAACAATCAGTTGATTATGATTAATTTTAACAAGAAAAAGGGTTGAAATAAGTTAATCAACAAGGAGAGACAATTAATTGTTAAATCATCCAAATGATAGGAAAATAATTAACTAACTAATCATTTGTAACATAACTGTCATAAATTGTTATCAATTAAGATTACAAATGATCATCATTACTATTAAATACAATTAAAACCCTTTAAAATTGATTAGTTAACTCAATTAACCAGAGAGAGAGAGAGAGAGATTAATTAATCATTGACAGGGGAGAAAAGAAAAATGATCAACAACAATTAAGTTAATTGTTAGAAGTTAAATGAAAAGAGATTAACTAAAATAAGAGGTTACCGATTTGTTGTCGATTCTGATTCCTGATTAAGTAATCAACTTTAATTAAGATGATTAAATTGATTTATTAACATGCAATATTGACAATTACGAGTGACAAAAATGGTTTTCACGTTGACAATTAAATTTAATCACTTTGATCAACGCCAAAGTTATTGGTAAGTGATTACAACCATTCCCACAATTTGATTATTTAATAATAACCAAAAGTTAATCACATAATCAACATATTATGTGTGAATCATGATTAAGATTAGGATGATCTTAATGATAGTGATGATGAGGATTTGTTGTGAAAAATGATTAAGTTAATTTCTCATTGGAAAGTTGATCACATCTCAATTAAATGAATCAATTTAATTAATTATAAAATTATCGATTGGTTTGTTTTTATTGGTTTGACAACTTGATTTCTGTTGTTGTTAACAATTGGTTGATATTATTGCATCAATAGAAAGTCATTAATTAGTGACAATTAAGAAGATATCAGCTGATTGTTGATTAAACCAGTTACTCTTGTTGATCCTCATCTTTGATTATCATCATTTACACCTTAAGGGAATCAACTGATTTAGACAAATGTTTTAATTTTCTCACGACATCAACAAATTATTGTAAATTTTTTTCTTGTCAAAATTAACCATCAAGGTCAATATCAGCATATCTGATTGCTAATTGTTGATTAATTGTTAATGGTTGAATAATGATAATAACTAATTCAGAATCTAGATGAGTCCAGTAAATTGCCCCAACCACTGATTGTTGTTGCTGATAAATTGATCTCTCTCTCTACACTTTTCAGCTTAATTGTTTAATTTATCACCTTGATTGTTGTTATGTAACTTTTTTTTTTACTCTCAATGATTGTTTGATTAGTGACAATTTAACAATCAGGAGCATTTTAAATTGCGCTAAGAGTTACGATCAAATGAACTGATCAAATAGGGATTTGAGATTGAAAGTCCTCTTGAATTAATAACAATTAAATCATGTTTCCTTTTATTTTCTCAAATTGATCGAAAATTAGGAATTAAGATTAATTTAATTGCCTTTCAGCGAGTTTTTTAGGCCTCCAAAGTTGATTGTTCTTGATGACGGGATGATAATGATAATCGTTATATTGATGATCCTATTAAATAAGAGGGAAAAGAGAAATTAATCAAATGTATAAAGAAAGAATTAAGGAAAAAGTTAAATTGTTACTTCTTTTCATCTTAATCCGATGTTATTATTGTAGTAGTAGATCAAAAATATTGATTAAATGATAATTGAATTACCTGAAGGGGTTTAGGTTTACAATTTAAAATGATCGACCTGATTGGTTATATAAGACGATCATCACTATTTAGTATTATTATCAATACTATTATTATAGCTTAATAATAGACCAGATAATCATAATTATGATCAACGATTGACCAGAAAAATTGTAAATACGGATCAAAATACCAATTGGATGTTCATCTAATTGTTTCAACGTTCAGACCATTTATGTTTGCGATGATAAGGAAAATCAAATGGATCCATTTAAATCACTAATCAAATAAACAATACGAATAATCACAAAATTTAAGATTAAAATTAGATTTAAACATAATAGTGGCAAGAATTGTTAATTGTTTCTGGTTACCATGATTTCGGGGCGTTAATTGTAATTGTTTTCAAGTATAAATAAAGTAATCGATTGACATTAACCAGCAAAATCCATCGGTCAGTTTGTATTAGATTAAAATAAATCAACAGGTAATTGAGATGATTGTTAAAGGTTAATTGTTAACATCGTAATCACATAATCAACACACAATCTATGAAGAAAGTGGTAATTAACCTAAAATATAGGAAGGAGAAAGAAGAAAAAAAGTAAACAATTAAAACGAAAAACATAAAATGAAATTAATTTACTCTTTGGGTTATATAACCTAAATTGTTTCTCTGACCTAATGTTTTGAAAGGAGTTAATTGTAGATACATTTCAAGAGTAATTGAGAATGGGACAAATAAGTAATTAAAGTAGAAATAGTACCAAAGTAATTGTAAAATTAATAGTAATAGAAATTAATTAACTTACCTAAGGATCTTTGCTTGAGTTTAATTAAGGTAACCCGATGATGACCAATTCTCATAATTAGATTCAAATTCAAAGGGTTAAACAAAACTGAGGCACGATTTGTGGTTTTAAATGATTAAACCTTCAATTACCATTAGATTGTAATTTATTTGAATAATTCCCAAAGAATAAGTTAAAGTTAATTGTTAAAAAAAGAAAGAAAATTAAATTTTAATTATTAAGACAAAGAAAACAAAACAAAAACATCAACAGATGATTAGAAATTACCATAAGTGACCCATAGATGGCGAGACAGAGGGGACGAAGTTTCTAATTGTTAATTTTGTTTAATTGCTTCTTAATTGTTGTGTGTGTGTGTGTGTGTGTGTGTGTGTAAATAAATGATCTCCATTAATTGTAATTACCATTAGTTATCAGTTAAAAATTTTAGACCTCAAATTAACATGTAATGAGAGGGTAAAAAGGAGATGAAGGTGAACACAAATGGTTAACAATTTGAAGGTTCGGTCAAGTAATAGTTTAATTAACCTAAATTACCATTGAAAAGGAAGGGCCTGAATCTGTTGACCGCCAGTGATACCCTTTAATTTACCCTTGGTGTTGATTATATTAATCGTTTAGACAATTTAAAATGTTCCAGGTAACTTTTCATCTTGTTATGGTGGTAATTCAGTAAGATGATTAAGAAAATGATGTAAACATACACAGCAAACGTTAACTTGTTATCAGCATCATTAGGAATTATCATCATGATGAAAAGACAGAATTACAATTAGATAACTGGTCCGTGAGTGTGTCTACTACATCGGTGAATAATTATCTCCATCATCATCATCATCTCTCTCTCTCTCTCTCATTTTCTTTTCTTTTTTCCCTTTGCTTTTTTTTCTGTTGTGATTTTTGCTTTTCCTTTTTCAGGTCAAATCTTGTTGATGAGTTTTCAGGCTTGAATTTGATTGAATGTTGATCGATCACGTTGTTTATCATTAGTATTATTATCTCTCTCTCTCTCTCTCTCTCTCTCTAAGATGTTGATGAATTTAACAGGAGAAAGATGAACATGATGATAATAATTATAACTGTAAATTCATTGAGAGATGTTAATTTCTGAATATGATCACCCTGTTCATCTTTAATGTCAGTTCCAGAAACATTTAAATTCCTAATCATCATTTGTTTTTATCTTATATGATAATCAGTAGTTCCTGGTATTCAATTGCAATTGAATTATAATCAATCAATAAGAATGATTGAAAAAAATTTCTTTCCAATTTATTGATTTAAACGATAATTTCAATAATTATGATTAACCATTAATAATATTACCTATCGATGATTAAGTTTAATTGGCACAATTTAATATCATTGAACATTTTTCAATATCAAACTTTTAATGAATCAAACAACAATTTACTGTTCAATTTAATCAGTGAAATTGATACGATGATTATTAAATTGTAATCATTTGGATTATCTTACTTGATTGTAATTCTTGGATGTTAATGTTGATTAACTTTCTATTATTTTAAAACAATTGATTCAGTGAAAGACAATTAACAATTTAATTGAATTGTTGATGAACCAGAAATCATGATCATCTAAAAATAACATCACTTAAATTGTTGATTAAACAACAATTACAATCTCAATGTCAAGTTTAAATTGAAAACTGAAAGTACAAACAATTAGTTAATCAATTACATGATAATCATTATCATTTCTAATGTAAATTAGTTAATTGTTTTCTATTAATAAACCAGCTATTATAATAATACAAATGTAACCGTGATAATTTAATTAAATCAATATTGATGATTACAAGTAAGTCACGATTAGTAAACTAAATTAACATTGATTAAGAACAAAAAAAAACGCTGATTATTAATAATTGCTAATCAACAGTAATCAATTAATTGTGATTAAGGTCACATAATAAAGTAAATACATAACTTTAACCCTTAACAACAATTTAAATTGTTATTAATAATGTTGTTGATTTGGACATTAACAAAAAACTGAATTTGAGAAACAAAATTTGTCAGTTAACTGAATCAAAGTTAACTAATTGTGATTAACAATCTTGATTATTAGTTTTCTCATGCAAATATTATTGTCCAATTAATTGCTTATCATTAACAATCAAACATAATGATTAAAACGTGAATGATTAATCAAAATAAACCACAATTTAAATTTAGTTAATCTAGAGAGTAAAAAATTTAAAGTAAATTAATCAATTGCCACTCTATTTTTAATCATTAACCACTAATCCAGTTGAAATCAGTGAAAATTTTATTTACTAAATTGTTGGGTAATCTGATACTTTAATTAGATTGAGAAACAATCAAGTTACAATCAAAATCTCACACTTTTCATGAATATAAATGTTATTATGTTGACACTTAAAATTAACTGTTGAAGAAATTAATTGTTACAATCAAAATATACTTCTAACAACAATCAACATGATCCACTTTCAATTGTCTATCTCATTGATCACGCCAATCAGTTAATTGTAATTAAAAAATTGTTTACTGTCAATTTCAAGTGAATTAAAAATCAAAGTTAACTTTTTAACCTTCAGCAAAGTTATAAGATAATAACTCATCATGATTAGTAAATTGTAATTAAAGATTTAATATATTTATATGATTTTTGGATTAAAACAGTGACAATTAATTGGTATGTTGAGAATCAGTTAATTGCTAGAAGCAAATTAATTAATTGTAAGCTTAAAACCAAATTTTCGCATCAAAATTAATTTTCTGTTTTTCTTTTCAACTCTTTTTTACGGAAAAAAGTAAAAGGTTATTAATCTATTAATCTTTAATCACAATCAACGATTAAAAATAAATTATCATTATTTTACCTTCGTTAATCAGTTAAATCAGTTGATGATCCATCTTATATCTTAATCATTTTCATCTAATTTCAAACTTTCTCCCAAACAATTTAATCTAATCAACTGAGTTGCATGTTACCCTGAATTGACCCAGTAAATGATTAACATGTTGATTGTTGCAATTAATAGTTACGATTATGATTATTCATGGATTTAAATTGTTTAAATCTATGATTAGCTGATTGTAATTAGGTATCATTAGGTAAATGATTAAGTCACGTTCAAGTCAAAATATACAAGAAAAAACTAACAACCTTATTAATTGTTGACAATTTAATAAATTTTTCTTCATTGTTTTGGTTAATCCACCAAAGTGATTAACCTTTTTTTTTATTTGATTAACATGATAATGTCATTTGTTATTATTGTTGTTAAGTTAATTGTTGTATTAACCTTAACATTGAATAAATAATGTTCAATATTGTGATCCAGTGAATTACAATTAAATTGTTGACAATTAAGCATTTTTTTTCAATTTTTATTTACTGTTTAATTTGGTTGAATGACCTTAATCATTAAATTAAATTGTGTTTACAATAATCATCATCATTGTGATAATAATTAAGGAAACCATTTGAATTAATTGTTGTAAAAGCAAAAACAAAACAAAATTTAAATCAATTTTCAATCAGTTGCCATTGATTATGTTTACAATTAATAAATTGTTTCCGGGAGACAATTACATTTGATTACACTTGAGGCTTTATAATTAAAGGTCACAAACTTGATTGGTAATAATTGGTTCCAATTAATTGTGGCGATGATTGTTCAGATGGATCCGTGATTAATCAGCTGATTAAGAACTTTAATCACAATTAAAGTTGATTTAGTTTTGCAATCAGAACGAGAAACGATTTACAATTATTAATTTGCATAGTTTAATCAACGATAAATTGTCAATGATTAACCTTAAATTGGAAAATTTTGAAGGTTAATTTGGTTAGTTTAAGTTCCTCTGGATGGTTAATTGTTTGCTTAATTGTTTGACATGAATTTCATTAAAATTAGGATAACAATTAATCTTGAGAGCATCAGAATATTAAATGTTGGGCTTGGCTTTCCAATAATTAAATCAGATAATTAAGGTTAATTTTTGTTGAGAAGTTAAATCAACTCTTAACATAGGTTTGGTTAGCGATCAATTTGATTAGGAATTAAATTAATCAATTCCGAAATTTTTTTTCTTTACCTTTTTTGGTATCATGTTAACACGTAATAAATCAATCAGGACAATTAACAATCAATCAGTTAGTTTTTGATACATTAATTTAGATAATATTATGTGAAGTGTTTGATTGCTGATCGTTTTAGTGGTGAAATTTAGAGAATCCAAAATTAAATCTAATTGTTGCGAAAAGTAAAATTAACCATTTTGATGAATGAACTCATAAGCCAATCAACAAAACGATCGATTTCCAGTTAATTTTTTAGTTTTTCCTCGTCGGAAGCCATAACTGCCGCTCATTGCGTGGAAAATGTCGCCCCAACTGATCTTCTTCTTCGTCTTGGTGAATATGACATCTCCCACGAAGACGAACCATTCAACCACACTGAACGAAGAGTCCAAATAATTGCACCTCATCCCAAATTTGATCCACGAACCTTTGAATATGATTTGGCACTTCTCCGTTTCTACGAACCGGTCACTTTCCGTAAGAATATACTTCCTGTCTGCATTCCCGATGGTAGTAAAAGTTATGTGGGTCGGAAAGCGACGGTAACCGGGTGGGGTCGATTGTACGAAGAAGGACCTTTACCCAATACAAACATTTCGTCTCCACTGGAATATCCTCAGATTCATGTGAAGGAGATTCCGGTGGACCTTTGGTCAATAGAGGAAAACGGTCAATGGAACTTAATTTGAATCATTTCATCCAATTTCAACAGTTTAACAATTTAATTAACCAAATTGGAGACTATGATTAAATTAGATTCCGATTTTTTTTCTCATTTTTTCCAAAAAAAGAGTTGAGACCTAATAAGTGAAAAGAAAGAGAAAATTCAATTAAATTGGAAAAATTGAGAAATTAGAGCAGCCCAAGTAGTTAATTCCTTTGGAAGCTTGAAAAATTAATATTGATCAAATTGGAATCTAATTACAACAACAATTAGAAAATAAATCAACTCATCCACGTGTTGATCAATCAAAACAACTTTTGGTTGAATGAACAGTATCTCCATCTGATGAGAAAATTATGTAACAGTTGATTATTTTGAAGCAAAAACTAATTACAATCACAATTAAATTGATTCGATGGTTAAGATTTTTGATTAGCAAGAAATTCATGGTTAATAAACTTAACTGAATCTTAAAGTAACTCTTTTTTAGTCTCTCGCGAATCAATTGATTGCGATCAATAGTCTAATTAAATTTTCCTACTCACGTATTCATCTGATGAACAATCAGATAAATTGCAATTAAAGTGATTACCTGTTTAATGTTTAATTCCAATGAACATGAAACAATTTAACCTTGATGAACATAAATCCGGAATTTGAAGCAAGTGATTACTCAAAGTAATCAACGATAACCATAAAAAATTGATGATGATTAAAGTTATGATAATATAACAAGTAAGATGTCTATCTATCTATTGTGATTAACTAATTGTTCAATCGTGTAACCATTGCAAATGAATAAATTATCAGGTAATAAACAGTTGAACAATAATATCCTCTTATTGGTTGATCTTTGATTCGGTTAATTGTTCACTGAATATTCCGGAAGAGATTAGAGGAAGTGAAGAGTGAGAGTGATTAAGAGGAAGATGATTATGATTAGGGAACACAATGGTTATCCTATTACCTTTTACCTGAACCTTGTTTCTTACCTGGTCTTTTATAAGATAATCATGTTCATCTGAAGATGATGATCAATATAAACAACCAGTTTTGTTTTATCAATGAAAAACAGGATCATCATCATGAACCTGATGATTTATTGGTTAACTTTTGGTCAAAATCAGATGATTATTATTATCGCAATTGAGGAAATATTAACAACAATTAGAGATGCATCAGTTTGGAACACAATCAAATCTCATATTGACCGTTATAATTGATTAGAAATACAGGTAAGAAAAACTTTTTTTTTCTTCTTTTTCTTTTCCAAAGTCCAATGAACTTGAAAGTTGAGAAATGAAAAAGTTCTGACCAACAGACTGACCATTATTTTGCTATTCGAAATTTTCTCTTCTCTTTTGTCTTTTCATCTCTAGAATTTAAATTCAGGGTGATTGAATACTTCCATCTCTAACTAACCTTGATATTGGAATAAAATGAATATTGATTTACGAATCAAGAATAATTTGATTTCTATTGAAAAATCAATAGTAATTGGAAACTTTTTCCAATTCAAGGTCTTCAGGATTCAGTTCAATCACCCTGTATGAGTGAACTTTCCAATTAACAATTATAATTAACACTGGAATTATAATTAAGCTACAAAATCGAATGGGAATCAGATTAACGGTAAATGAAAAATTTTCTTCAATTTTTTCGCCTTAAATTGGGATCTAAATGATTTTCGAATGGAAATTATTACATCTAAAGTCAATACTCGGGAATGTTGACACGGAAGATGAGACTTTATCATCCTCATCTTCATCGTCTTCATCATCCTCCCCTTTAAACAACCTCTTCAGTTGATTTCAAGTTCATCTTGTTGAGGGTGGGTTAACATTCAGAGTTTTCTGTATCTCGATTTGGTTTTTTCTCCATCAAATCAGGTTGGTTCTTCTTCCTCTTCTTCTTCCTCATCTTCTTTCTCTCTCTCTCATCATCATCATCTTCTCTCTCTCTCTCTCTCTCTCTCTCTCTTGCTCCCATTCTCTCATCATCTTCTTTATTTTTCCACCAAGTTACTTTTTCCTCAGTTATGATTCCAATTCATCTCAAGTATTAATATCCAAAAATTGTCCAACGTGTTTATTTACCGTTCGTTGGATTAGTTAATCAGTTAATCATGTTACTAATCCAATCTCCCAATGACAGTTAATCAATAAATTTATTTATCCTTTTAATTGTCACCAGGATATTTAATCGTGAAACAAATCAAAGTGCTTTCAATCTCGTTCCTTTGCCAATAAGTTAAAAGTTTCAATTGTTTACAAAAAAACAACAATAAACTCAACAATTAAACTAACCAACCAGTGATATTAACATATCTCACTCTCTATTTTATGTGATTAACCATTAATTGCAAATTGAAACGACAAGATTAAAACATGATTAAAGTACAAGTAAGTGTAACAATTAACAATTTAATTTTTCTAAATCACTTTCAAATGACAGACAAAATCCAATCTTGTACATTGTAAAAAATTGAACAACAATTGAAACAGAAAATTTTCTCAATCAGTGTAAATCAATTTCTCCATGTTAATTGTTCCCAATCATTTTTAATTCAGTTCTCTAATTGTTAATGTGTAAAGTAAAATAAAAAATCAATTTAACCTCAAGGGTCAATCTAAACACTAACCTGTCTTGACTTCCGTTACTTTCATGGTTCCTTGACCGTTTGATAACTTGTCACATCACTAATCATCATTATCGTTTACAATCAAATTGTTGTTATTGATCATTTGTCAGAGTAATTTAAATCATCAGGAAAAGATCATCATTATGTTAATTGTTGTTTATTTGTCATTGTTTTAGTATTTCTTGTCTTCATTGTGCCTCATTGAGTTAATTAATCACATTTCAACGTTGAACAATCAACTGAATGTAATTAACTCATAGAAAGAGTAGTTAACTCATCTAATTTAAGAAATCACAACAAATCAAGTTAATTGATTGTGATAATTAGATTTTCAGAGTTAATAGTTTTCTCCCATTTAATATCCGTAAACGTCAACAAATCATTGAAAGAAAATTAAATTTTCCAGAATTGATTGACAATCTAAACTTTAATCACTTGATTGTTTGAACGATTATCATGCTAATCTAAATTAACTAATTATCGTTTTAATTTCGTTCTTTGTTTTCAGTTATTTTTGAGCTTTTCCTTGATTCTTATAACCTTTTCATCAGTTGGTTTGTGTTCATCATCAGCTGATGATGTTTCCTCATCATCGACAGTTCCTTTATCATCTAGATCATCATCTTTGTCATCTAAACGATTTCTTCAATCATCTAAACCAACAACCACAACAATTAACTCTCATCCACCAGGAAATTATGGTTCACCACCTTCTAGAACAGCAAACCCACCCTGGCATCTTCGAAGAGGATCGAGTTCTAATTCATATACAACTCGAATTACCAATGAACCATATTCACATTTAAAGAAAGGTAATTGAGTAAATTTCTCTTATTTCGATTAACTTAAACTCGTAATTAACTCTTGAAAATTACTTTTGATTATCTAGATTATCTTCGTTATTATGTAGCAGAATATTCTGATCCAAGATCAATTCGACCCTTGACCTGTCGATCAAATGAAGGTACAATCGGTGTCTGTATGTTTTCCTTGGCCTGTCGTCATGCTAATGGCCGACCGATTGGACTTTGTAAGGACACAATTTATTCGGGAAGTTGTTGTCAACTTCCCGAATCTGTTGGAACCTCTGATCCACATGGTGTTCCAGTGATTCCGGAGGTTGAAAATTTCCTCGAGGTTTCAATTTCAGGTGAAAAAGGTTCAACTTCACCTAAGGTTCCAACATCGTCCACTTCACAGTCTCCACCATCATCACCATCACCATCGCCATTATCATCATCTTCACCTTTACCCCTTTCATCACCAATCCCTACGGTCACACAAGCAACCACCTCATCAACCACAACATCAACCACGACCACAACCACAACAACCACAACAACAACAACTCCCGTTCCAACTACAATATTGGTCAACAATCAACCGTCAACAATTGTTTCCTCGATACCACCTTCGCCCTCACCCTCACCCTCACCTTCATCTCCACCACCTCCACCTCCACCATCCCAATCCCCATCAACCCAACAATCAGCACCCACAGAGTCAAATATTGTTACATCCTCACCGTTGGTAACCACAATTGTTACAACAGTTTCCTCTTCATCTCCTTTAATTACCACCTCAGAATCACCACCAACCCAAACAAGTTCAGAATCTGATGGTAAGTTAAATTGTTCATCTACTATAGTTGATTAATTTCCTGTTTCCAATTAGTCTAATTTTCATCTATTATCTTTCCAAATGAACAATTCAAACTTTTCCCCGTCACCAATCAACCCAATTTTTAATTGTTTAGTTTTCTTATTAATTCTGCTTAAAATCCTTCCCTAGGTGGAGAGCCAACTAGAAACGATCCAATTTATTTGATTGAAAATGGACCAGCCTCATTTGGAACCTCACCACCGCCTTCAATTATCCCTTACTCGGCCTTACCTGAATCCACCAGTGCCAAAGTTGATCCACTTGATGGTAACAACAATTATCCAATTACCCCTCGTCCTCGACCTTCATCACAATCAATCATCAGTCAAACTGCCAATCCATCAATTGAAATAGTTCATTCAGTTGACTCTATTGTTAGTGTAAATAACGGATTACCCATCAATTTGAATACTACCCTGTACACTGTTGGTTCATCGTCTTTATCTTCATCACCTTCAACCTACTCTTCAACTTCATCAATCAATCTTAGTGAATCAACCGTTAGCCAATCAACAACACAATCAATTTCCAGTCCTCCCGTTTTATCATCAAAACCATCAACCAGTTCAACGATATTGGAAGGTCATGTTACTAGTACCGTTATTAAATCTTCATCTTCATCTTTACCACCATCGTCCTCCTCAATTCCACCTTCAACTTCAGTCTCTCCTTCAACTACTCCTTCAACAACCACCACCACAACAACAACCACAACCACGACAACTCCATCGCCACCACCGTCGAGCACAACGTCCAAAATTTACACACTCAATAGATTTACCTCTCCATCAACTGTTGCCCCAAAAAACAACACTAATCTTCCGGGAATTAAATCGATTTGTGGCCGTAAAATGAACGGACCAGGACCAACTGCTCGAATCGTTGGCGGATCTCAATCGTCTTTCTCTGAATGGCCTTGGATGGTTTCAACCCGCCAGTGGAAGAAAAATGCTTTTCTCCACAAATGTGGTGCTGCTCTTCTCAATGAATATTGGGCCATAACTGCCGCTCATTGCGTGGAAAATGTCGCCCCAACTGATCTTCTTCTTCGTCTTGGTGAATATGACATCTCCCACGAAGACGAACCATTCAACCACACTGAACGAAGAGTCCAAATAATTGCACCTCATCCCAAATTTGATCCACGAACCTTTGAATATGATTTGGCACTTCTCCGTTTCTACGAACCGGTCACTTTCCGTAAGAATATACTTCCCGTTTGCATTCCCGATGGTAGTAAAAGTTATGTGGGTCGGAAAGCGACGGTAACCGGGTGGGGTCGATTGTACGAAGAAGGACCTTTACCCAATACACTTCAACATGTGGACGTTCCCGTTATAACAAACCAAGAATGTGAGACGATGTACCGACGAGCAGGTTATCTTGAAGAGATTCCAAACATTTTCATCTGCGCTGGAATGTCCTCGGGCGGAAAAGACTCATGTGAAGGAGATTCCGGTGGACCTTTGGTCATAGAGGAAAACGGCCAATGGAACTTGATTGGAATCATCTCATGGGGAATCGGGTGCGCTCTTCCTAATCAACCAGGAGTCTACACAAGGATAACTGAATTTTCCCGTTGGATCCATCAAATTATCGCTTATTAACTCTCTCTCTCTCTCAATTAATTTATTATTTTCTAATTATTCTCAATTGTTTTTGGTCAACGACAAATACCCGCCGACAATCAATATGATTACTCTTAACACACAACTTAAACATCGTGATATAAATTATTGTAAATTGTTAACGAAATTGTTATAACAGTAGATCTTAAAAGTAACTTTTTTTTTAAATTAATAGTTAATCAACTATACATTTTTATGAAAAGAAATTAAAATATATTGTTAATATCATTTTAATTGTTGGTAAATTGTTTCTTTTTATTTAATCGATATATGAGAATTTCTATTAAATAAAACACAGAGAGAAAAAGAGGAAGATGATTTCATGGAAATAGGTTGTTGGCATTTCGGAAGATATTATGACTTTATATAAGCAGAAGTATAAAGCAATTAATTAATTGTGATAATATAATAAAATTAGAGTAATCAGACTAATAGTTATACTTTCTGTCAATTAAATAGACAAAATGGGAAAAGAGAGAAAAAAAAATCTTAAATATGATTGGGTTTTTTTTGCTTCACATGCTTTTCTATCCAAATGACAAGAGTTTAGAAAATTGTTGTTGGTTGATTGTTGGTTGATTTTCTTGACAATTAAAAAGATATGAGAGTGAATTACTTTTTCTTGCTCTTTCCCAAGGTGAGTGTTGAACTCAAGCTTGTTGTGCTTTGATTAATGTTGGTTGTCGCTGATAGAACACTCGTTTTCTTCTGATTGAAGGCTTGTAAATCTTCTTCGAGTCTTCGACGCTCCTCTTCGACCCTTCTCTTTTCTTCTTGATGATATTTCTTCAATGTATCATATTTAGTGTGAAGTTCATTCTTCAATTGTTCAAATTGACCTTCTCGCTCTCGAACTCGGCAAACAAAACGTTGGCGAATTTCCTCTTCCTTCTTCTTGATTTCGGTGAGTTGGATATTCCTTCTTGCTTCATATGTTTCCTATTATTTGATGGAAACAACAAAATAATTTGGTAAGAAAACAATTTATAGAAATTTCAATTATCACAAACATTAGAAACAATCAATTAAAGGGTAATCAAGAGAGACCAGTTCACAATTAACGGTTCATCTTCTGTTCTCTTTCTATAGTTATGATTGAATCTAATTTCTCTAATTTCCAACTAGATCATCATCTTATTTATCAGGCAATTCAGGTTAAGATTAACTAGTTTTTCAAGTTATCACTGTATTGATAGAGGTAAAATTAAGGAGAAAATAATAGTTGCCCCTTATACATGGTGACCTATGCTTAGCTAAGAAGCTTAAACATGTCTAAATTTGCCTTCGAGTTAAAGATTTTTATTTAATATGCCGTTAGCATTAAACCGGTAATAATTAACTGTTAACTAGTCAAGAAGAAGAGACTATCTAATTTGATGGTTGTCTCAAAAAGAAAAATTAAAAAGATGGATAAATTAAGATAATCGTGTCAACCAGGATCCGACAATAATTTACTTAAGCGATAATTAAATGTGATGCGCTCAATTTGTGATCCCGAAACTATGAAAACACCCCTGAAAACCTCAACTAACACTGATTTCATTTGTAGATAAATTTTACACATCAATCATGGTAAAGTGGAAGAGATTTTTTTTTGCTGATTCTATTGATAAATTGTGAACAATTTACCTGGAATGTTGATGCTTTAGCTGTATCAACCACATCACCGAAACCCATTTCCTCAAGTCGAGTTCGTCGATAAACTTCATAGTGTTTGGTCTGAGTTGTTTCTCGAAGATCCTCCATGTTGATTCTTAACAGCATTTCTCGTAGTTTAACAAAGTCACAGTGATTCTCATTTTCAACTATAGAAAATGGATCATTACAAAAAAGGAAAACATAGGAAATAAAAAGGAAAAGATTAATCATTTATCAATAAAACAATAACCATCAGGTTTAAATTGAATTGGATTATTAATTAATCAGCTTACCTTGTACTGTTCCCCATGGATATTGTCGAGCTCGAACTTGCTTGTTACCAAGTCTGACAAAATCGTGACTTGCGACAACAGCAAAAGGTAATATTCCGTTGGTTTGTAAGTTGTTTTCAGCAATTTCAGGATCATCGGTGGGAAAATTGTAGATCTGTATTCCATTGGTGATTATTTCAGCCATAATTTTTGATCTAAGTTTACTCAATTCATTCTTGGTGATTATGTCAGCTTTGGCAATGATGGGAATGATATTGACTTTACTATCCAATTGTTTCAAAGTGATTAAATCAATCGCTCGAAGACCATGACCAATGGGTGAGATTAAATAGAGACAACAGTGAATCCTTGTATCTTGGCTTGATAGGTTATTACTTCGGTGAATTTTCAACTCTTCCTGTAAGTATCTTTCAAATTGGCTGTCAATGTAAGACACGATACTTTTATATGACTCTCCTAATGATGATAGAACCGAAAACAAAACAGGAAATGGAATAAATTGAAAGGAACACCAAAAATACAGACAGAGGGAGAAAATGGAAGAAAAAAAGTCAAAGACATAATTAGATAACCGGCAAGAAGAAGAAGAAAAAAATACAAAATAGAATAAAAATCCACAGGCTTAGAGAAAAAAGAGAAAAAAGAGAAAAATACTCCACCTTTGTTAATTTGATCACCGAAACCACGAGACTCAACAATAGTCAATTTGAGTTTAATCTGTTTCTCCTGTAGCTCATGGGTTTGAACATGAAGCTCAACCGTCTGAGAATTATGAGATTTAGTTGAAACATCCGGAAATTTAGTATTAAAAAGTGAATCAATTAAAGTTGATTTACCAACACCAGTGGCACCCAAAACCAATACATTGAACACAAAGCCTTCCCTTATGGTTCGGTTAACATACTGTTCAGGCAAAGATTCAAAGCCAACATAATCCGTTGGAGATAAATTACGAATACCAGATAAAGTACCATTGGAATTACCATTAGATTTAATTAAATCTTCTTTCTCACCAGAAACAGTCATTGTGTAAGAAAATAACTAAAAAAATTTAAGAACTTAATTAGATAAAAAAAGAAAAGAGAGATTGTCAAATTAAATGTTTATCTTTGAATGAAAAATAACCAGAATCTTCAATTAGAATAGAAAAAAAAACTGGTTCTTTTTCAGCGCCATCTCTTTATAGAAATTGGAACTGAAGAGAATCATTTTTGAAAAAAATTCTCTTTTTTTCTAAACAAAAAAATGTTCTCAGCACAAACTGACAACTATTTCTTTTCATTAATTAGTTAATTTTTTTCTTATTCTTTTATTATTTAATTGTAAACAATTTAAATGTCGGTGTTCTTCTTGATTGTGAACTGTGTTCTATTGACACCTTGCCATTTGGAGAAAGGGTTGTCTTTGTGAATTTTTATTTCTACCGAGGATCAACCCATCTTTCAACAACTGATTGGTAAAAGGAGGGAGAGAGGAAAGAGAGAGAGAGAGAGAGGAAGATAAAATGAATTCTCATCCTATTATTAATACTACTATTAGTAGTAATAGTGAACCAATTTATTGTAATTTAATTGATTATGGTGATGATTTTGGTTTGGATTCTCGTTTGGAGAGGTTAAGAGTCTCTGCTTTGATCAGTAAAAACAATAATGAGGATCATGTTCAACTTCAACAAACTTTGTCTCTACCAAATGGACAATCACAACAACTTCAACAACAACAGATAATTAGCCAATGTGCTCAACCAATTTCCAATCAATCTTGTCCTGAACAACAACAACAATTACAAACTCAGCCAACCTTACAGGTTCATCAGCAATCTCAATCTCAACAACAACAACAACAATTACCACCAATACAAACTCAACCTCAACCACCACCACCATCACAACAACTACAACAACCGCCACAATCACAATCACAATTACAACATAATAATTCAAATAATTCCTCTGTTATTCATCCTTATCTTCAATACCTTTTATCAGCTTCATCGACTCCTTCTCATCATCATCAAAATAATCATCTCGCTCACCTAAATCATAATCATCCAATTGAAGATATTGATTGTTACCTTAACACCCCGGCCAAAGATTTTGACATTGGTGATTCTTCATTTACTAGCAGTCGTCAATTTGATTCAACAATTAGTTCAACAAATCAATCGAGATTTCAATCATATAAATATCTAACTCAAGTTTGGCCAGAAGCTTCTCCATCAAAAGTAAGTACAATTAAATTAACCAATCAAACTGTTCTAATTCAATTGAATAATATTAGTTACTGATCGTTTTCATTTTCTTTTATTCCTTTCAAACTTTATTTGATAAGATGTTGGATTCGCCTTTAGGAAGAAAAGTTTATCATGTTGCTGCCGAACAAACAAAAACATTATCACCACCGAAAGAGAAATGTGTCAAAAATTATGGAAGAGTAAAATCTTGGGGCAATTCTTTTGATAATTTATTAAACGATGCAATTGGAGTCAAAATTTACTCTGTAAGAACAATTAACACTAATTAGTGTAAAACCTAAAATTGTCAAAAGAATACTAATCATCTTTTGTTTTCAATCCCAACAATTAACAGAGGTTCCTAAGCAGAGAGTTTAGTGATGAGAATATACTTTTCTGGTTAGCCTGTGAAAAGTACAAGACCATGATTAAAAAAACCGAGGTAACAATCAGATTAACCACTTTTTTTTATAGAACAATTAAAATTATATTTATATCGGTGACATACTATTAATATTTCCTCTTCCTATCTCATTTTCTAGGCTCGAAAAGAGGCTAAAGCAATTTATGATCAATTTTTGACAATCAATGGCTCACATACAGTCAATGTTGATGCGGATGCAAGGAATTCCGTTGCTAGGAATCTGAAAAAACCTACTAAAGAGCTTTTTGATATTCCTCAAACTCAGGTAGATTAGAACCAAGTTAAATTCCAACCACAATCACTAATTGTTCTCTCTCTCTCTCTCTTAATTAGGTTTATAATTTGATGAAAAATGACAGTTATAAACGTTTTCTAACTAGTGAACTCTACGAAATGTGCCTTGAAAGTGAGAAGACTGGAAAACCTCTTCCCGTTTGCTCCAAAGATGACAGTGATAAAAAGAAAGTGCCTTCATCTAAAAGACGACTTTCCATCGGAAGTTGGGTTCTCAAGAAAACTTTCAGAAAATAGATTCGAAAAGAACTTTTTTTTTCGTTCGAAATTGTTATTTCTTCCCTTTCCCTCGCCAAAAACACCAACTATTTTTGCATTACCTTTTTTTTATCAATAACTTTTTTTAAGCTTCATAATTATTATTATTATGATATTTTTTTGTATCAATATCTAAACGATTAGCATCTTGATTATCAAGTGTAAACATTACTCATTTTATCTCAATCATAGATTGGATAATTACTTATATCAACACTTACTTTTTGCTAATTGTAAGTGTTAATTTCAGATATTTATTTATCCTTAATTTCAACAACAAATTGGATGTGTAAACATACACACACACATACAATTATCAACTGGATACATAATTGCACTAAATTGAGAGTTAATCTGAAACCAACAATCAATGTCACAAATGAGTGACTAATTAATTAATCCTCTAATATCTTGTAATAGTAGTTAAAACTAAATTGTAAACAGCGCAAGAGTTAAATTGTAATCGATATGATTGACATTAAATTTTTTTCCCCAATCAAATTAACCATAAATATCCGTTAATTGTTTTAAAACCCAGATTTACCAATGGATTCCAAGGATATCCTGGTGAAAAAAATTAATTTCCTTATGAATTAATCTTACCTTTTATATGAATATCAGTTGACAATTAAGTAATCTAAATGCAATTGAAATTAAATCTCTAACAATTTATTGATTGTTGACATAAAATTTGACATCTAATATAATTGATTAAATTACAACAACAATTAAACACGATCAAAACTTACATTGAGGTTAAACTTTTATACTCTCGTTGTTTAATTGTACACGAAAAGATGTAACCAAGTGAACAATTAACTAAATTAATTACTAGGGCAATCGTTTTAAACCAAGCCAAGTATGTCCAGTAAATGTCCAGTGTAATGGCCACAAGGGGAAGCAGTAAAAGGACACAAGGGACAAAGGTCAAGCAATAGCTTTTATAATGACAACCGATCACAATTAGTAAACTAGATAAAAACATTGCGATTGTAACAATTACCGTTACGATTGCTGATCTAATTGCTCCGGTCAATCTGATTGATTCATAATCGATTTCTTCTTGTTTTTGATTTTCTTCAGCCACAAATTCATCGGCAATTATAATTCGTCCTTCCTTAATTGCTACAGCTTCAATAACGTAATTAGGTGTGATTGCAATCAATGAGATTACTGAAATGGCTGATGAAAAGTAAATTGTCCAAGTGAGATAATCAATTAACCGATAAGATGATTCCTCTTTTAAATTAGTATCAATTGTTAATTGTTGCTGGTGTTGATTGGAAACCAATAAGTTACCATAGCGGTTAATTGTTGATGAAACGATTTGATTGTTGTTAATCAATGATTTTGGTGGTTTATATTTGGGTGGATAATTGTTAGGGTATGAGGATGGATAGAAACGATCTGTTAACATCACAATTTAGCTAATTGTTAACAATTTATATTCACTTTGATTTCACATCTCAAGTTGAAACTATCAACTGGCTAATGTTGTTGTTGCCTGACAATTTATTGATTATTAACCTTGATTGTTTTCAAGTTTAAAGTGTGAATTTTGTTTTCCAATCAATTTATTGATTATTGTCATCAATGTTTCTGAAATTAGTTAATTGTAATATGTAATAAAATTGCTATTCAATTTGTTGTCAGTGTTTTTTTTTATTTATGTAACTACGAGTCTCACTTTAAATTGATTGTTAATTGTTAATGTAATTGGTGGTGATCGTTTATCGTTGATTGTTTTAAAAAGTTTGATTTGATTTAATTTAAATTGTCAATTTGATCATTGGTATCACATCCGGATAACCTTGTCCATTGTTATCAAAATTAAAGTGATCAATTTAATCATTTTTATTTTGTTCAGTTTTTTTACTGATTAATTGTGATTAACTACAATTTGCTGATTGTTTTAACTAAATTAGCTTAATTGTCTCGTCCTATTGATCTGTCTTTACAACAATTCAAGGTTTAATTGTTGTTACTTTTGTCTTGGTTGTGATTGTTTTGATTTTTCATTTATTTATATTGAAATCAAAATCGTTACCTGCAACTTAATTATTTAATTATCAATAATAATTAACTGTAATTTATTTATTCAGCTTTTTATTTATCAATCAATTTCAATTTGAGTTAATTAAATTGTAACGATTAACAATGAAACCCAATTGATTTCAAATTTGTTATCAATTGAATTTTAAATTTTATTTTCAAGTGTCAATTTTATTATTAATTACAATTTAATATGATTTAATTGGTGTTTCTGATTATGATTAATACTCATAGAGGTTAATCATTGTCTTTAAACGATAATTAATTGATGATTGTTGATTATGGTTTTGTAAAGGGGAAAATATTTAGAGATTTTAATTTGATAAAATGAAAACAGTTAACATTTGATGATCAAGGATGAAGATGTTGCTGTGGTCAAGCTTAATTGTTGATGGTCATTTAAGGGTAAAAGCAAATATCTTTCGACCCAAATGGTCAGGGGGCAAGGTGAGAATGTATTTCCTTAGGCTGGTTAAAAGGACGGCGGTAGTGACCAGAAGAGCGCCAATGATTGAATAAATGTCGGGCATTCGTCGGAATAAAAATATTTGGGTTATAAAGGCAAAGAAAACTTCAGACGAGGCTCGAGTTACACTGACCAGTCCAGCCTCTTCACACTGTAAGGCTTTGGTCAAGAGTAGTTGAGCATAAAATGAGGCGATGGCCAGAATGACCAGTAACCAAGGGCCAATACCACAATCGGGAAGTTTAAAACCATCAAGGAAATAGGTGATTGTAGAGGTTTCCAAAATGGCGACCCAAGCAAAATTGAACAAAATAATTGAATGATGAAGTGATTTGACCTTTCGCACCACAACATAGGAAGCAGATCCAACGAGTGTCGCACCCATACCCGCTGCAAGGCCAAGAAGTTCTGACCTTCGATCGATTCCAGCATCTGCAGCTTCAGCATCGGTTGAACCAAAGAGAACATTTAATTTAGCGGTAAATGCAATTCCAAGTAAAGTGACCGCAAGAGCGATAACGTGAAAGATACCACAAGGTTCCTTGAGGAAGAGACGGGCAAAGATACAGACGAAAACGGGCATTGAGAGAACGATAATTGTCGCATTGGCCAGAGGAAGATATTGAAGAGCACAATAACGAAGGTAAAGCGAAGTGGCCCCAGCGATACCTCTTAACAAGACCCAAACTCTAAGGTTAGACGGACCGAGAACATTAGTACCTAAATCAGAGACCATTGGAATTGAGAATAATAATATTCCCAGGAAACGGAAACACGATAAAGCACCAGGGTGAATGGTGGATAAATGTTTAACAATCGCTGTTGTGATCGAGAAAAATATCGATGAAAGGAAAGCATAGAAAACACCTCGAAATGATGACCAAAAAGAGATGGCCAATTGTCGGGAACCTCGTCGAAGATTAATCAATGTGGTCGAGGTCCTTTTCTTATTGTGATTTAGATGATTGTTATTGCAAGGACAGATATTCGTTGATCCATTGGTCGAACCGTAAACATTTAAAATCGATTCTGAACAATTAAGTGTATCGATTGTACCATTGAGACCGATCACCGCTCCTTTTGGGTCTAATGATGAGACGGAAGTGATTCCAGTTTTACTGAACTTGAATCGTAATTTGATAAACAATTTAAATGATTTTCGTCAAGATGGTAAACAATTTGATTACAATTATTGTTATTAGAGTCATTAAGGTGTTGATGGTAATTGTGATTAAGATGATTCTCATTGTGATTAGTTGAAAGGGTTAAATTGTTACCATTTGTATCACCGTCACTTAAATTATATTGATCAGTTGAATGATCATAAACTGAATTATCGTAGCCCTCTTTCATTGTTAATTGTGAATCAAGTGGTTGATTAAAAAACTGAAATTAAATTAACTGTTAACTCAGTTGAGTGAGTTGATTATAAATGTTTTGTTAATTGTAATTAAAGGTTGACAAGTTGGATGAAGATGAAGATTGAGAATCGTTATCAACACATATAAACACAAACAAACAAAATACAATCAGATTGATTTGATTGTTAAGAAGACAATTAATTAACTAATATAAATTGTTTTTTTGTCAATTTCTAATTCAAGGTAAATTAATTCAGGTAAACAATCAAAATTTAAGGTACGGAAATGGTATTAGGACATAATTAAGAGTCTAATTAAATACAGTTAATGATTAACGACGATTCAATGGTTCAGCCATGATTATTGTAACAATTTAACTGATTTAATGGTGTATCACTTGGTGATTGACTTAACAATTAACAATTAATAATCAACAGTATGCACCAAATGATAATATTGTAATAAAAGAAATGATTTAAACTAAATTGTTAAATCAAATTGTAAACAAATAACGTGAATGAAAAAAAAAATGAATTAACTTTGAAAGTTTTTAGCTTAATTGTTGGGGAAAAAGTTTCCCACTAGTTTTAAACAATCTTGATTGTCGATGGGTTTAACAATGATTTAGTTAATAGTGATGATGATTAACTTGATGATGATGATTAAATATAATAATAATATAATCAAATTAACTGGTTAAGAGCATGTCTATGTTACAATTGAAAGTGAATGTTACTCTAGATCATTTTAATTAACTCTCACTCTCTCTCATTTCATTTTAATTTAATTTGATTATTGAGATTAACTGTGATTAATCAATTACAATTCTAGTTGTTCAAGTGATTTATTTACATGATTAACTACTGATTAACTGATTATTTTTAATCAACAAGGTCAAGAGCCAACGGTTAACCTCAACAATGAGTTTACCTTTTAATCAATGGATCAGATTAACTTTTAGTTGGTTGATTAATTGTTGTCTGGTTATAACTGATTAAACTAATTGTGATTAAATTGATTTCCTTTTTTTTTTGTCATGTTTTCATCTCTAATCATGATGTAAATAATTTAATTTAATTCTAGCGAGTTTATTTAATCCCTTGCTTAATCCTGGTTAGGATTAAGTTCATTGATTTTGATTAATCAAAATTGAATAACCTTTGGACTGATATTTGATTGTTACAATTAATTAATTGTCGTTAATCACAATGACCTTGTCAATAGCTGAAAAAGTCACTTGATTCATCAAAAAATTAATAATAAAATTGATTGTTTTGCATTTTCTAGTATTTAATTGTTTACTTTTCCAGTTAATCAACTTGTTGATCATTTGTTTGTTTGTGATTAAAAGTTACAATTAAATCACTAAAATAAAATCTCAAAAGTAAACAATTAAAGGTGAATAAACAATTTGCTTCATTTGATTGATCAATAGTTGCAATTAAATTGTTCACAATTAAATTTAAACGATAACTTTTGATTACTGTGATCATCAAAAGGTTCATGTTACTTTTTGGTTTAATTAAACAATTAGAATTGAAGTTAATTGTCAACAATTAATTTCCATCGCATCCTTGAATTGTTTCCAAGTTTCATTTTCCAGTAAATTAGTTAATTGTTAACCCGAAAATCCTTCAAATTTAGTGAACAGTTTTTTTTTGTTTGTTTTTCTGAATATTGGTGATTTTTAATTGCTAAAAAAGTTTTTCATTTTAATTACAATTAAGAGTTTTAATAATTGTTGTATTCAGTAGTTAAATCACTGATGGTAAATCAACAAAAACCTATGGAAATATATTCTTAATCATTTTGTTTCTTTTTTTTTCTCTTTCAAATTTAATTGATGGGGGAATTATTTTTCTTAATTGTCTCACTTAATTGTTGGGTTTAACTGCAATTAATATTCATTTAGGTGAGTGCTTCATTTTAAATACAGTTACAATTAAAGTTGAAGATGATTAGTGGTAATGATGATGTTAATATAGTTAAATGATGGTTTGTATTAAGATGAGAATGAGGAAAAGCCTATTAATGGGATGAAAAGTGTTGACAATCAAAAGTGATTAATAATAACTAATCTGCTCTCTGTAAACAATTGATAATTAGCAATTAACTCGAGTAATAAGTTAATTATTAATCACTTTAAAGGCAATTTGTTTTCACCTCGAAAATCTGGTTGGTACACTGTTTAGTAAGTTGGAAGAGGAGAAAATAAATTGTATTCTTTTTCTGTTGGATAATTAATATTCGAATTCTGGTAATTATGAAAAAAGCGTCGATTTTGTTTGTTTGTCCTAATGTACTTTACCCTGTAAGTGAATTGTGTTTGTGTGTGAAAATGAGTAAAGCAAAGAGAGATAGAGATCTTGAAGTATATAATTAATTGTCGCAGTTGATTTAGCTGTTTTGTGGTTGGTTCTTGCTGGTTGTCCTTTTCGTTATGGACAATCAATTCTCAAGTATAATTGTCTAGTGATATTGAGATAACTTTGGTTGATCGTTTTCGTGCAGCTTTTGATGAACTTTGTCGTATTCCCGATGATTTGGACGATGAACCAGTGGGTGTTGATGATGTGGTTACAGATTCATCGAGAACTGCATGGCGATGACGAAGATGATTCTTATGATTACCAGTAGCGGTTCCAGTTGATAAGAAACAAATGCTACATCTTTCAAAGATTTCATCAGGATTCCTTTCTTGACAATCGATGATACATTTTAAACAATAATGCCTCTCATTATCAACCACGGAGACTGTACCATTTTCGGGATTTTTATAGACAAGACCACCGAAATACTGCCATACAATACTTTTCTTCCAATCGTCAATAATTACGTCAAATTGGGATATCGGTTTGTCTAGAAAATCCTTGAGACAAGTTTTATGTGTATCACTCATCATTAATCGTCGACCTAAAAGTAAATGAAGAAACAAAATCAAAGTTAAATATTATAAATATTCTTGTAATCAAAGAGTAACAAGAGAATTGAATATGATGATAAGCTAATGAGTTTTACCTTGATGAGAAACAGTAGATGATGTTGAAGTTGTCGTTATTGTTTGGGTCGTTGATAAGCTAAATTGTCCAGAATCTTCTGGTGTAATTTGAATTCCCTCTTCATAAAGGGAAACCTGTTTGATTGCTGTTTCTGCAACATCGTGAACATCAGAGGCTACAATTAAATTAGCTGCATCTTCACTTAAAACAACCGATGCTGTAGCAATTGATTGTTCCAAAATTCTGGAGGGATCCATTTGCTGTATCGACTCGGCAGCGGCAAGTTGCTCTTGAGTAGCTGCATCCACTTCAACTCCTATAATTTTTGCTTCTCCCTCCAATTCTTGTGCTTCTGTCGGTGGTGCTTGATTTTCAGTAGTAATCTCATGTTCCCGCTGTTGAGACTGTTGTTGTTGTTGAGATTGTGAATTCACTTGTATCTCAAGTTGCTGATTATTTCGCTGTTGTTGAAGTAATTGACGCTCTTTTTCCCGTTGAGTTCCAAGACGAGAAGCGTGAAACCTTTTAACAGTACCACCTTCTTCTTCCGATTCACTTGTTTGGCAGGAAGAATCTTTCGTTTTACAAATATTTCCATGGCGATGACGGCGTTTCGGTCTATTCTGATGATAGATTGATGAGTTAGTTATTGGTTGTTGATTTCGAGCTTGTTTCTCGGTTACTTCAGCTAAGCCTTTAACTTTCAAAGTTTCCGCAGCTTTAAGAAGGGATGTCAATTGATCCTGTGAAACGTTAACCTCACCACTATACATAAAGTCAATGATGGCTTTAAGATCAATAAAACGAACATCTTTCAATATAACAATTGGATGTTTACATGGATTAGTCATGAAAAGACTCTGGAAAAATGGACTGCAAGCGGATAAGATCATCTTATGAGCTTTAAGTGAAGCTCCTTCACAAGCAATAGTAACATCGACAAGATTTTCAGAGACAAGCATATTATTGAAAACTTCACTTAAATTGGATAAATGGTTATTCCATTTAAGCATAAACTGCTGTTGAGCCATAATTGAAAAAGAAAACGAATCAACCAAATTAAATTAGAAACAATTAAAAAATAATTAATGTAAACAAAAATTTCACGAAATAAAAATAAGCCGAAATCAAGATGGCGGCTCCAGGATATTCTCACAAATAATTCAGTGGAAATAGACAAATGCTATTCATCGATAAGGAAAATCGATTCTGCTTCCATCTGTTGGCGAAGAAGAAAGAAAATCTCGGATAACAAAAATTATTTAATTTGTTCAATTTAATTTTATCACAAAAAAAGTTAAAAAAAGAGAAAAACAAAATTTTAGAAGATCATCATTTCAATTAATCACAATTAAAAGACGAAAATCAAAGTAATTTTCTAATTGGAAAGTTCATTTGTGTTTAGTTTCGATTTTTTTTTGTTCTTTTTCTTTTCTGACATTTTACGATTATTTTTGCTTCTCTTTTGTAGTGATTAGTGTTCAATCCATCCTTAGGTTGAAGACTGATTTTGGTAATAAAGAAAGAAAAACTTTAGAATGGTTCATGAAATGAAAAGAATTGAAAAAGAAATTGTTATTCTTTCAATTAATTTTTTATTGAGAGTAAGGGGGTGGAGTTTGTCCGCTAATGTGCAGACTTACATATGAGTATCTTGGTCACAAATTCAAATGAAAGAAGAAAGAAAGAGGATAGAAAGGAAAGAAAGGAAAGAGAAGCTCTTTACAACATTAGAGCTGATTCACAAATTCATCGGCCAAGGGGAGGCGAACCTACCACCTTGAGTATATGTCGCAGATCTCTTGACCATTCGGCCATCAATCGTTAACAATTTCAAAGGTGTGACCGAACATTCAAGTTTGTTTAGAATTCGGTAGATGGAGCTACTTTCGTTTTCTTTTGATTTTGGTTCTCCCCATTGGTAGTTTGCCCCTCGACCGCCGCGGGAGTAGTTGAATCAGCGGAGTGAATGACGTCACATGTACACAAAAGAAACTCAATTTATCTTCCTCTCTCTCTTGTTTTAATCATCCTTCATCCTCTTTCTTTTTACCTTTCTCTCTCTCTCTCTTTAATTCTCTCTCTCTCTTGTTCTCCTCTCCTTCTTTCATGGTTTTTTATGTTTCTCGCCATCATCATGATGATTTTTCTTCTTCTCAATGATAATCTCTCTTTATCGTTTTAATTAGAATTTACTTAGAATCCATTGATTTTTATATTCTTTTTTATATAATATCTCTTTGAATTCTTCATGTTTCGTTTTGCTTTTTTATTTTTTACACTACACTTTCTTCCTTCATCACCACCAACAACATCATCTTCATCTCTCATGTAACTTCCTAAGTGACAATATTCCAAATTCTTCTACTGTTATTGTTTCCTAATATTCTTCCATTCTCAACATCCATCATCATCTAATTCTTTCTTTCTTTTTAATCAACTTGTTTTACATTCTTTTTATTGGGGGATAATTGTGCTGTGAGTTCATTTAATATTTATAAACTTAAACACAGGTTATTTTTCTGTCAATTCCTGTGGTGTGTAATTTTTTCTTCTTCAACATCTCTTCATCTTCTTCTTCTTCTTCTTCTTCTTCTTCTTCTGCCTTCTTTTACTTTTACACATATACATTAAATTGTTGTAACATTGTTTCAACTACAACCGCCGCCATGTCCAATGTAAGAGCAGAAATACTTGCTGCAAGTCGATCTCGGACTGGTTGGCAAAGGCAAGTTTCATATCCAAACAATCAAACCAAATCAAAGCCCATAATTGATTCGTTGAGGATGTCATTTGAGGAAAAGGTATCTCCAAGCTGTGAAACAGGTAACCTTAAAGGTGACTATAGTAATGGAAAGGATAACCATCAAGGAGATAATAATAAAAGTTGCTCTCTAAAGAAAAGGCGAATGGGTGCCAAAGTTAGTGCCATTGCTATTATTTTCCAATCATTAACACCGCCGCCACCACCACCAAGAAAAACTCTGGGACAAACAACTCTTGTGTCAAACAACAATAACATCAATGGTTCCAACAATCCAACTAATCCTTCAAATAACAATAATAATAATAACAACCATGTTGTTAATAACAAAGAATCATCAACCAGTGTCAACAATGTTAAAAACAATGAAATTAAACACCTCTTTTCAGGTACCAAAGGTACCACAGGTATAACTAAATCAACCAGTGATAGTACGGGTAAAACAAATGGTTCATCAATAGTTGATTGTGATGATAATAAATTTACACAATCAAATGATGATCTAACCAAAAATAGTTCGTCAAGTAATGAGAATGAAATTTCACCGACCAGAAGATTTAATCAAAATCTCAACATCACCAACAACAACATCAACAGCATCAACAGTGTTTTCCGAAGTAAAAGAAGTTGCTCTCTTCCAGTTTCACAAGATTCTTCATCAACACTTAACCTTGACGGTAAATATTTGAAAGATTCTGTTGATGGAAGATTTAAAGAAAATAATTCTAAATCATCATCAGCACCAATTAACCATAAAATTAGTGATAAACCAAGTATAACTGCTAAACCCTCTTCCATTAAAATTGATCGAACCGAAAGTCGAGTTAGCAGATTTAACAATGCTCGAGCTATTTTCGAGAAACTTCAATCATCTTCATCCGAAAGTACAACACAACAAAACACTGGACCAAACACCTTAATGAGAACCTCAAGATCCAGTTCACCCAATGGAAGCTTTGAGAGATTATGTTCCAGAAAAACCTCTTTATCTGAAGAGGTTTTTACCTTAAAAGAGGCTACAGGATTTAATGGAAATCATGTAAACTCAGTAACATCAAATCAGAAACAAATTACCAACAAGGTAACAACAGTGATATCTTCCTGTGAAAGGAAAAGTACAGCTCCATCAATAATTGGTGCTACGAGTATTTCATCAACTGTCAACTCGAACAATCAATTAGAAAATAACACCAACATTACCACAAATAGTGAGTCAGTACAAAGATCTAGTAAAAGTCCACCACCAAAGCCGACGTTTATTTTACCTTCCAAAATAAGAGAGATACAACGATCGGCATCAGTACCAACAAATGGAGGACCACCAACGATTCCCAGTCCATCGAATAATAATAAACCAGTACCAGCGGCTAAAATGGCAGAATACTCTTTGTTTGTCAATAAACGTACTTCCGGTACAATGGAAAATAGTGACCTGATAAGCGGGAGTGAAGAGAAGCCAAAACAGGCTCAACCACCACCACAACCAAAAATTATAATATCAGCAATTAAACCTGTAAAGCCACTCATCATTGATCAAAAGACAAGTGATCCTGTGAATCAAGATAAAGGTAAACAAGTTAAATCACAATTAACCGACGAGACGAAATCAAAGATTTCATCAAAAGACGAATTAATTGAGAAAATGATCACAGCGATTGCTGATGATTCTATGGTCGTTGAGACTAAAATTGATTCGAAAGGTGAACCTGAACTCGACCTGAGTGCTTGCGACACATCAGGAATATCTCAATTCATGGATTTCGATGATTGTTTTAAAGATGTTGATATAATGACTGAAGAAGAAGCTCAGAAACTACTGTCACGAAAATCTAGATCACTACTTAATCCAGACTTGAGAAATCGTGTCGCTATTAACAATGACAAAACTGCAATCAATTCTAATAATGTAGTTACATCATCACTATCAACTACATCATCAGCACCATCAGTTACCAGCAACAATACTCCTCGTGACAATTTATCTGATTCATCATCGATATTAACTGGTGATGCCTCATTGGTTGGATCACATCGATTGGGTGGACAACCTTTGCCCCCAGTTCCTTCAACGACCATGCCTCCTTCTTATACCATTTCTCCAGCAGCCATTTCATCATTGACATTAATCGAGACCGCCACTAGTACAGGTAAATTTGATGAAATGAACGGTGGTGAAGCATCAGCTATAGCTGATTTAAAATCATTTGAAAATCAAGCTGAAACCTGCAATGTTTATGAATCAACTATCTCACCTGAGATCAACTTGATTACCGATGTCCACTTATCTTCAGATAAACGTATTTCCTGTACATCGGAAGGTAGGGACTTGAGAGGTGACAGTGAAAATAAGTTCAACCAGCAAACTCTCAAACAGGCTCAGACAACACAGCCGAAAATTTTAACATCAGCAGTTAAACCTGTAAAGCCACTAATCATTGAGCAAAAGACAAGTGATCCTGTGAATCAAGATAAAGGTAAACAAGTTAAATCACAATTAACCGACGAGACGAAATCAAAGATTTCATCAAAAGACGAATTAATTGAGAAAATGATCACAGCAATTGCTGATGATTCTATGGTCGTTGAGACTAAAATTGATTCGAAAGGTGAACCTGAACTTGACCTGAGTGCTTGCGACACATCAGGAATTTCTCAATTCATGGATTTCGACGATTGTTTTAAAGATGTTGATATAATGACTGAAGAAGAAGCTCAGAAACTACTGTCACGAAAATCTAGATCACTACTTAATCCAGACTTGAGAAATCGTGTCGCTATTAACAATGACAAAACTGCAATCAATTCCAATAATGTAGTTACAGCTCCAACATCAACAACAACAACAGTCACCAACAATTCTCGTGACAATTTATTTGATCCATCAATATCAGCTGATGATCCAACACCAATTTTATCCCATCGATTGGGTGGACATCCTTTGCCACCAGTTCCTATAACATCATCTAACATTTCCTCCGCTGCCATTTCATCTATAACACTAGTCGAGGCCACTAGCACAGGTAATTTTGATGAAATGAACGGTGGAGAAGCATCAGCTGAGGCCGATCTCAAATCATTTGAAAATCAAACTGCAAATTGTATTGTCTATGATTCAAATAACTCACCTGAGCTCAACTTGTTTCCCGATGGTCATTATTACTCTGAAAAACCAGGTTTACCACCGGACACTGATGAATCAGATGATATTTACTCTCAGGTGCCTAGAAAGAAGCCATCAAAGGTAAAATTCAGCACCGATCCAATTAAAGTGTACAATACCCATTCAGTTGATGATTATGATCGTCGTAATGAAGACGTTGACCCGGTAGCAGCATCAGCTGAATATGAACTCGAAAAGAGGATTGAAAAAATGGACGTTTTCCCGGTGGAATTAGAAAAAGGTCCCGATGGATTAGGTTTATCAATAATTGGAATGGGAGTAGGTGCCGATGCTGGTCTCGAAAAATTAGGAATATTTGTTAAAACAATTACCGAAAATGGTGCAGCTCATAAGGATGGAAGGTAAGAATCTTGCTAATTTCCAATATTATCGGTGTTTCTCATGTTACAAATCAATTGCATCCTTCCTCTTCTTCTTTAATTACATTCATATTATCATCATTTTTTTCAAACAAAAACTCTCATTTAATCAACGAAATTAATCCTAAAAGCTTTGTTTATTTTGTTTAATTTCTCTCTGCATCCTTGTCAGGTTTAAATCCAATTACTATTGTTACAATTTAAGCTTCAATTTGATCAAAAAAAAGGTCTTCTTTTTAAAAGCAAATCATCAACATGAATGATTTCAAAAAGATGATGAGTTTACTATTAATTCACTGAATTATCTCTTCTTTTTTTCCTGGTATTTTTCTGTCGGTATCTATGGTTATCTCGATATATTATTTCTTCAACACTCATGGTTTTTTTTGCAATCAAACAATTTATCTCTTAATTGTACTAACTAATTGTACTATTAATGATAAATTGTGATTATACTGCTAACGCCAAGTAACTAAGTCAATATTTACTTAACTTGAAAACTTTTTCGGTTTTTCATTTAATAAGCACAATTACAATCTAATTCACAATCACTATAAAGTTATCATTCGTGTTGATTTGATTGTGATTACATTGGTAGGACACATATAATATAATTGTTTGAGGCTATTTGATAAATTATTTGATTGTAAATGTGTGACATTGATTTTTTAATTTTCGCATCACCATTGATTCAACAATCAAAAAGATTTCAAATGTTTAGGGTGAAGTGAAGAGTGATTTATTTCAACAATTATATTAATAATCATCGTCAAGTGCATTTAGTTGAATCGTTGAAATTGTTCATTAAGTTTCCCATACCTTTTTCCTATCTGAATTGGGGTTAACAATTTTACAATTAAATTACAATCACAATAATTTACTTTAACAATCAATTTTATCTTCAACTGTCTTTCAATCATTACACCTTAACCTTTAATCATTACACATTTTCTACTATATGATAATCTAATTAGTTAATGCTTATCCAATTTATTTCAATCCAATTAATTTCCATTGGTTTTAAGGTATGATGACTCTCTCTCTCTCTCTCTCTCTTGCTTGTTACAATTTAATTATTTTGATGGACTAACAATTAACCATTGCATTAATTTAAATGCCATTGATCTGATATCTCATTAATTGGTTGACAAATTGTTAGAAATATTTAATCAACGACGCCAATGATTGTTATTTCCAAGAATAAGAGATTTAATTGTTTTTCTTTTCCTTATTGGCCCAATTGATTTTCAATGGAATTGAATCACATCTCGAAAGTTTTTTTTATTCTTTTTCATCTCAAGAATCTTTTCTTTCAATTTAGAATTGAGAGAAATGTCTTCATCAATCCAAGTTCCAATCATTTTTGTGATGCTCCATTTAAGATCAATTTACCGCCACGATAGAACTACAAACAACACAAGCTAACAATTTATAATCATTACCGTTAGAAACTCACCCAGAGAGGGAGGGAGAAACTGCTGATAAACAAGATGATAATTCAGCAATTGAAACATGATTGACCTTACAGAATCTACAAGTCAACATTTTTTTTAATCCTCATCCTTAATTGTTACATTTCATTTTCATCTGAAGGTAACAGTTAATGCCAATTAACTATTATGTTCAAAACGATGAAGAAAAAAAATCATTTCAACGATTAGTTATTAGTGATTAATATTAATCTGACGCTTAAATGAATCAATAATTAGGGTAACATGTACGTGCCACATACACACGATAATGCGTTTGTTTACCTTTATCATCCTCTCCCTCCTGATAAACTCATCTCTCAACACTCACACCCTCACATTAACCATGTAACAATGAGATTGATGATAATGTCGCAAAATTTTTGTACTCACATTATCACCATGACAAGTATATTAATACTTTCCCTTTCAATTAGTTCATCTCAACATGATACAAAATTCAGATGATGCTAATTTTACCTTCAACTGTAACTTTGTTGACTTTAATGTCCGTAAAATTTGAAACAACCACAATTAACTGTTGAAATCTAATTAATATCAACAGATACTCATCATCATGTAGTTCTGGTTGATTAATTAACATTAATTGATCATCTTCTATATACAAAAATAATCAACAACAATCAAAGTTTGTTGATATGAATTAAATATCTTCACCTGTCATTTATTTCCTGATCATCTTTTTATATGCAAATTAATTATTTTGATAGATTGCACAACATGATGATAATGTTTCATGATAATGATCAGGTTGATGAAGATGAATTATATTGGAAGAAGGGTCATCATCATAATCAAAACCGTAACAACAACAATAATTATTTGATTATCATTATTATTATTGTATTATTAAGAGATTAACTCTTGACCAGTCAATTATTTTCAATGAAATAATTGTAAGAAAAAAGTTCATGATGAAATTTTCACTCTCAACTGAATAAATTGTGAAAACAATTTCATGTCTATCATATGTGTTACTTTTATATTATTTCAATTAAAAGCTCACGAGTAACCTACAATTACTTAATTTTCACTCTTGCTTTCATGTCCACTCTCTCGAGACGATGTTACTTGATGATGATGATGATGATGATGTTGATTCTTATTTTGTCAGCTCGTTGATGTTGAGTTCACATAATTTGTTCCAGTATACCAGTGATGACAATAATTCATCTGAAAGTTCATCACCATTTCTCCACGTTCAATTAACTTTAATCCGATTCCATATAACACATCTTCCCTCTTGATTATTCAAACATCACAATTAATATTATACCCTAACCATCAATTTGAGACAATCTTTTTTTTTATGATCTTGATGAAATCAGTGACAATTTTTAATATAAATTTTCACATCTATGATGATGATGACAATCATCATCATGAATTACTCATGAATTTTGAAATTTGTAAACTCTGTTTATATTGCAATGATTAATGATTCTGTTGTGATTTATATTTGCAATTGATTTTCGTTTAATTGTATGTATATATTTAGATGATTATTATCCGGAAGAAAACAATTTCCTGCTATAATAAACAAATCAATTGCAATTTCCGCTTAATTGTTGTAATATGAAAAATTTAACTTTACTCTGATTTTGCAAAGATATCATTTTTACTTGTAAATATTATTAATTACATATCATGTATATCAACCTAAAAATAAGTTTTCCACCACTAATGAAAACTTCAATATACTTTAATGGGTCTGCCTTGTAAAAACAATATAATCCCATGTTAAGGATATTGTAAATATTATGTCAAAGTCTACTAGGAAAAACAATCAACTGTGGTTTATCATTTGCACGGATAAACTGCAACAAAACAACAACAATTACTCAACTAAATCATCCTTAGAATCCTTAATTGTTTGAGGTTATCAAATTGATGAGATAATGAAGAAAATGTTAAGACTTTAGCTTGAGAAAATCAAATGATGATGAAGATTATTTTTATTATTACTATTATGATGCTAATGAATGTTGATGAGAAGAAACCAATCCTTATAATCAATTAACTCTAACAAGACATTTCCTGGCTTGTTGATTATCATTCAAGAAACTATGTATTAATATATTAATAGTAAACAAAGATAACTATTAATATTATATATATAAGATGATTGTTATCGTTGATAAGATGATATTTTGTATTTTTCATCACTGTTATTGATAATTTAAATTGTTTGATGATGATTGTGATAAATATCATCATCAACATGATACTCTCATCATTTTTGAAACTTTAAATCTTAAACGATAACAATCAAATTAAACCTCCAACGTTGCGTTACTGTTAAAAATATGAATACAATCATGATTATTATCATGAAGGAGTATCATCATTTTTGTTTTCTCATTGAATATATTAAAGGCTATTTCATTTAATTCAGTTTTCAGTATTTAAATTGTATTCTTAATGGTTATTATCATCAATGTTGATGATGGTGAAAAACAATTTACAAATTTATCCTCATTCTTGAATAATATCTTCTTGATTTACACACACACTTTTCAATATGATTCATTATAATTCATTGTCAACTATTCATTGGGTGAAAAATGACTTTTTCCTGAAATTATTCATCATGAACATGATATGAGTCCATTGAAAGTTTCTCTTGCTCTTTTTCAATTACTGGTTAAATTAACTTTCTCAATTTGAACAATTTGTTTCACGCAACCAAAATTTTCTGCTGATAAATTTAACTTTAATTGTTACTATTTACTAATTGTTAATTTTAAATTGTCTTTGAGCTGTTGTGCTATTTTAAGTGTGGCGTAGGTCAATTAGCAAAGTTGATCATTAAAATGTTGTATCTTTTGTCAACAAACTGTAATCTCTCACCATTAATTATTGTCATCATTAATAATTAATTAATCGAGATAACAATTTAATTTCTGTATTCAATTTTAAACTTATCTAATTTTAAAATTATCATCAATCTAAACTGTGAAATTAAATTGATATTCACTGATTTAGGAATCATTATCACTCGTAACTCTTTGAGACTTTTTTTTTCATTTTGACTAATCAATTGAGATTCAATTAGATTGTCACGTTATTTTCATCACTAATCATCCTTCTTGTTAATTACATTTACAGTTAAACATGATGATATTCAATTTGGTTAATCAACTTTGATTAATTTTTGTTAATCTTTCACTTTGATGATGATGATTATCTTTATGCAATCAGATTACCATCATGATCTTTAATCAATTTAAATTCTGTTGGCATTTCATTTTCTCAACTTCAAGGTTTATATTTCCATCATCATGATTACTATTTAATATTAATCAGCTTTTTTTTACTGTTAGTTATTGATATCACATTTACAATTTAATTATAACAGTACTGAAATTATCAGGTCATCGTCATGATGATGACCATGATGAATATAAACTTCTGAAAGTTTTTTTTTCGTAGTGCAAAAAAAAACTCAATCACTAATTTGATCCTCAATATTTATTAGCTTATGATAAGTTGATTGGATTAACATATGAATTACCTTGACTATTGATTTTGACAGTTGACGTGGGCTAATTGTTAACAATTGATTATCTTCTCCCTCGAAAAGTTATTCACTTTTGTTCAAATATTATTATTAACAATTTACTCTTTTGATTTTTTTCCATTTAGAATTCAAGTCAATGATCAAATAATCGAAGTTGATGGATTATCTTTGGTCGGTGTTACCCAAGCTTATGCTGCTTTAGTCCTTCGAGGAACCAATGGATTAATTAAGTTTCTAATTGGCCGTGAACGTGATCCAGAAAACAGTGAGATCGCTCAACTAATATCACAATCAATTGAAGCTGAGAAAAGGCAACAGGATCAACAGAAAATACTCTATCATGAATTATACGCTTTGGCCCCCTGATCAACTTTACAATCAACCAAATCATAATAATCATAAAGAAATCATATGTGATTTAATCTGCTACTTGTTTACAATAAACAAAATCCAATTTACCAATAACCCAAATGGTTTCACCATTTATAAATCATTTGAAAGATGATTAACTAAAGGGTTTCAAAAAGGACAATAACTACACTGAACTCTACAATTAAGATAACCTATCAATTCAATCATTGAATGATTTAGTGTTTATTGAATCTAAAAATTGATTAGCCAAACAATTTTCTATTCAACATTTTAACTGATCAACTGATTAATTTGTTGATAGACTTTTCTTCATCTACAATAGATGGAGTCACTTACAAGTTAATTAAAAACTGTTCACAATTAACAACCTTTATAACAACAATTTGTGATAATTTCCTTGCGTAAATTAAATGACAGAGTTAATTGTTTACCTTTTATCTAGACCAAATCAACAATTTAACAATAATAGAATCAAACATGAAGCGTAGTTTCACTTTGATTACTACCGTAATTGTAGTCTGATTGATTTGATTTCTGTCAAAAAAAGAATCAATTTTTGATTGATTATGTTGATTAATATGCATGGTGATTGTTTGGTGAATTCTGAGGAATTCTGAGGAATAAGTCAAGAAAATTATTCTAAATCCAGAAAAAGGTAGAAAAACAATTTTAATCGATACAATTGACAATCTAAATTAAAGTCTATTTGATTAGCTGTCAATCGGGATGATGACGATCAGAATGAGATGAGGCAAGAAAACAGAGAACAGTGTAAACTTATCACTCAATCAAATCGAATCATCTTTTTGTTGATATCATTTAGTATGAAATTAGAACAACAATTATCTAATTCAAACGATAATTCGGATATTTATACCATAAGTGAATCGCGATTAGTGTTCAATCCTCCATTGATGATGTCGACGATCAACAATGAAAAGTTAGTATTATCTAGAAATCAGTAGAAATTGTAAATTGTGAATTGTTGTCGTTTACCTTTTCCTTTTCCGCTCAACTAAAAGTCAAGAATTTGTTTGGTACAGACGAAAGAAACGGGACCTCGAAGCTAAATGGACACTTCTTTTGGCCATTTCGATCACGATTTCTTTGGTCTTATCAATAATTCTTCTTGGAAATTGTTTGAAATATGGATCAACGATTCTCAGTGGTTAGTTTACTTTTCTCTGTCGTTGTTTCTCTCAATTAATCATTAAAATTCTGATTGTTCCAAGTTTCCTCATGGCAATCAGCGATTCTGAGACGGTTAAAAGGTCACAAGGTTTGGAAAGACGCTGACAATCAAGTGAAGATCGATCAAGTATGTGTGACACCCGAATGTTCAAAAAAAGGTTAGTATATTTTGTGGTTCTTTTTAATTGGAGCATTTAATTTAGTTTTTCAACAACAATTTCTCAGCTGAATCAATATTGAAAAGTCTCAATTTAAAGGTCTCTCCATGTGATGATTTCTATGAATTTTCCTGTGGCAATTGGATCAAGGATAATCCCATTCCGAGTTGGACAAATTATATCTCTTTAATTGGCCTTTTGGAGATGAAACCGATCGAGCAATTAAGGAGTAAGATAGAAATGCAAAGTTCAATTAACATGATCAACTAATTGTTTGTCTAATCAGCATTACTGGAGACTGAATCTGATTCCAATGATGATTTAATGACTAATATCACGAGATCGTATTACAAAATGTGTATGAATACTGGTTAGTTTATTTGATTGTTTCTTTCGACTCTTTAATTGTTCATTTTAATTGTTTTACTCAGAAATTATCTCTCAAACAAGCGACTCAAATATCCATAAAATTATTGAATCAATTGGTGACTGGCCAATGGCTACTACAAAAGCTTGGAGTCCTGGTGATTTTGATTGGATGGCAGCGACGGTTAAGCTCCGTTGGTTGGGAATTAGTGCCGATACTTTCATCAGGATTCAACCAGTTATCGATGTTTTTAATAATACAGTTTATCGAATAGGAGTTAGTTCATTTCCTAATTGTTCAATGATCAACAAAATAATCTAAGCTTTTCTCTTGTTCAGTTTAATTGTTAATTTTCATAAAGATAAATGAGCCGAAATTAAGTCTTAATCGAGACCATCTCATCGAGAATGGGACAGTCGCTCAACATTATCTGGACTTTATGAAGAAAACCGCGGCCGTTTATGGAGGAATAGAAGGAATAATCGAACATGATGCTCTGGCAGTTCTTAATTTCGAGCGTGAATTAGCGGCGGTCAGTTCATTACCACTATTCGAGGTCAATTCCATAAATCGAACTGTTTTTTCTCTCTCCAAATTTCCGACCATAGTTAACGATACCAGAGGAATCTGTCCGTGAATCTTTGATCCTTTTCCGTGCAATGACAGTTTCTGATCTAAACAATTTAGCTCCATCGGTAATTAAACTTTTTAATCAACAAATTCAGAAAATTAACAACTATGAATTTCAGATCCCATGGGTCGAGTTTCTATCTGGAATGTTCGGTCGCGAAATAACCGATGATCAGCCTTTACTGGTGAAGAACGTTGGCAATTTTATCACTCGATTAGAATCGTTGATCGACAAAACTGAAGAAAGGTAAACAATTAGGCTAATCAGAAGGACGAACAATTAATTTCTTTTCGTTTAGAGTCTTAGCGAACTTTTTATGTTGGAGTACCGTTCGAACGTTACTCCCGTACCTTGGCCCTAAATACGATTCACTAGAGAAAAGTTTCTGGGATTCGGTGTTAAATACGAAAAATGTTTCTCCTCGATGGTTAAGATGCATCGATGATACTTCGAACTATTTTGGACCGATTCTCCAATCGATGTATGGCCGAACCTATTACTCGGAGACAGTTAAAATTTCGGTAATGATCAGCAATCGAAATTACTCGTACTAATTATCATGATTACTTTTAATTATTTAGGCAACAAGGTTAGCAAATATGATTCAATTAGCATTTAATGAGTCACTTAATCAAAATAAATGGATGGACAATGAAACTAAATTAAAAGCAATCGAGAAACTTGAACATATCAATGTGGTCATCGGATCTTCAGATGACCAACTAAATAGTTCATTTGTCAATAAAATGTTTGAAAAGGTTTGTTTTAAAGGGAAACAATTAAAAACTCCCAACAATTAAGAGAGCATCTTGTTAATTGAACATCTTAATTGTTAATTTTCAGTTCGATTTCAATGAGAGTTCAAGTTTCCTCGAAAATACTTTGAACATTTCTCTTTGGTACATTAATATGTTACTCGAAAGAATCGATCAACCAAACGGAAGAATTGAGTGAGAATTAATTGTTCTTGATTGTAAACCAATTTACGCTAATTACTGATTACCTTTAATTGTAAAAGATGGACCAGAACTCAAAAAATTAGCGATACAAATGCTTATTACTCTGGAAATGACAATGCTCTGTTCATACCAATGGGACTACTGCTACCGGAGATTTTTTCACCAAATTTACCAAAGTAAAAAATGATAACAATTAACTAACCAGATTAATTATCATGTCGATTTACAATCCATCTTTCATTATCCTAGTTACCTTAATTATGGTACAATTGGCTATGCAATAGCTCATGAGATGACCCATGGATTTGATGATCTTGGTCGACATTTTGATAAATTTGGTAATAACAACAATTGGTGGAGCAATCAAAGTCTAATTGGATTTGATGATCATGCTTCATGTTTCATTCAACAATACAATAATTATCGTTTAACTGATAAATTAAGTGTAAGTCAATTTATCCTTTCCAATGGGTCATATTAATTATCAGGTTAATCAATAGGTTAATGGACAATTAAGTTTAGGTGAAAACATTGCTGATAATGGTGGAGTTCATGTTGCTTATCGAGCTTTTCAATCAGCAATTAAGTATATTGACATTGAATTAAAAATGCCAGGACTTGATTATACACCTGATCAACTATTCTGGATAAGTTATGCTCAGGTTTGTATTTTAATTGATTTACAATTGTAACAATTAATTTCTACTACAATCTAATATCAACTTGTATTCATTTTGTATAACTAGAATCATTTTTGATTGGTTATGTTTTTAAATGTGATCATTCATTTAATTTAAGTTGTTTCATTTTGTTTAATTGTCACAGTTTTCTTATTGTTCATCTAATTTAGTTTGTTTGATTCTAACTAATTCTTAATTGTTTACATTTTTAGCTCTGGTGTGATAATCATTCAAATGAAACAATTCAATTAGATGCTAATATTGATTCACATGTTCCTGGTCGCTACAGGTAATGTTTGGGTTTTTTTGTTGTTCCAAAGAAAATTGTTTTTGATGTTGATAATTTGATTGAGATAATTAATTGTTGCCTTGTTTCTTTTGTTTTCCATATTAAAGGGTAATTGGATCCATTAGTAATAATGAAGATTTCTCTAGATCATTTAAATGTCCATTAGGATCACCAATGAATCCTCATGAAAAATGTTACTTTTGGTAGGAACTATTTGTTAAACGATTGGCATATCCTTTAGTTACACTTGTCCATGTGTCCATATATCGGTCAACACAAAAGTTTAAACATTTCTAAATTAAAAAGAAAATACAAACAAAGAAAATTAAATTCTAATAATGTATCATCATAATCATCAAACATTGTAACACTTACCGTTTCACTTGAATCTAAACTACTGGCAGGTTTGAGTACACATTTTTTAAAACATTTTTCTGACATTTGCTATGAGAAAGAGAAAGATACAAATGAACAACAATAAAAAATTCAATTAATTAACCAAACAAACACAAAAAAAAACAACAAAGAAAAACATATAAAACCTGTTGATTAATTAGCTTTTACCTTAACCAGTTCTTTAAAATTTTCCATGGCAATTTCTTGTTTTAACTTATCCATTAGCTCACTTTTCTGAGCGGCGGTCAACGTATCGGCCATTGTACCAATTAATTAATTACTATGGACAAACAATTAAACAGAGAAAAAAGAATCAATTAACAAGAAAAGGAATAACGGTAAACCAAATTGATGGAGAAACAAAAACAACATTGACTTCAACATTTTCCAACAAAAAGAATGAGCATGTTTGGTTTCCATGGAAACGGAAAAAGCGGTCATTTCAAAATGAGAGAAAAAATTCTTATTCAATGAAAGAGGAAAAAGAGAATAGAAAAATTTTCTTTTTCTTTTTAAAGGTTAACCAGGTGAGAGAAAAGGTAAAACTTGTTTTCTATTTATCTTATTGGTGTTATTTGAGAGACGAGATTTAATCAGGCGAAGATGAGAGAAGTTATTTTAACAGTTGATAGAGTGAAGTGATAGAGAGAGAGAGAGAGAGAGAGAATCATTTTCTCGGTTCTGTATTAATAGAATTGATTGTCAATTAAAAAGAAGGAGAATCCAAATCAACGGTGAGAATCTTTTTTTTCCACTTCAATCATTAAGTTAAATTGTTGATCTTTAAAAACGAAAAAAATTCTCGCATCTCATCATCTTATTGTCTTTTTCTTTTTATTCTTTGTTTTGGTTTTTTTTTCTCTTTTCTCTCCATCATCAAACTAACAATTCTAATCATTACATATTTTTAACTCTGTGTCTTTCCTGTTATTTTTTATTCTTCTTTCAGTTTTCCTCCTTCAACCTCCTCCTTCTCCTCCATTTTTACTCTCACCTCCTTTTTGGTTATTTTCTATTCTCTCTAATACTTGATTTTACCTTTTTCTCTCTCTCTCTCTCTTACAGCTCACCTTCTATTTGTGAACATCGGGACAATCAATCGTCAACAATCAACGTTTACATGTTTACCTTCATTTTCGGTGCCATATCAAGGGATTGATTGTGTTGTCTATTTGATAACCAGTTTGGTAACCAGGAAAATCTAAAGTGACTTTTGTTGGACAAATTGTTCTATTCTCTCTCTCTCTCTCTCTCCTTTTAATTCTTGGAGATTATCGTAAATCTTACATTCTCTCTGTCTGGTAATCAATCGTAATCATGGGTCGTAAGGTTTATGTTATCGGTGTTGGTATGACCAAATTTACCAAATCAGGTGTTAACAAGCAACTTGATTATCCTGATTTAGCTTGTGAGGCAGTTCGTAATGCTTTGGCTGATGCTTCAGTTAAATATGAAGACATTGAACATGCCTCGGTGGGTTATGTTTTCGGTGACTCTTGTTGTGGACAAAAGGCTCTTTATCCACTTGGTACTACTGGTATACCAATCGTTAATGTTAATAATAATTGTGCCACCGGATCTTCGGCTCTTTATTTAACAAAATGCCTTATTGAAGGAGGAATTGTTAATTGTGGCCTAGCATTAGGATTTGAGAAGATGGAGAAAGGCAGTTTAACCACCAAATTTAAAGATCGTGTTACCCCAATGCAAGATCATATTAATCTTTACTATGAACTGTTCGGCCTTTCACCCGCTCCAATTACTGCCCAATTATTTGGATCAGCAGGAAAGGAGCATATGGCCAAATATGGAACCAAAGAGGAGCATTTTGCTAAAATCGCTCTCAAAAATCATAAACACTCAGTTAATAATCCATTCGCTCAATTTCAAACAGAATATCCAATGGAGGAGATTCTTAATGGACCTAAGGTAATCTTTATATTAATACAAAGTTACAATTCTGATTCTCTCCATCAATTTTTCTGCTTATTTTATCATAAAGTTAATCATCACCTTTAATCAGTTCTCTCTTGCTCTCTCTTAATGTCATATCTATTTCTTGTTCCCGTCTATTTACTTTGCTTTAGTTACTTGATGTTGACAATTTTACTTGATTCTCATACTAACAAATCCATTGATCTGTTAATGATACAGGTTTTAGGTTAATTTTACTTACTGATTTTACTGTTTAATCTTCTTCTGTCTGTTCATCTGTCTTTTTTTTCTCTTCCATCTCATCATCACAATCATCATTATCTTCTTGTTTTCTTACTCTGACAAAAGTTTTCATTAGATAAACAGTTTCTCTTTATAAGAATTACCAGTTCTCTCTTTTAATCAATATCAAGTGACCATTGACCTAAAGCTCAGGCAAAAAAACGAGTTGATTGGATAACAAGACAAAGATGATGTTAATTAACTGTTCCTTTTTGATGATGATGAAAACTATAAACCGATTATCATCATTCTTTCATCAGTTGCCAAGGTTTTTCATTGTCATTCTATTATTGTTATTATTTGAAACATCTTCAATCAACATGATCACATTTAGATTACTATTCAAAGTTAAATAGTGTCAACATGATCGATACATCAGATCAACTGTCAATCTGATCAATCTAATTGGTGAATTAAATTAGATTTCCAATTTCCAAAACTTTTATTATTAGTAATTACATTCAATTCACCAATTTAATTGTGTGTCTCTCTAATACAATCATGCAAACCTGTTAACTAACATTAATCGTCTTTATTATTATCAACTATTTTAAGATAATTATTAACCCATTTCTTGATTACTAACCCTAAATACATAAACAACAAGCGAAAAATTAACTTAATCCAGTCTTGTCTTTTCTCCTCTTCAAATTAATCACAATTAACTTTTCGATAAACTAAAAATTAAATAACCTTCAAGCTAATTAAATGTTAACTGTCTAATCTAATGATCAACTCACTCGACAATCTAATTAACATCACCAACAATTTTGTTTGATTTCTGGTTCAAATTAACCATTTTCCTTTATATTCTTACCAATCCACTAACACGATATATCCAATTAATCATTTAATTGAATATAATTAATTCATTTTGATTAATAATTAATTTATATAAGCAAAAGGCAACTTGAAATATTGAATAATCATAAATTTAACATTGGTCAGAACAACTGAATTTCATATATGTAGATTATTGATGATGAACATTATTCAATTAGCTAATTATCTTATAATATTAATAATAATAATCACCATTAACATGATAAATTGATAATTAACCGCCACGTTTAAAGTTAATTATGTTTCAATTAACCTGGAAAATTTAATGATAATAGTTGAGTTAACAAAATTGTATCTAATTTAGTTCTCAACTGAACATTGAACTTGAAATGATCATGAACATGATTGAACAATATCATTTCGATTATATTTTATATTGAACTAATACTTTTGATAGAAAATTTTCCCAATCAACCAGTTACCGATTATAATTGTTCAACTTAATCATCTTTCAGTTTCCTTATTAGAGGGAATTACTAATCAGAATTAAATTTTGATCTATTTTTTTCTGCTTCAAAGAGACATTACAATTCTCAGTTATTCCGGTCATTTAAGTTAATTGCTTTTCTCCAATATCATGTCCATTTCATCTTACCAACCCAAACTTTTCCTCTCCTCTAATTTGCTATTTTCTTTTGTTCTTTTCCTTTTTATTATTACTTCAATCTCTTCTCTCTCTCAACATATAATTAGTTAATGGTAACAAAAGGATGTTTACACTCAATACACTTTCATTTTTCATGATGATGATGATTGTGATGGTCATTCATTGTTCACATACAACACGAGTCTTCAGATACAGATGAAAATGTATCCTTATATCATTCTCATGACAGTTTCCGTTTCCGAATAGGAAACTTATCTCTTTTTGACTTACTTTCCTTTTTATATTTATCTCTCTCTCTCTCAACATATAATTAGTTAATGGTAACAAAAGGATGTTTACACTCAATACACTTTCATTTTTCATGATGATGATGATTGTGATGGTCATTCATTGTTCACATACAACACGAGTCTTCAGATACAGATGAAAATGTATCCTTATATCATTCTCATGACAGTTTCCGTTTCCGAATAGGAAACTTATCTCTTTTTGACTTACTTTCCTTTTTATATTTATCTTCCTCCCTCTCTCTCTCTCTCTCTCTCTCTTATCTTCTTGACCATTATCTTAATCATCAGTTATCTTAGATGATAATAGATTAATACTCAAAGTTTGACTAATTCATGTGACCCATTAATCTTATCCCAATAAAAATCAATCCCATCAATCAATCAATAATAACAATCGATCCTGTAATAATAATAATACTTCATGATACTAACAAGCGTTTAGAATTTTCTTTCTATTAAGATTAACTAATTGTTATTCTTTATTTCTTAAAATTTTTTACTTCTTCTTATAGATATTTGAATACCTTACACGACTTCAATGTTGCCCCACCTCGGACGGAGCTGCAGCCGCTATTTTGGCCTCTGAGGAGTTTGTCAAATCTCATGGACTTGAAAAAAATGCCGTTGAAATACTTGCCATGGAAATGGCATCAGATATTAAATCAACTTTTGAAGAAAAGTCTGCAATCAAATTGGTTGGATTTGATATGAGTAAGAAAGCAGCGGAAAAAGCTTATGCCAAAGCTGGAATTGGACCTAAAGATGTTCAGGTCATTGAGCTGCACGATTGTTTCTCAGCCAACGAATTGATCACTTACGAAGCACTTGGACTTTGTCCGATCGGTGGAGCGGGAGCTTTTATCGATGCTGGTGATAATACTTACGGTGGTAAGTACGTTGTCAATCCAAGCGGTGGTCTACTCTCCAAGGGTCATCCACTTGGCGCAACCGGCCTGGCTCAATGCTCTGAACTTTGCTGGCAAGTTCGAGGTGAAGCAGGTCAACGACAAGTTCCCGGTGCTAAAATTGCCCTTCAACACAACATTGGGCTCGGAGGTGCCGGAGTAGTTGCATTATATAGACATGGATTCCCCGAGAAACTAAACAAACAATTCTTAACCTCAAAACTGTGATCAAATCTCTCTCATCATTTTAACAATTAACTCTCATCCAAAATTAATCCAACTAATCACAATTAACCATCGTCCTTGCAGGTTATGTGTGCTCCAAATTAATATAAATCTTTATATATCTATCATATATAAATACACTGTTATTTTTAAAATTTAAATTTTAACTATTACATTTTAACAAACCTAATCAATTCAAATCAACTTTGGAGTTAATTTACTTATCAAGTAAATTGAATAAGAAAAGAAACTGAAAATTTTGACAACTTTTTTCCCACTCCCAATGAGAAAAAAAATAAAAACAATCCTAATCTAAAACTACAATCAACTAACAATTAACCTAATTTGATTAACATACAAGTTAACATCTTGTTTACTCTAATCTAAGTATCAAACTCTTGAACAATCAATTTAAATTGTTCACCAATTATGATCGATCGAGTTACTTATTATATGAGAGAATCAATTTACTCCCATAGGATTGAACTGATTTAAAGACAAAAAGATTGATGGACTGACTGGTTTTCGATTAGATTTTTGATCATCGAAAATCTTAATCAGACAATTTAATTGTATTTCACTTTGATAGTTGATTTAATTTTCTTGAATCACTTTCCAAGTAGTAAATTGTTTCTCTTCCATTCCAACAATTAATTCAATTATTCAAATATTTGATCAACTGATTATCTCTCAATTAACTTCTAGCAATCCTTTCATGCAATTTATTGATTTAATTATTTACCAATAATTATTGTAACAATTGATAATTTAATCTTTGCGTTCAAGTTAAATTTGTATATTTTGTAACTTAATTTGAATTTAATCAAAAAAAAAAGATGAGTATTCCAATGTAATATTGTAACAAATTGACAATTAGTGTTAATTGTTGTAACTGTTTTTAGATTCAAATGATTAGTTTGATTCTTTTGGTGTGAATGTAAATGATGACGATGATGATGATAAGTTTACATATGAGAGATGAGTAAGAAAAACATTGGGAGGAAGAAGAGAAATTGATTGATAGATTAATTTAGTTAATCCAATTGTGTCAATTTAAAATCCATATCCAAGGTTAGTGAGTTGGTCTTTTTAATTACAGAATCCATTGGTTTCCAAAGGAAAAGAGTGTTAAATTGTTGATCAAATAGATTGCACATAATTTAGACTCTACAATAATTTCCGGTTCATTTCCAGAGGATGATGATGATGATGATGATGATGATAATCAAAATGATGTAACACTGAACTAAAAGGGTGTTCCACTTGATTCAAGCAGAAAACTCACCCAATATTCATCACAATTATCTCCTGGTGTAAATCGAGATGAAGATAATTACATTTGTAATCAATTGATCGCCAATCATCTCATCATCATTTTTACTAATTATCACATCCTCTTCATACGATAAAGTGGATTGAGTTTTCTTCTTCTCTTAATTTCGAACCAAAATCAAATAGAAACACCCTTTATATCCGGTTGAATCTTTTTCCAAAGTTCTCCTGTAATTTGTAACCATGTTTCTGAGTTTCCATAGGCAATTTTATCCTCAGAGTTTTATTATTATATATTAACTGTTGTTGATTCTGTTAAATACTTGCTCGTTTTTTATAATTTTCATAACTTTCTAGGTCAAAATCTGTTGCATTGATAAACATATGAGCCGGTGCTTTATCATCATCCATACCAATGATTGACTCAGGATCGGGTGTATCAGAAGAACCCGATATGGACCGAAACATTGATAAGGGTAAAAATCTTGATGCTCCTTCTCGTCTTCGTATCCTTGACCTTGATGGTCCATTGTGACCCGTTGGACCAGTTGGTTCATTGGAACCACGGCGACCTGAGAAGGAATATTTTTTGGGTGAAGATCGTCTCCAAGAACGTGATCTACTGTACCTTTGATTATTATAACAGGTACATGAACAAACTGATTGAACATCATCCGAATCAGGGGTAACCATGTCCGGTCCTTGGCCTGAAATAATACTACCATTGGCAGTAATCACATCACCTTCAAGGTGAACAGCTCCGGCTGCCGTTAGAGCGGCTTCAGCTTCGTCTCTCCTCTCATCTTCCGTGTTAAGGGTAAGAAAACGTAACACCAATAGATTGATACCTCCAGAAACAACGGAAAGGCCGAAAAGGATAAAGACAAGGCTGAAAATAACGTATTCAGGTTTGCTTTGAAGAGCCGATTCTTTCTGAAGGGCAACATAATCACCGAATCCAATTGTGGTCAGTGTAATAAAACAATAATAAAATGCATCAAAATAGCTCCATCTCTCCCACTTCGAGAATGCAGCGGCTCCTGTGGTCATCACTAACGTCGATAGGAAAAGGACGAACATCACTAAATTGGTCTCAGATACCTGGAAGAGAGAAAAAAGAAAAAGGAAAAATTAAAATTAATTATATGAGAAATTAACTAATAATTAGAATGTCATCAAAAGAGCGACGCTTGAGGCTATGTGTTGAATAACATTTGACAAACAGGGAGTGAAATATAATGCAAACAGAATCAACAAATCAACGAGAAAATATTTTCTCCACCAAGATTTGTTTACATATTATCATCATCTCATTATCATGATTAATACCCTTGAGGTTTATTATCATGATTATTATCTAATACTTGAAAGAAAAATCATTTAATGATTAAATCCACCAAGGTAAATAAATGTAACACATTAATGGTTTTACCAATTAATTAACGATTCTCTCTGTCTCTCCAAGATTAACTAGCAATAATTGTCATAAATTATTCAAGTCACCAACTGATTAACAAGACAATTGATATTAGGAAATGAATTTGATCCTATTAAGATCATTTTCCAGGTAAGCACACTCAAAGAATTGATAATATTATTGTAATCAATTGATGTTGATGATGATTAACGTTTCTGGGTTTACCATTGAGTCCAAATGGTTATGATGGCTCCTGAGAATCAGATTATTTTTGATTTACGTTGATTATTTGATGATGATCAATGAACAACACACAGTTTTAATGATCATCGGTGACAAATACATTTGATGGGAAAATTTTCTCTCTCAACATCATCTTTTTTTTTCCTTGACCATAAGAACTGCTGATATGGTCATCTGATTACTATTAGATAATTTATGACTCATTCTCTCAAATCATCATCACATTGACATCAATGATTTTGAAAGTTGATCTGTTGATTATTGATTGGAAGAAGTGAAAAAATTCATTAGATTAATCAACACAATGTCCATCATCAAGGATTTAACATGATATCCTTTATATATACGTTGAACTTGAATCCATAAACTTTTAATTTCGTAATCAACTTGTCACAGGCACTTGGAAGTATAATTAGAATTAGTTAATGATGATGATGATGATTATACACTTAATGATGAGACACACTGTTGGTAAACGTTGATTAATTTGAGAAACAACAATAATCAAAACTAAAGAGAGAGAGATAAATATAATTACTAAGGAAGTGTATTAATTGTCAAGCCAATTTTGTTTCAATTGCAAGATGAAAAGGGTTAATTAACACAATAGCAATTAGTAGATTTGAGGATAAATCAAAACATTTATCACGAAAAGACAAAAAATTTGAACAGAAAATGTCACAATCTATTATTATTATTCATCTATCCTTATATTAGCTGATTAATTAACAGGTTAAGTATCAAGTAAACGAATCAAGTTAAACGTTAATATTTAGCTAATCAGCTTAATTGTTTAGTTAACTTGTAATACTGATGGAAAAACGTTAATTTTCAATCAGTAAGATTGGAAAAGATTAACAATAAATTAGCACAGAAAGAATTGTAAAAATTGATGATGTTCTGGTTAGAAAAGTGACTGGAATTAAATTAAAAGGGAATGAGAAATGGGAGAGGTTTGATTATTGTCATTTAAGAGTAACAACAATCAAGAAAGAATTTGTTAAAGTTGATGAATTAGAATGAGAAAAACATCATTATAATCATCAAGATTAGAGAGAGAAAAAAAAGGAAAATAAGGAAAACATTGTTATCCATTGGACTGTAATCAAATCATCATTTGATAAATGGATTCATACAGAATTGTTGTAACATCTGAACTATTGTCACAATGGGATTTGGATTTGGTTTCCACAGGAATATAAGACAAAGGAATCAGGAGAAGGAAAAAAAAGAGAGAGAGAAAACAAAACCAACAATAAAGACAATTGATAAACAGTTAAACAAGATGATGGAATCAAAGATGATATTCAAGGTGAGAAGAGAAAATTGTATCAGTTGTTGTTGCTGTTGTTGTTTTTGGAGAAAGACTGAAGATCTGATGATGAATATTTATGTTAATGGTGATCATGGTGGTGATAATGATAACGATGATCCTTGATGATCCAAGATAATCTGATGAGTTTTTGTTGTTTGTCACCAAAATGAATGCAAATGATCAATACAATCGCTTCCCAGTACAGAGTCACGTTTAAAGGTTATAACCTTATGTATATCCAATGAATGATTGAAACAAAAGAAATTCTTGTTCCGAGTTAATAAATTATTAATAATCAAATTGGTTTCTCCTTTTCCTTTTTCTATATCAAACAAATAATCATCAATAACAAATTGATTTGTATCAACATCTAATATTATGTTGTTGTTTTTGTTGATTGTTTAACTACAATTGACACTTAATCGCCAATGGAAAAGACACCAATCAAGTAAAATAAGGAATGACATGATTGTTAGGAAGACACTGGGAATAAATATATCGAAATATAAATCAATCACAATCAATAACAACAATTAATAATAACAATGTAATTGGAAAACAATGAGAGAAACTCAAATGGAAAAGGAAAGTCACATTTTCTTAAGTTACCAAGTTGCTTCTTAAATTACATTTACAAAGAGGCGAAAGAAACAAGATCAATATCACCAAATAGATGAGAACAAACTAATTACTTGACCAAATTGAAACAAAAAAGAAAAACAATTAAATTTAACTAGAGAAACAATTAAAAGAAATTAAAATTGAAACGGAAAATCGGTTGACAACAACATTGGAACATTTTCTCGTTTCCATGGAAACGGCGCCGAAAAGGTAACGTGACTAAACTGTTTCTCTTTTCTGATTAGCTTCAATTTTTTATTCTTTTCTTTTAATTTTTTTTAATTGTTGATTTTTCTCTGTTAATTGTGTGTTGATTTTTTTCTCTGCTGGACAAATAGTTAATTGTTCAACTGTAAACGATGGAGAAACAAGTAAATAGTATTTCGTTTTTAACATTTTCAATGGAAATTGGAATCATAATCACTAAGGTTACGTTTCCATTGTGTAAGAAACTGTGTTGGAGATCATTGTGTGTTCATGACAGATGAAATATCATCGAGAAGATAATTGGACCTTTTCATCATTATCATCATTAAAATAATCTTTTACTTTCATTACTATATCATCATCTTTTCATTAGATTGGAAAAAAGGAAAATGAACAAACAGTTTAACGATTGGAAAAGGATTGGAAAACCCTGGTCAACAATTTCAATTTGTCCTCTTTTTTGTTGCCTCTTTCACTGTCCATGGAAAAATCTATTTGTATTGGCAAATTATTGTGATCAACTAGGAGACTCTAATCAGTTGAGTTTATCATTTAACTTACCGATCGGTCAGTTAGTTGGCTGATTAATTGAAAAGCCAGGAAGATGTAACATGTCAAGAAAATGGAGAGAATCGTAAACAACTCAATAAATATTGGAATCTAAAGAGTAAACCAAATCTAAATCAGTTTTTTACTCTTCCACCACCATCATCATCACACATCATCCAGAATCATGATGATTAAATGAGTAAAAAAAAATCAACAATAATCTTGACCACCAGATACCAGATGAGAATCTCAGATTTCCTTTCAATGTCATCGCCACAATCAAAAAGCCAATATTGGGAAAGAGTAACATATTGGATACAATTTAGTGGGAATCAACATGATTGTTAAATGGATTCTCCAAACAATCAAAGTAAATAATCACAAGCAAGGATTCAAATTAAAAGACGAAAGTGAAATGATCCAAACTCAAGCTAATACGATGTTTTGAGCAAAAACTACGATGGGAATGAGAGAAAAAAATAAGAAAAGTTGAAAATCGCTTCAGGTAAATTTAATCTGTTTCCTTATGGAAAATACTTTTAAAAAACATCATCTAAGGTTAAATTCTGTGTGTATTTAATAGGAAAACAAACGGAAAAGGAAAAGAATATGGAGAAAAGTTCTGGTTGTTTACCTTCCACACCCACACCAACCTCTTCATCCTCTTAATAGACTTTAAAATAGTTGAAACAACAGAATAAGATATAAATTCAAAGGTTACATGGTTAAGCTGATTCCTTTTAAATCCTACCTAATAATCAGCTGAAAAAAAGGATGGTCCAAAAAGGTAAAACTACCTATCGATGTATCCATAATATCAACATCAATTGGCGATAATGGATAAAAAAATTTTCCTATCCAAAGAAAATGTTTTCCATCATGAAAAATTAACCTTCTACTGCCACCATTGAGTTTAATCTCTTTTTCATGGTGGGTTGAAATTGGTGGAACACAAACTACAACCATTAAATCAACATTTAAATTTGATAATAATAATAACCAGAAAACTATTAATACACTGATAGTAAATGTGGCGGATAAATTGCTTTCAAATATGAACAATTAACCATCAAGGATTAACATGGGATTCCAATTCATTTTCACGAATAATATTATCATTATAATTTCCGGATGAAAGTTACTCAAAAATTTTGATCTAAATCATGATGATTATCATTTAAATCAACTGGACTTATCATCACTTCCTCAACTAATTTAATAATCAAATGAGAATGTAAGTAATTACCATGATAATAATTATCATGATGATTATCAAACAAAAGTAAAAACTTTTTATTGTTATAATAATCATTTCATCAAATGAATCAAAATGTAATACAATTCAAATTGTTGAGGCAAGTTAATTCACCATGATGATGATGATGATGAGAGAGAAGATGATTATCATTATCTTTCTAATACATTAACATTATTCATCGGGAGATGCATGATAAAGATGATGAAAGAAGATGAAATAATAAGAAGAAAAAAAGTTCTGATGAATAATTTTTCTTTTCTTTTTCCTTTCTCTTCTACTTTTCCTCTGAATTTTGATACCATTAATATGATTTCCCTTTTGTTTGTTGATGATTATAATTAAGTTTAATTATCATGCTCATTATCATCAAAAACCATACAACAAACATATGAATGATTTGTCAATGTTGGTTTTAGCTTTCCATCATGATTACCATGATTATTTTGATTCCAATGACAACTCTATTAACTTAAATCAACTGTAACATATTTAATTCAATAATTAATTCAAGAACTCTCTCTCTCTCTCTATTCCTCTTAATCATGAACATTCACAAATTATAATTTATACAATTAACACAATCAATTAATTGTTATAACTTAAAAGCTTCAAAGCAATTGAGTAAATACTTATATTAAGTTGCTTGGTAAACAATTTATCCTGAATGATTGAATTCAAATTGATAATCGCCATGGGAATTAACTGAATTATCATTTAATTATATTTAACATTTTCTATTCCAAGTTAATCAATTTTCTGTTGTTCTAAATTCCCAATGAATCATTATTCATTTACTTTCAAGATTATATTTAAAGGTAACAAAAAGTTTCGAATTGTGATTTGTAAGATGAAAGGGATTTCATGTTGATTCCAAGTAGTATTCATGATGATTATTTTATTAGCATCTTGATGAGAATTTTTATAAAATTGTTGATATTTCAGCTGATAGAATTTACATCCTCAAGTTGAAAATTTAGAATTTGAATAATGTTGATAGAGAGAGAGATGATGATGAATTTCCAACGAAAAATATATAAGATATTCAATAGAAAGAAAATCAATATATTTCTTGTTGAGAATTTCCAACCATGATGAAACGTTGATTTCTCTTCGTTTCCATTAACAATGAAAGGAAAAGTGATCACAATTCATGGTGAAAATAAGAAATACCTTGAGGGTATTTGACTTGAAATTTCACTTTTATTCAACATTTTACTCGAAACTTTTTCTCAGCTATTCACCTTTTCCTGCTCATGGGTGAAAGGTTATACTTAATCTTAGTGTTACTTGAATTCTGAGTTTTTTGCTCAGTTTTCATGATAGTTTTCAGGGTTAATTAATCTCAAGGATTCTAATATAATATGTTGATAGTCTGATGCTACACATAAACACTACTCATTACCAGAACTCATTACAATTTGTTGTTCTTTCATATTCCTTTCTCGACAGAAACTTTTATCTTTTTTCCTCTTCATGATAACTATTCTCATATCTGATGAATATCGTCAATATCAAAGTTCTTGAGAGAGAGAGAGAGAGAGAGAGAGAGAGAGAGAGAGAGAGAGAGAGAGATAAAAATTGTTCTTCTTTATATTCAACTTTTCATTATCACAATTTCATGGTAATTTGTTTACCCATTCATGATGACAATGAACCATCAGTTAAGATATGAATCTGATCTTGAGTTGATTGAAATTAATTTCATCCAACCACCAGAACTGTGAATTAATTTAACCTTCAATCAGATAACTCACTTTCTTAATAATGTAAGAAAATTTAATCCTCTTCATGAATTTTCACCATGGAACCAAAAGTGATGAGTTTTTCATGATGGTGAAAATCAACTTACACCTTTCATAATTTTTTTTCTTCACTCATCTCACAGCATCATCATGATGATCAACTGAATTCATTGTCAACCAGAATAAGAATACATTTTCCTCTTCCATTGTTACCTAATTGTGGGTGGAAAATTTAAATTGTTACAAAGGTGATTTCTAAGTGGATTAGGGTGAAAGCTCATGAGGAATGAAAAAGAAGAGAGGAAAAAAAAAGTTCATTGACTCGAGTGAAAGAATAAGATTCAGATTCAGATTAGAAGAGAGTGGAAAATGCTAACCCACCATGAGAAACTTTTTCCCACCTTCTCTCTCATAGAGTAAGATATTCATCCGGGGACAAGGTAAACTTTCATTGGTGGAAGTTCATTTAATCAACTCAACACCATGAATTCTGAATCAGATTGATCAGTTAATCCAGTTGATGTTTTTTCATAAACATAAAAAAAAAATTCTCTTGCTCAATATGAATCATGTTAATCTATTAATCTAATAATAATAACATTGTCTATGGTAAATGTTACATGAAGATTGAACTTTTCCCTCCCTTTACCTTGAATTTTTTTCATGAAGTTTTTTTTCTTGTTTTATATTGGATTTAGATTGAATCAGCTTATGGTGATAACCAGAAGTTGAGTTGACAGGTTTAACTAGAATTTAGAAAACGTTAGTTGATCAAATGTATATTTAATCATCTTATTGACTTGGATGAAAGATGATGAGGGAATTGAGTGCGAGGAGAAGATGATGGATGAAAATTTCATGAATGAACATGGCGATGGTGAAATAGGTAACCTGTTTTTCCGTTACACAAAAGACCAGAGATTGACCTTTGTCCAGTAGAGGAAATTCATGTCAATCGCCATTTCAAATTGATGTTTTAACTTTCAATTGTTTGTCTCATGGAGCTGATGAAAATAACGATAACCAGGATAATCTCTGGGAATCCCAACGAGATGTATGAATTTGGAATCAAATTTCAGGCAGAATTTTTTTCCTCCCTTAACTCAGGTTATCAGTTGTTACAAATCATGATGACGAATCATGATGAGATACTTTTTCAGCTTCTGTATTAATCTTTCTGAGACCTGTCTGAATTTCCCTGAATAGGATTATTACTATTATTATATCAGGGTAACATATTATATTCATGAATCAATTGTTCATATACATAAACATTATCATGATTATCATCGTGACCCTGATTCAGATGATATCTTATTATTATCCGATTTTTTTTCTTGTTGCAACTTTTTTTTTCTTATGTGATATTCATGATAGATTCAGATGAACAAAAGTATCAGAATTTATCATGAAGAAAAGGACATGTTCATATTTTTCTTTCTTTCTTTATCATTACTTCATATTTCAGGAAGATGATTATCGATAATATCGATCGTTGAACTTTTTTTTTCACTCTCGACCAAAATAAGGATCATTTTGATTGTCTCACCATTGAACATAAAGATGAGGATAATGATCAAGAATCACAGGTAATTCAGATGAAGATTGTTTTTTTCCTCTCTCCTTTATTCAAGTGTATCTTCTGAGGTGTGAGGGTGAAATTCATCCTGAATTGATGATGTAGATTCCATGAGATACTTCTAATGACATTGATTATTCATGAACCAAAGAGTTCAAACTGAATCATGGTGATGATGATCACCAAACGATGGATCTCAGTCCATTAGATGATTGCTCTTTTGGGAGCATCTTCCTCATCATCATCCTAATGTCTACATGATATATAACAATATTTGCCTGAATAACTTCATTTATCCTTCAATCATCATGATCTCATGATCATCCCACTCTCAGAACAAAAGTTCTGCCCTTTCCTTATCTCTCTTTCAATATCTCAATTTTTTCCTCTATTTCCATCATGATGTCAACCAAGCTAATCTTCATCATCTCTTCATGTTTCAATGTTATAATAATTAAGGAATAAGGTGAAAAAATTGTGATAATATCCAAACTGAACAATTCTGTACAGAATTATGATATTGATTCTCATGTAACAACAATTCTGTTCAACTTTTCTTGTATAATATTAGCTTTTTATCATCATTCACCTTCATCTTCCTCCTCATACACTTGGTTGAATTTATTTATCTTTATCCTTGACTAACTTTCACTCTCACCAAGTTATTGTTATATTATCATGTAAGTGAAACTTATATCATGTTATTGTTACTTTAAATTAACCTTTTTACAGATTAACAATGGAAATTGATTCTGAAACAATCAATTAATCAGCTCAAGCTTAACATGATTCACAACTTTTGATTAAGAGATGAATCTACTTTTCTTTTGTTGATGATTTAATACATTTCGTTGATGAGAAAAGTTCAGATAAAGTTCAGATTCTGGTTTTCTTTTCAAATGTATCATTTCTTACGATTCAATCATGAGAACTGAATGAATCTCTAACAATTTTCCCTCTCTTTTCTGAATTACATAATAATTCATTGTGATTTCATGGTTATCATGAATTCTGTGAGTGACCAATCATTAATCTTTATCAAAAGCAGTCAACTTAGAATCCATAATGTCTTGAAAGAAGTGAGAGAGAGAGAGAGAGAGAGAGAGAGAGAGAGAGAGAGAGAGAGAGAGAGAGAGAAATGGCAAATTCTGAATTAATTTTTTTCCTTTTCTTTTTCAGGATGATTATGAAATCAAAAGAACGAAAAAGTTCTGGGGAAGAAAATGTGATATTAGAATTCTTTGTACACAGTTTCATGGATAAAATTCACATGGAAACAAAAAGTTCAAGAAACAGGGTTGAAGAGACTTGGAATTTATGATATCTGTCAAAACAATCATGGTGATATCATGTTAGAGATAATATTGAAACTAAATCAAAGTTCAGTGAAAGGAATGAAAAAAAAGGTCTCAACTTAAACAAGTTCAAAGTTATTTAACAACAATATGGTTATCAGAATCAGAATCGTCATGATGATGATCATTATCAGGGGAAATTCAGTTGGAGCAAAAGAAAAGAAGATAAAAGTTCTTTAAATGAGATAGATTATCAAATCATATCATGTCGACGAGATGAAATCTCATGAAGATGGAAAATAATGAGAGAAGAAAAAGTTCTCTGTCATGAAGGCAAAAAGAAAATCGAAAAAGCAGAAAATTCTAAAATTGGAACATATCGAAAATGGAATCATCGACAATCTGATAATTCTTAATATTTTTCACCAAAGTAAATTCTGTTTACATTATAAGAGGATAACAAGGAATCGTCATTATTATCATGATGATGAACATTCAGCTCATCCTCATGGTAAAGGATCTATCAAAGATCGAGACAGTAGTGATAGAGAGAAAGTGGAATGGAAGAAAATTTCTTTTTCGAAAAAGAGAAGAAAAAAATTCCAAAATATAACCTCAAGATTCTGGTAAAAGTTATTCTGTCAAGTGTAATGTGATATCTTTTTATAATATGAATTGTTCATCTTCCACCACCCCCAACCCTGATCATCTTAATTCATCTCACATTTCACCATGAAAGAAATTCATGATTCATAATATTTATATAATCATCATTCTCATCAAAATAATAACACTTTTTTTCTCTCTCACTGTTACAAGTTGGATTAAGTTTTCTCTCTCTCTCATTTACTTTGGAAACTTTGTACCATTTGGCTCATCATTTCCGTTTCCGTTCTAGGAAAAAGTCATCAGTCTCTTGTGGCTTTTATTCAGGTTAGCTAATGGTCAAACTAAAGATGTAAACTTTGGTGTTTCTATGTATTTCCAAACTCATTGTGATTATGTTAATTGATTGGTTGGTAAATCAATTGATTGTTGATTGTTTGAACATGTTAAGTAATTATGGATAATATATAAATCAACATTATACTTCATCATCATCATCAACTATTCAGTTGATGATAAAGGTAATGGTTATAAGAGGGTAAAAATTATATTATAAGAAGCTGAATCAATATTTAATTTTGTTATATCATTTATTGATTATAATGATACTTGATGATGATAATATAATGCTAGTGATAAGGTGAGAGTGTCAACAATTAAATCAATGTGTCTTAATTGATTAACTTGATGTTTAAATGGTAAGATTGATTCTGATTTTGATTAGATTTCTTTTTTTTATCTGAGAGATAAAATTGTCACATTGTTATTGTCAATCTACTTAATTTGATAAGATGAATATGAGAAAAATGAAACCATTTGATTAACTAATTAATCATCGAGTCACATTGAAACATTAGAAACTCATTAGATGAACTTTGCATTCACATGGATTTTTTCATGTTCATGTTGATGAAGAAAATCATTAAATAGATATTATTTTCTTCAGATGTAATCATATTTGTCTACTGATGGACAGAAAGTATACCAGAATAATGGGAGAGGGAGATAGAGTGATAGAGAAATTGATTGAGAAACATGATGGATCGTTAGAGCTGCGAATCATGGTGATAATTCAGTCTGAATAAATTTTTGGTGGGAAAAAAATTCGACTCTATTTTTTTTATGATCAATCTGGTTTTCTATGGGTTTTTATGGTACCTCTGTAAGAGACATTGTGTCGTTTTTTTTATTGAACAGTTACTCTCATCTACCATGAGGTACATGAAATGTATTCATGATAAAGTTCATACACATCTTGAGCATCCATCGTAACTATTATTGCAGTGTTTGCATATTTATCTGTGAATATATTACGACCATAGGATGTTAGGTTTTTTTCCCTCTTCTCTCATTTACTTAACAACAACTACAAGAAATTCAAATAACATTTCAATATGAAAATAATTCAACATCATCATCATCATTTTCACAGCTCAGAATATAATATAAATACAGAATTGGGGCTGAATAAGATTCCATGGAAATTGTTGTTTACCTTTTTCATTTTATATCTTTAAGAGTAAAATGATGAGACGAAATTGTAATATTTTCTCCCTTCATGATTGGTATTCAGATTCTCTAGGAGAGAAGAGAAATAAACACTTGATTCGTCATCAGAACTTTTTTATTCTTTCTATTACTTTTGTTATCTTATTGAAATTGACTTTTTTCTTCTTCTTCGATTTGAGAAAAGTTCTAATTGTGTCTATTGGAATTGAAATTCTCTTATAAATATGTTTCCCTTTTCATCATGATGGTGTTTCAATTCTGATGAAATATGTGAATTTAATGTTTGCATCATGATTATCATCACAATCTCATCCTGAATTTCCAGAATCATCAATCAAATTTTGTCAAAAGTTTCGATGAAAAAAAAGTTTCAACTTTTTTTCCCATGGAAAAAGTTAATAAGATAAAAACTGAACAATGAAAGTTCCGTAAGTCAAAATCATTAGATTAGAAGAAAATTTTTCCAAAGGTAAAGATTTGAATTGGAATAAAAAAAATGATGATAAAAAAAAGAGTTCAATTCATTCCGGAATATAAGCTGAACAATGATGAATTCACCATGATGGTGATACTCGAACAGTAAGTAATTGGTTAAGGTTAAAAGATTGGAAACTGAATAGGGAAAAAAAATGTAATCACAATTTTTGAATTACTCAGAGCTAAAAGTGAATCTCATGGGGAAAAGAGTAAAAAATTCATTCCAACTAATGAGCATGATGGTGGATCGAAGGGATTTCGTTGATTGTTACAACTAATTATCACATCATTAGAGTTTGAATTGTGTTCAAATCATTAATCAGCTTTACGTTAATTAATGATTAATTATTAATTTTTATGTGAACACAATGGTGGATACACACAGTTGAAAGGTTTTGATTGGAAATTGTTTGATTGGTGAAGAGGGAAATTCTGATCACTAGACTTCAATAGAAGTGGGGAAGAGTTAGCACCGAGTAGATTCAGTTACTAACTATAGTTACAGAAGATCACACGACTTGCCTTTCAACTTTCAAGTTAATAGAGTTCGTTTCTGGATTCACAAAGAAACAATTATCAATTGAATTATAATTAAACTTTATTGAGAGATAGCACTTTTTGGAAACACTAAGAAAATCAACTTTTTTCTTTGAACATTAAAAGAGAACTGATTCAATTTTTTAACAATTGAATTTTAGGTCTTAGAAGACAAAAGATTAACATAAGATAATTAATGGGATGATAAAAATGAAAAGACATTAAGTCTAGAGACGGTAACTCTTAATCTTAACAAGAAGAGTTATAAAGCTAAATGAAGGGGGAAAGGACTTAATAGAGTTAAACTAATAAGTCAGTAAAGAGAATAGAACAAAATTTTAAAAGAGAAAAGAATAAAAAGATAAAGAAAGCTATTGCTTTCTCTAAAGAAATGATTAATAATCTCAGCTTAATCAAGCTTAAGATTAATATAGAGCAATTAAACTCTAGATAATCACAGTTAATCAAAGGTTAATTGTTTTGATTAAACTAATGATTATAATCAAATGATGATAAACAAAATTAAACAATTAAAGATAAACTTGGGGGTTAAATATGGTTTCCTTGCTTCTCTAGAATAGATTGGGAAAAGGTCAAAGAAGACTTGATTAGGTCATTTCTCTACCTTTCACTCCCCTGAGTTTTGATTAAGATACCTTTTTAAGGCTTCTTTCGGGATTTTGACAATAGGCTTAGAGGAGACGGAGGAACTAGGGTTAGGAATTTCAATAGAATCCATGGGTTCCTCGGTGGCTTGATACTTGGGTCGATATTTATTCAGATAAAGAATATCTTCCTCTTGGTTATCCTCCATGGTCAGGAAAATTTTATCGTCTAGTTGTTCCGCATCCTTTAGGTTTACACTTGAATCAATTGCTTCGGCAATTTCATTGAGGCTTTCTTCCATAGCGATGGTAGTTTCATCACCTTGATATGGAGTTCGTTCCACCACATCGACCTCATAGGGTAATCCTATTTCTTCCAAATTGATTAAAAGTGGATTCTCATTTTCGGAATCGGAACTTTCACTTTCTTCCTCTAGGTTACTAAGTTTTTCGGACTTTGATTTTGGTGAATAACTTGATGAATGTTGAGGAGAAACACAATTTCCATCGTGCTCAGGATTGTAGCGACGATGACTATAGTAAGACCAGTCTGATGGCCAAGTTGCTTCTCGTTTATCCACTTTATCGGCGTAGATTTTGAGCAACTGGGAAACAGCTTTATTGGAACAGGTTATAGCCATATTTCCAAAGTGAATTCCATCAGCGTAATTTTCAATCATTTCTTCAATTCGTTGCCAAAAGGCCATGTAGAGTTTCATGGAGATAATTGCCTCTACAGCGGGTGAATGAGGGCCTTTTTCGATAACGAACCCTTGGAAAATCAGAAATGAGATTAGGGAAAGACTGGCGGGGTGTTCCAAATATGGAGAAAAGAATTGATTCACTTCCCGCATTTTGGGCTTTAGCCAATTGATTTCTTCGTCTTTGAGATCCAAAGCTCGAAGTGCATTAATGAGACCAGCACCAACTAATATTTCCGCGGAAGCAAGATATTTGATGACTTGATCCTTTACAGAGGAAATATGCTTTGCATGTTTAAGATCACTCTTTTGAAGTCCATGGTAATAACTATCCATGTGAGTGATGTTGGTGTGTCGAACTAAAGTTTCATAAATCACATCACAATGTCCGTCTACGATGACAACCCAAACTGGTCGACAGATCGGAGCAATTCGTAAACCTTTGCGAGGGACATATCGAGATTCATTGATTCGAACATAAGCCATGTGAAGGGCAAAAGTTAGTGATGGATTAGGGTGAGTCTCAGTGTTTTTCTTGATCAAATGCTCATAGGCAGTTGGTAGTTGAGGGATCTTAACACTGGTTTTCTTGAGAAAGATTTCCAACGATTCGATTCGTTTACTCTCTCTTTGTTTTTCTCTATAGGGATTTGGTTGTTGCACTTTTGGGGGTCCAAGGTTTCTCAAACTGGGAAACCATTTGAAAATGTTATCGATCAGATGTTGTTTCTTTTCTGTCGATAGACGTGCGAGTGGGTCAATCCTAATGAATGACATCCCTTGAGCTTCATTGTCACTGGCGATGGAGACAACGGAATTTGATCTCTGGATTCGGGGAATTCCTTGAGCCACTTTTAACCATTCTTCACTTTCTCTTAGAAGATATTCGGGAACTTGATTCCAGAAAATGGTTGGTGATCGGAATCCTTGACCAGGAGCACTTGGTTTACCAATAACAGGGTGAAAGCCAATATCTTGAAGGTATTGTTCAGCTTCAAAGATTGGTGCTGAAGGTCACTGATTCTTTTCATGACTGACCAGTAATTGGTTCCAAGGTCGGTGTATGTTCGAACCTTGTTAGGGCTATAGCTCGGGTCTTCTGGGTTTTCATCTCGGCCAAGTAAAACACAAGCCCAAAGTTCCATCTTCTTTTCCCAAATTTTTGGAAAGGTAACGGGAACCACTGGTTTCTTGATGTGATGAGGAAGTAGATTAGCTAACCGTTGAGGTTCTTTAGCTATAGCTTGGCGAGTTGGTCCAGGAACAAAATCATGAAGAAGATTAATTTCAATTTCCTCTTCGAAAAGTCCTTTCTTGCACTTGTTCTCATGAGATGAGAATTCAACTGGATTAAGCGCAAGTTGGCAATGAGATCGTCGACAAACGAATTTAGAAGCTTGATAAAGCTCTAGA